GAGACTCACCTCCCAGTCCGAGGATTTGCCCAGGGGCAGAGCCTGGAGCTGGCGCCCTGATCGATGCCGCCGGTGTCCGCGGGGGCGAGCGGCTCGCGGTGGGGGCGGGGGCGGGTCCTGGGGGGGCGGGCCCAGAGCGGGGCGTCCCGCGGGCGGGGCGTCGGGGGGCGGGGCGGGCGCCTGTGTTGGTTGCGCCGTGTCAGTTACATTGTAACAAAAGTGGTGCTGCCGCTCCTCCAGCCGCACTCCGGCCCGCCCGCCGCCAGCTGTCGCCGACATGGAATCTGTGGCCAGCAACATCCAGGTCCTGCTGCAGGCGGCCGAGTTCCTGGAACGCCGCGAGAGAGGTGAGGCAGGACCGGTGAGGCAGGACCCGTGGCTGGACCCCAGGCTGCGACCTTGCTGACACGGGCCTGGGGTAGACTTGGCTCCCAACTTGAAGGATGCATGCATGGCTTCAATACAGTAGCCCCGGGTCAACCCGTCTTAAAATGGTGGAGTCCTCGGGCTGGGGGTGGGAGGGAAGGGGGGGGGGTTGGGGACATGGTCCTGGCTCCAAAAGCCTGTCCATGACCGTGCCATGCCAGGGGCCCCCGCTGGGACCAGCTCCAGCCTGACGCAGACGCGGGCTCTCTCTGGCAGAGGCTGAGCACGGATACGCGTCCCTGTTCCCGCACCGAAGTCCAGGCCCGGTCCACAGAAAGAGGAAGGGCCCCCCCCCAGCTCTTGGCGCGCTGGACAGTGGGCGGTGAGGAGGGCGATGGTGATGGGGAGCGGGAGGATGGCACTGTCCCTCTTCGGGCCCCTCCTCAGCCCATTTCCTCCTTGTTGCTTGCGTCTTCTGGGCCAGGTACCCTTCTCTGGAGACATTCAAACCCCTCCTGCCATCTCCCCTTCCCCCAAACACACCCCTCTATTCACTCAAAGACTATTTCTTGAGCGCCCCTGATGTGAACAAGACTTCCACTCACACTCCCATACTCCACCTATCACATCACTCCCTTTCCCCCACAGGCTTGCTCCTTGTCTCTCTTCATCTCCACCCATTACACAAGCTGTTCCCTCCAATTTGAGTGTCTTTCTCCACCACCTGCTTTGGGTGACCTGTGTTTCTGGCTCAGCTCAACTGTCACCTCTGTTTGCACTCCACAGCTACCTGGGCAGGCCTCTTTCAGCATTTGCCCCCTAGCCCCACCTCCCACCTGCTCCCCATGAGTCTCTGCCTCCACCTGGCAACTCAGGTGCCCGAGGCCAGCACAAGGTTGCCATACTGAGCTAGTCTGGGGCAGAGATCTGCAGTGGATTTTGAGCCTCTGGGAGCCTGGGACTGAGGGTGTGGGCAGCAACTGATGGCCCCTCACCCCACCCTCTCTGGCATTGGCAGGTCTGTGCACAACGAGCTGGAGAAGCGCAGGTGAGTCCCAGCCATGCCCTGACAGCACTGGGCCTCAGGGACTGTCTCTCTCTGGCCTTCCCTCCCCTGTCAGCCCTTAGCTATCAAGGCTGGGCTGGCACTGCCCTCCAGACCCCTTTCCCTGCAGGAGGGCCCAGCTGAAGCGGTGCCTGGAGCAGCTGAAGCAGCAGATGCCCCTGGGGGCTGACTGTGCCAGATACACCACACTGAGCCTTCTGCGCCGGGCCAGGATGCACATCCAGGTGAGGGGCTACCTCTGCCCCCGGGAGCCAGGTTACCAGGGCGTGTGGAGAGGTTTAGCAGGGAAGGGCTTGGGTGGCACTGGGGAGAGGGGCCCAGTGTGCTTTTAGCTTCCACATTTGTTAAATGGGAAGAAAAGCAAAAAGTAACTCAGGATTTATTGGGCAAATGATGTTAAGCTGTTCACTGTTGTTATTACAGCTATTACTACCTCTGTTTCAACTGTGAGGCTCTGGGCCAGGCACTTAACCTCTCTGGACTTCCTTTCCTCCTCTGTATGGGGAGGCATGACTGTTGAAGATAATGTGATGGGTCATGTGTAAGGGTCTCTTAGACTGTAAGAGGTCTTGTCCACGCTCTTCCTCTCCCCATCCTTAAGACCTCCTGTTCTGAGCAGTCTGTCCTGAAGCCACTTTGGGAAGTAGCTCCAGAAGCCAGGAATACTTAAGGACTGAGGATGACAGTCAACATTTTCCCAGGGCTCTCGCTGCTGCCCCCTGGTGGACATGAGTAGTGAGTGCAGACTCAAAGCCCCAGGCAGCCCCAGAGAGGGGATTAGGAGTGGCCTTTGAAATAGTAGAGGCCTTTCTTGCCCTCTGGGTCCTTCAGAGGAAGAAATGGAGGTACAGCCGGGCTTAGCAGAGGCAGATTCAGGTCCCCTGACTTGCATTCTTTCCTTTAAGTACTGAGCACCTGCTCTGCTAGGCCTTTCTAGGTACCCAGGCCATGGCAGACAGATATGCCGTGTAGTAAATAAATCAGAGTGGGACTGTCTGCCTGCACTCCCCTCATGGTGCCTGAGGAACACCCTTGCTGAACAGCAGGCCTGTTTCTCACTTGGGCTCGCCTGGCCTGGGTCTTGGAGGGATGGGGTGCCCCTTAAGTGCTGACTGGCAGGTGGGCAGGACCTGTGGATTGCTCTTTCCTTAAGCCCCATCACCTCGCCCTGTGCTCCCTGCTTCCTGTTCCACTTCCGCCTTGCCTTAGGGTTTCTTTGCTGCACATAGATCTGTCCAGGTGCCTCTTCTGCTGACAACCTTCCATGGCTCCTGACAGGAAAGTCTCAGTCCTTACTTCCTGTGAACTCAAGGCCTTTCACCACTCATCTGCTGCCGCTACCTGCTTTTGTAGTCTCATCTCTTCCCTGTTCCCCACCAAAAGCCGAATTCTTAAAAAAATAAATATATCAATATATCAATATATATTATTGATATTTTTACAGAGAGAGAGAGGAATAGAGAGGTAGATTCATCAATGAGAGAGAAAGATCAGCAGATCAGCTGCCTCCTTCACATCCCCCACTGAGGATGTGCCTGCAACCAACGTACATGCCCTTAGCTGAAATCGAACCTGGGACCCTTGAATCTGAAGGCCAATGCTCTTATCCACTGAGCCAAACCAGCCAGGGCCAAAAGCCGAATTCTTGGTGCTCTTCCTGACCTCCCTCTGCCTGAGTGCTTCTCCTCCCCGATCTTCACCTAGGCAGCTGCCACTCATCCTTCCACACCCAGCCCCAATGTCCCTTCCCATGCTTTCCTTCTTGGTGACTGCGGGCTCCTGCCCATGAGCTCTGGTAGGGGTGGTGAGGGAGGGGGAACAGATTAATGATGGAAAAACCTTAGGGTTCCTAGGAGGGTCTTGACCAGGAGTTACAAACTGGTAGCCATTGTTTAGTCTAGGGGTGTCGAACTCAATCAGAGAAGGGGCCAAAATCTAAAATCCAGCCTAAATCGTGGGCCGAATGGTTTACTGAACAGTCATAAGCTGTCATTGTGATGGAAACGCAGCGGAGTGCAGTGATGACAGCGCGGTGCGGGCCACATTGCAAGGCCTGGCGGGACGGATTTGGCCCGCGGGCCTTGTGTTTGACACATGTGGTTTAGTCTATAGTTTTCTAAAAGTTTAGCTACTTGGCAACACTTAAGAGGACATTTGACATGAAACATCTGCCTTTCCAGCTTTTCTTAAAGACACCGAGATTGGACCACACAGGGCCTCTTTCCATGAGGTGGCTGCCTCCTTCAGCTGGAGTTCACACTTGCCATCATGTCATAGCCCCTGCCACACCTCATCCCTGTTGCTTGATACCAGCACTCATCACTCCACATCACCTATCTAGGCCTCACCTGACTAAACCCTGAAGGTCTTTTGAGATTGTTGCCCCCCCTCCCTTGCCCAGCTAGACAGAACTCACGGGCCATTTACATGGGGCAGAAGGGCCTGATTCCCTGGAGGCTGTGGAGCTCAGATTTAGAGAGCCCGTCCGGAACAGGCAGTCACCAAGTAGCCATGGCCTGCTGCTGAGTTACGCTGGTTGAGGCCCAGGCCCCAGGCAGCTGACCCCAGCCCTTTGCTCCTCTGGAATCCGCAGAAGCTGGAGGAGCAGGAGCAGCGGGCCCAGAGGCTCAAGGAGCAGCTGCGCAGCAAGCAGCAGAGCCTGCGGCAGCAGCTGGAGCAGCTCCGGGCGCCGGCGGGGGCTGGCGAACGGGAGCGGCTGCGGGCTGATAGCCTGGACTCCTCAGGCCTCTCCTCTGAGCGGTCTGACTCAGACCACGGTGAGTGCCCTGAAGCGGGGGGTGGGCCAGTGGGCCAGTGGGCCAGGTCTCCTCACTGGACCTCTCCCTGCGCAGAGGAGCTGGAGGTGGACGTGGAGAGCGTGGTGTTCGGGGGTGAGGCCGAGCTGCTGCGGGGCTTCAGTGCCGGCCAGGAGCACAGCTACTCACACAGCGGCGCCTGGCTATGACCCTCGCCACCCCAGCGCGAGCCTCTGCCCTCCCCAGGCCTCAGGGGCTGTCAGGCACCTCCTGTTGGAATGGACTAGAAGGACCTTGGCCGGGAGCAGGCGCTCCTCCGGCCCCTCTGCTGGCAGCTGCAGCGCCTCCGAGAGGAGAGGGAGGGGGCCTGGCCTCCCCGGCCCAGCACGACAGGCAGCTTAGGCCTGGGCCACCGTCCAGGCGTTTTTTGTAGCACTTCGTTCCGCTGTCCTCACAGGGACAGGAAGCCTCTTGGGCCCACCTCCACCTTTCTTCCTAGACAAGGCCCCCTGGCCTTTGCCCCACAGATACTGTACAGTGTTTTCATTAAAAGGCTTTCATCATTTCCTGCCCATGGTCTTGCCTGATGAAAATGGGGAAACTCCAGCCACAAAATGGAAAAGGAAATGAGATCAGTTGCTACACGAACACGGCCGACTGTGTGCAGGGCCCCTTTAACCCTCACAGCTAAGCTCTTTCCCCACTTTGCGAGGGACTGAGGCCAAGTGACAGGACTTGCCTGAGGCCCCAAACCAAGATACAGTGGAGTCAAGATTTGAACCAAAGCTTTCTGACTCTACAGCTGGGGCTGGTTGAATTCAACAAACATTTATTGAGTGTCTATTATGAGCTAGATATTGTTCCAGATACTTGGGACACAGCAGAGAAAAAGGTCCCTGCCCTCGTGGAGCTTACAGTCTAGTGTTTAAGACCACCTTGCCTGCATGCTGTCTGTGACCCTGGGCAAATCCCTCCTCAGCTGTCCAATGCCGGAAGCAGCAGGCCTGGCCCAGACATGGATAGCATGTCTGATACATTGCAGATGCCAAACGGATACCACCTCCAACCCACTACCCAGAGAGTAGCTCAGGCTGGAAGTTGACTTTTAATGATAAAATACAGGGGGAGGGAGAGGGGGGGCAGCAGGTGGGGTGGGGTGCTGCCGCACAGGGTCTGGGCTGGCTACACAAACTGCTGCTGCTGCTGCTTCTTGGTGGCTGCCTTGCTGGCGAGGTCCTTGGCCTTCTCTGTAGCTGCCAGTGCCGTCTCCTTTGCCTTCTCCTTCGCCTTCTCCTTGGCTGTCTCAACTAGGGTTTTGGAAGGAGCCTCACCTGCAGCAAAGGGCAGGAGGCTGGCTTGAGAGGATGCCAAGAAGACCCACCTAATCGCTCCCTACAGCATTCACTTCCTGCAAGCCAGGCCCCATCAGAAAGGGGGTATTTCCCCAGGAAGAGATGAGGAATCCCAGGCCTAGACAGGAGCAGCGACAGCCCACACCAGTCAGGGCAGCTAGGACCTGACCCCGGCCTGTGCCTGGGAGGTTCTCACCTTGCAGCTTGGCCAAGACGTATTCAAAACCCTTCATTGACTTGGTCACATTGCTTTTGAACCGGGCGAGACCAAATTCCTGGCAAAAGATGGGAAGGGGAAGAATTCTGAGCGCCCACGGACCCCCAGCCCAGTCTATGTCAGATGCTCTGGGCCTCAGAGCCCTAGCACTTCCACGGTGCTGCTCACCTGGACGGCTCTGGAGACGCCAAATAAGCTAGAGGAGACCCAAGCTTCCCGGTGGATTTCGGTCCAGCCGCTGTTATCAGAGTTCACACAGTAAACACATCGTTCCTCCACCACCTGTGCAAGGAGTCAGGCCAACCTCAATTGTGTGGGATTCTTTCGATTTGCTCACTTCACATAAATTTGATCTCCTGCCTCTTTTCACGAGGTAGAGCAATAAAATGAAAATCCATTCCTTTCCCTGAATGCACCCCAAGCTGAATTTACAGAAGAACAAGAACATTAAGGTCATTTTGCTCTCTACAGCCTTTCCTCTGACCCTTTAAACTAGAAGGCACATGAGACAGCAGAGGGCCTTCTAGCTCATCCTGGCCCTGGATTTGGTTTCGTAGCTTTGCCTGGTCATGAGTAGAGTTTTTAGCCTGTTTTCCACCTGTTGCAGCTCTTGAGCTCGCTGGAAGTCCAAATAAAAATGGAAATCTGACAATTGTCACAGCTCTCATCAGAGGGGAAAAAGTAGGTTGGTACTTCCAACAGAAACCTTCAAAGACCTGTCTCATGGCTGGGCTGAAAGACGTTTCTCACAGCAGGACCACTATCTTGGTAACATAGAAAACGGGTGGTATCCTCAGGGAAGTATAACCCTGGGGCAGTGTATTCAGTCGGCAGCTCATTCTGTGACTTGGTAGGACATTTGCCCTCTTTGAACCTAACTTTTCTCTTTGCACAAGAGAGTAATACCTCCCCCCCCACCCCACCCCGGTTATTTTGAAGATTAAGTGAGAAAGAGAATGAAAGTTTTCTGAACGCTTCAGGATATTCACACTTGAGAAGATATTGTAGAGTGTTCTTTAAACCAGCAGTCACCAACCGATGGTTCGTGCTTGGCCAAGAAGGTTGGTAACTGCTGCCTCATATAAACCAAATATTTTCAAGTTTTTTTTTTTTTATTTTAATTAAATTTACTGGGGTGACATTGGTTAACATGAACATACAGGTTTCAGGTGTGGGTTTCTAGGTTATAAGATCTGTATATTGCACCTTGTGCCCATCACCCATCAAGTTTTAAAGACAAGAGATCAAAGGTATATAGAACCTGCTCCCTAAACTCTTAGGCAGAAATCCATTATGTAAGACAAGTAAGAGTGTTGCTCCTTTAGACCACATGGGGTATGGGGCCCAGATCCTCTCCCTTCTGAGGCACACCCAGGCACCCTCATGGCTCGATGGATTCCTGTTTGAAAACCACTGCCTCCCTCCCTCTCCATCACTGGCTCCTAGCCATACCTATTTGGAGCTCTGTCTGAGGGACCAAGGGAGGCTCACCATCAGCCGGGCGTGGTTGATGTTCCAGGTGAAGGTGGTCATGGTCTGGTTCTGTGGGTCCACAATGGAATCCTCCAGGATGTACACTGAGTGAGCAACATTGGCAGGAAATAGTCGCTCAGCCCAGCGGGGCATCCTGTTGGTCTTGGTCAGGAGTCTCCGGGACAGGAGCTTCTGGTCAGGGGTCACCTCCCGGTGCACTATGTCTTCCGTCAAGACATGTTTGCTGCAGGTGTCAGAATGAAGGTGACCTCAGGAGCCTGCCCCTGAGGGACTGCCTGTTGGGGTTCCCACCTCTAGCCTCCTGGTCCAGAATGGCCAGGCCTTCCCTCAAAATTGCAGTGATGTGTGTTGTGGCTCATTCCCTTGAACCTACCCCAGGGCAAATTCCAACTCCCGCCCTCTCGCTGACCTGGATTCCTGGACTTTCCAGCATGGCTGGTCTTCATGATTTATTGCACCGCTGGAGAGGGCCACGGGCAGAGGAGGAGAGCGTCTGGAATTCCAACCCCAGGATCCCTCCCAATTCCTGTGCCGCCGCCTCTTCCTGTCTCGCCACCCCGGAGAACCTTGGACTGGGGCCTCAGGAAAACCACCGCCCAGGTCCACCCCCTTGCAGGCCTGGCCACTTCCTCCATTGGGTCCTCCAGGCGGCCACGGTTCCGGCAATCCCCTACCCTGGACTCGAAGATGAGTCGTCTCCGGTCCCACATTTCGATCACCAAACAGCGAGGGGGTGGGGTGGCTCCTCCCGCGGCCACGTACCTATAGGGATTCGGGTACCGCTGCCAGAAGGCAGCGAACACTTGGTCCCAGGAACTCCGGAGCACGCTGTGGCCCAGGAAATACTTCACCATTGTCCCGGCCGGGCGGGGTCAGGGCCGAGCAGCATCAGGGGCGCGCAGCCCGGGGGGCACGCGGAGGCCAGGCCCGGGCTCGGCGCACGCCCGCCCGCCAGGCACCAGCTCAGTCACCGCCCCACTGCACCCCAACTGCAGCCGCCGCCATGAGGAGTTGTCGGGCCGCCCGCCACTTCCGGCGCAGGCTCGCTGCACCCACCACTTCCGGCGCCGGAGCACGTGACCCTGGGTCCCGCCCCTCCTGCCCACTCCCCCAGCGGGACCCGCGTCGGTGCGAGCGGGACCTGGGCTGGAGCGGCCCCCGAGCGCGGTGGGCAGTCCGTCCGTCCTAGCCCGGCGGCGGAGCGCGGCGCCGTTGAGGGCGCTGCCCCACACGCTCCCGGGGCGCTTGGGAGGATCGGCGCCCGGGCCGCGGAGCGGGGGCAGGCGGGCGCTGCCGGAGCGCGAGCCCGACGCCGCGTCTGGAGCGGTAGTGACTGGGGCTTGGGCGCCGCCGGCCCGGGGTTGCCTCGCACGGGGCCCAGGCCCCTGTCGCGGGCGAGGCGGCCCCGAGAGCATGAGCGGGCAGCGCGTGGACCTCAAGGTGGTTATGCTGGGCAAGGAGTACGTGGGTAAGACGAGCCTGGTAGAGCGATACGTGCACGACCGCTTCCTGGTGGGGCCCTATCAGAACGTGAGTGCGCCCCGCGGGTCCGGCGCGGGTGGGAGGTAGCCCGCTCCCGCGATCCTCATCGCTTCCCCCTGGTTGCAGACCATCGGAGCCGCCTTCGTGGCCAAGGTGATGTCTGTCGGAGACCGGACAGTGACTTTGGGCATTTGGGTAAGTCCCTTGGGCAGGTAGCCCTGGGAATGTCTATTGAGGCTTAGTCCTGCCTATTCGTGGCTGATTGTGGCCTTGTAGAGGCAATTTCTCTTCTCTAGACCCCGGTTTAAAAATGGGGTCTGGAGGACGTATTAGTTTCCAGTCTTGGGGAGAAACTCAGTAACTCAGACCAACGATGAGCTTCCCCCCTGCCCTTCAGGACACAGCAGGCTCTGAGCGCTACGAGGCTATGAGCCGAATCTACTATCGAGGTGCCAAGGCTGCCATCGTCTGCTATGGTAAGGGAGGTTCTCATCTGCTCCTCGAACAAGAAGGGGTGGGTGCCTGGCTGGCCTTACCGACTAGCCCCCGACCTTTGGTTGTTTCCTTCCTGCTCTATACCAAGACCTCACAGACAGCAGCAGCTTTGAGCGGGCAAAGTTCTGGGTGAAGGAACTGCAAAACCTAGAGGAGGTAGGTGGCCAGACCTTCCCAGAGAACCAGAGGCTGGTGGTCTGTATGGATTACCCTGACCTTGTCTTCTGCTTCAGGGCTGTCAGATCTACCTGTGTGGCACCAAGAGTGACCTGCTGGAGGAGGACAAGCGGCGTCGACGTGTGGACTTCCACGATGTCCAGGACTATGCAGACAGTAGTTGCTTCTCAGTTGTTGGGGGCGGGGAAGGGAAGTGGCCGTTTGGGTGGGTCACAGAAAATAGGGACTGTTTGGCTACCATGATAAGATCGTCTGGGAAAGCTTTCAGGCTTCGCTGAACCTGTGGGGTCCAGAAGACTTCCCCTTTGTCTGTGTTCACCTGATTCTCAGATATGAAGCTTTAGGCGCTTTTCTTTTCAGATATCAAAGCTCAGCTCTTTGAAACATCCAGCAAGACAGGCCAGAGTGTGGGTGAGTGCTGTCCTGGGCCTCACAGCAGGAACAGGCGGGGGCACCAGAGGAAGCAAAGAGCCTAGAGGGCTGTGTCACTGGGTGATCCCAGGGCTCCTGGCATTGGGCCTCCACTGATGGCCTTTTTTCCTGCCAGACGAGCTCTTCCAGAAAGTGGCAGAGGATTACGTCAGCGTGGCTGCCTTCCAGGTGATGACAGGTGTGTACTTCCCTGGTCTCTCTGGAGACTTCCTCTAGACCCCGTTCCCGTGTTACCTGATCCCCCAACAGAATGGTGCTGAGCTGCCACCTCTCTTTTTAACAGAGGACAAGGGCGTGGACCTGGGCCAGAAGGCAAACCCCTACTTCTACAGCTGTTGTCATCACTGAATCACCACTGATTTGGCCTGGGGAATTAAAGGAATTCCCCAAGGGGCTGGACCTAGTTCTTGTCTGGGTTTGGTCAAACATGTAAGCTACCCCAGGTCTCCATGGCAGCAGAAGTGGCATCTGTCTGTGCTGGCCCATGGAACGTGCAGCATTGGGCTGGCTGACGGTCATCAGGAGGATAAAGGCTGATTTGGACTCCAGGCTTCTTCCCTGGACAGCACTGTGTCTGCAGATTACTTAAGTGGCTTCTGATTTGTAAATAAAAATCAATGCACTGTGAATCACACTCAGCCCCTTTCTTAGGCCTCACTTCTAATATTATGATTCCTCCCAGCCCTAATTTTCTTTTGGAAACCAAGTTAACTAAAGCCCAAGTTTGCAGCTGAGATAATGGAGAAACAAGAGCCTTTTCCTACACTTTAGGATTGGGAAAGCGCAAAACTCGCAATCCTTCTTGGTGCTGAGAAGAGCAAAGCAAGAACTAAGTGCTGTCCAGAGATCAAAGGATCAAGCACTTCTTCCTCTGGCTGGTTCTACCGCACCTGTCACATCATACCTTTGGCTCATGTCCTCAGCTTCCCATCAGCACCCTACAATGTGGTTTAATGGTAGAAATATCATAGGTTACTGCAACACACAAAATTCTTTCGGGTGGGTATCTAATTCAGATACTTAGAAAAGGGATTTAAACTCAGCCTGAATGTATCTGTAAAATGAGGTAACCACTGACCAGTTCAGGACTGTGAAGATCATAAAAGAAACATAACTTTGACTAAATGCTTATCTCCCATGAAGGGCTTTTTGCTGAAGGAACAGGAAATTCAAGACTAGGTCAGAAAAGGAGTCGGACTCCCAAGGCTGCCTCAAATTTTATTTTTGGACCTTGGAGGACCAGGTGTTAATTGTAAACAGGGCTCACACTTCCAATTTAACTAAAAGAAAGGACACGACAGCCCTTTCCTGTATGGAGGCTTGGCCTCTGTTTCTGCTTTCCTGCCTTAGACTGGATCCTCTGTAACGTCTAAGAGCGCCTGCCTCTGAAGAACTAAAAACAGCCATTTTGGTCAGATTCACACTCAGGAAATCATTTGGTTCTACTTCCTTTTTAAAGACCAATTCCTCAAAATACCCTCACTTCATGGGTGATGAAGACTTCCTGATAGAGATGAAAACACCAGCCACTTTCAAGACATTCTGGCACCTAATGACTCCTGAGAGGAAACCCACCACTCCCATGAGGTGCGTGGGAAAGTGCTCAGCTCCAGTGTCCCACCTGGGCGCTAATGCAGGGGCTGGCTTCTGCTCTCACCCCAAACCCACCCTCCCTCCTTTGGGCTACATCTCCCCATCAACAACAAAACACAACACAGGGCAAGGGCCATAAGAGTAAAGTTAAACTTTACTTTACAGTAATTTTTTTCTATATACAAAGAATTACAGTACATGTTTATGGGGACTCCTACCACAGGGCTCCCCTCTTTTCCACTAAAAGTTTCACAGCTGACAATCTATGGGGGTGAGGAAGAAAAAAAAAGCGATGGACCTCAGCTGTTCCCCCCACACCCCTTTTCTTAAAAATATAAAGGTAGATCTCTACTGTCAGCTTGTTTCTTTGCCAAGTCTTTGAAATCTGCTCTTCCATGAGCTGCTGTGTGCTGCACTCACCCATCGATACACACTCACCTCCATGCACACACAGCACCCACCTCAGACCTGGAGACCACCTCTGGAAGTCTAAAACACCACAGCCATCCATATCTGCTTCTGCTCCCTGGGCTCTCCTTTCCACAAAGCTCTGCTCAGCTTCAGAGTGTTACCCTTGAAGCCCCTCAATAGCCTGGTGTTTGGAAAGTCGTGGGAAAGCAGCTCTAGAGAAGGAACCACTTAAGAATTTAACATGTGCTGTGTTTTGCTTATGTTGATAGGAAACACTGCTTTCCAGGCTGTGGATTTCTAATTAACTTTTACATTTCCTTAAATAATACCTTTAATCTTCATAGGCAGTAGAGGTTCCCATGAGAGAGGTGGAGAGGGGCAGAAGGTAACTGAGGGAGAACCCATACCTGGAGCTCTCTACCAACCTATTCTAGGCAGTGTGGACAGAGGCTATGGACAAGGTGACACCAGCCCTGAAAAACTCAATGGCCACCCTCACCTGGACATGGCATCTCTTCCATCTCTGGACTGCGCTGGACCACTCCAGGATTGGGTATAGCCTTCACCGAGGCTCTGCCCTCTCCTAACAGAGCTTCAAAGAACTGTTCTACATAAAACCTTTTTCTCCCAAACAGGAACTCGGGTTTCTCAAGTCACCAGTTCCTCAACCCTTGGCAGTGCTTATTTATACCAGGAAATTAGCACCATCATTACATTTTTTGAGTGTGTACAAAGCAATTACCTATTCTTATTTCAATTTATACTACAGCAATCTGGCCCTAGGAAGTTCAGCTGAGAGCTAACTGGCCATAGCCAAATAAAGTCTCAAGCAGCTACCTAGTTTAAATGATGTGGAATGTCCAACACATGGAACAGCCTAAACATTATTTATAGGAAAGGAACTTATGGTAGCTCCCTTCCTGCCATGATCTCAGAGGGGATACCTTGGGCCACTCTGACAAACCCCAAGACGCTATCTCCCAAGAAAGCCTTAGGAGAAAAACTGTTTTGTAGAGCTGAGGCCAACATCTGTCCATGTTTAGTGCTCTCCTAATTCCTCCACAGGGGAAGCTGCCTGGACCAGACTTCCTTCCTGCCAGTGTTCTCACAGGCGACCTGGGAGTCCAGCTCCAGTGAGTAGATGCTGCCAAAACCTGTGAAAAATCACTGATACACTTCATGCCCTGACTGTGGTGTGGGGTAGAAGATATGAATACAATTATTTTCTTCAATGCCAAAGATGTAGATTTGGTAGTTGTTCAGAAGAGGATCAACATAGTGATTTAAATCACCTCAAACTCAGGAACTTTAGGGAGATGCAGACATTTAAAAACTTGGATGCTTTTGTAGCGATGAGAGCTATTTGCTATCACAATGGGTTGGCTTCAGTAGAAGCAGAGGCTTTGAATTTAACAGTTTCCATAATTTTCCCCTGACTTAACAGGGTTAGGAGAGGTATTTGTTCTCTAGCTATCTATGGAAGCTATGGCTTCCCCCTGGGAAAAGCTTCCTGGGAAAGGGACTTTGAGGCATATTCTCTTGATATCCGATTTCCAAGCACTTGGCCAAATACCATCCTGCATAAAGATCAGGAATATCTAAGAGAAAAGATTACCTTTTAATTTCCAACTCACAATCCTTAGAGAAAAGGTCTTAGCACAGGCTCTAAGAGAGTCCTCTAGGCTAGTAACTCCCTCTCAGCATCATGCAAGTCTCAATTCCCAACAGTCCTGATTGTGCTTCTAATTGTACAGTGACTGCTTTCATGATAAGATGTTAATAATCTAGAATGAGATGCTGAGATCAGTGGGCCTCACAGTTGAATTTCTAGGTCCCATTCAAGCTTAGAATCTTTTCAAATGGCACCCAGGAAAGCCTGGCACTCCATCCATGTAGATAAAGAACTGCCTCCTATCCCCCAACCCAAGCAGAGTTCAGTTTTTCCCAGGCAGGTCTGGAAGGAAGTATTCAGTGAGTGGTGGAAAATGGAAAGGACCAAAACAAAACCATGAAGTGGTCGATCATGGCCCACTTTTCCCTCACTCCTTCCTGTCCCATGAGACATGTCTAAAGTGGCTGTCAAGAAAATTACCTACCAAAGCCTACTTCAGAAGCTATTATAGGATCGAACTTCTCCACTTACAATTTTTTACAAAGCCTGCACAACCCCCCACCACACACACAAAAAAAATTCACAGTTTATTCCATTAAACAAAGAACTACGGTAATTTAACACACAACATAGTGAAAGGAGATTCTGACAGTGCAGTGTGGATACTTTTTCTGATTGCAACTACAGATGACAGGAGAGAAAAGGGCACAGGACTGGCACCAAGCAAACCCTACTCGTACAACCTAAGAGATTAGGGAAAAAGACCTACTAGCTGCAGTTATATACTTATTATTCTCACACATGATAAATACTTAATATAATGAACTTTAACGTTCTGGGTGGATTTCTTTAAAAATATCTTTTCCATGGTTTAAAATTTTTTAAAAAGAAAATAAGATGCTTTGTTTTCTCTTCCTTTTCAACCAAGAATTTTTCTTCTCTGATGATATGGGAAGAGGGACAGGGCGAAAATAGAGAACTAGGCAGGTGGAATTTACAGAGGAGATTCCGAGGTCTAAGTGAGATGCAAGGATAGGCTCCTAAACTCGGGGCAGCCCTGCCCAGCCTTGTGCCTCTGCCTGAGTTCAAGTGTCTCAATCCCAGAGACCCACTTTGGGAAATAAAAGCAAATTCTTTTTAATTTTTATATAAAGCGCAAATGCTTCTGTAGCTATTATTTCCTCCTTTAGAGTGATTAGAATAGCCTCGCCAGGAACTCAGGAGGAAACTGGGACAAAATACAGAATCCTGTTGATATAAAAGTCATAAATGAGACAGAATGGCTAGGAGACGTTTGGGCCAGATGGCCTGGTTGGCTAAAGCTGCTGGCTAAATTGGCAAAGCAGATAGGTAAATACATTTGGTCTAGGGACAAAAGAGACATGGATGAATGGGAAGAAACTGGCCAAACAGCACTTCCTGTTGGCAGTCAGTGAGCTGGGTGAATGGTAGGGCAGGGTAGCACCAACAGATTTCCCAGCCCTTGAGCCCCAGCTCAGGGCAGCAGTAACAGATAATCAGCAGATATGAGGAGTCAACTCTCAGACTGGACATTTCTCTCAATGCCACATCTTGCCAGTCATAAAGGAAGGGTTATGGTTCCCTTTAAATTCGAGTCAGCAGGCAAGTCCTTTCAACACAGAGCACAATTCTCAGGGGAGGGTGGTAAAATCCACTAGTGAAGAAGAGGACTCCCTCCATTCAGGCAGGAGAGCAAAGGATCAGAAGGGAAGCAATTTTCTGTCAGGATCTGGCACCCTCCCTGAGCTGGTGGTGGATCTAGCTCAGAGCTTGCTGGAGATTCCTAGGTCCACTGCCCAAGACTCTGAAATCTGAAAGCACCTGAGTGTGTGGGGACGGGCATAGGGTGGGTTGATGTAAAAGGAGGAAAATAGGTAAAAAAAAAAGAGAGATAAGCTTGCCAATTGCCTTCTTACTCTGGGGGAAAGCTACGTCATTGTAGAGCCCAGCCTCCACACAACCAGCTATTCCACCAAGTATAGATCTTCAGACTCTGCGAAACCCAGACAAGTAGTGATGGTGGCTGCCCAGCCAACAATCCCACTTGGCCTCTGCAGCCCACCCTGCCTATAAACATCTGCATGAGCACACATGCATGCACATGCACACATGCACACCTAGCCCGAAGAAACAATACAATCATTTCTGGGACCATGCCTCAGGGCCCTCAGAACTTCATGTTATTTCCTGGCCAAAGGTTAAAAACAGCCTAGAAACCCAGGCAGGTATGTTAGGCTCATAAGGATCAGGTCTTATTTATCTCTGTATCTCCTATCAGTGACCAGCACCTGGCCTCACACCCATGAATGTTCAAGAAATTGCCACTGGTTTGAATGGGTATCAGTTCCTCCCAAGAGTTCATCAAGTGCCCTCAGTGGGGCTCTGTAGGCATAGAGAAATAGCATCGAAAGCCCCTCTACCTTCCAACCTGACCAGTGGAATTGAATCCCATGTTTGACTCCAGAGTGGACTTTTTATTTCAAGTTGACCATGTGTAAAGGATGAGGGAAAGAAACCCAAGTTCTGTCTGTCTCCTTGGCTGAGGCCCACTTGGATTTCCATACATGTTTCACATAACATTAAGCCCCCACTTGCTAATGTCACAAGAGTTCTGAGTGTTGGGATATAAAGAAAGAATAACAGTGAAAAGGTAGTGGGGTCTGTTTTATAAGGGAGAAGAATAATATTTCCCTCCCCAAGAACCCTGGGGGTAGCTGGGCTGGTCATCTGACATTTACTGGTATTATTTCTGTTCTGACTCTGCATACTTGTGACTGGAAGGCGCCTGGTTAAGAGTTGAGAATGTGTTTTGCTCTGGTTTAGGCTCTTGCCCTCTTCCAAGAGACCAGCAAGTTTGTGCCAATGTCTGTGTGTTCCCAGACGACCAGCAGGACGGCGCCAGTGTGTGTCCAGCTAACATGGGCCAGAGCCCTGGCCCTGGTGAGGTCTTTCCTAGGGCCCAGGGACTCTGCTCTGTGGTTGTCAACTTCTTCTCTTCAGTGGAGAGGGAGGATGTGGCCTTCCCAAGAGGCCTGAAGGACTGCCCACTCTTGGCACCAAGTCCAGGTACTTGATGGCCTCCAGCCATCTGTTTCACCTGCTTCACCAGACCCAGTGCTTGGCTGGGAGGCCCTGGCATCTGCTCAGTTCCTGCAGGTGCTCTTCCTGCAGCCTGAGTTGCTGCCTCATATAAAAAAGCCTTGGCAGGGGACGGAGAAAGAAGTCTGGCTTGGGTGAGTGATTTAACAGCTTGCCAGGGGTGCTCCAAGGGGGCCACGGCTTTCCCAGGAGGCTGAAAGACAGGATCTGACACACTGCCTCTCTCCACAACTCGAGACATCTGCCCCAGACCTTTGCTGGCAAGCCATGAGCTGGACTCCAACACTGGCATCTTCTCATCAGCTTGTGGTGTGGCCTCATGAGGAGAAGCTGCCCGTTCTTTCTGGCGAGAAGTTAGGTCTATGAGATCCATCACTAAAGCAGCTCTGTTTTTCGACTGAGTATTCTGGTCCACGGGCCTCAGTGCTTTTTCTTTAGCTACCAGTGTCTGGACCACAGCTGATAGCACTTTATCAGGAGGTGGGAATCTCGGGGTCAAAGAAGCATGGGATTTGTCTGGAGACCTGTCTGAAGTCTGGGGTTTGGGGCTGCTGGTGACTAGCAGTCTGTCTGACGGTGGAAGTCTCAGGAGAGTAGGGACTGGGGTTTTCTCCAGCGACTGGGACCTTGGGCTGGCAGCACCTATGGATTTATCCAGCCTTGGGTCAGCTGTCCCTAGAGGTCTTTCCAGTGGTTGGGACCGGACTGAGGGTGAAGAGCTTGGGCCGGTCACTGGAGAGGGTTTGTCAGATAGTTGGGTTCTTGGTCCTCCCACTGTAGATGGCCTGTCCAATGACTTCTGGCTGGATACCAAGGACTGGGGTTTGGTCCCTGACCCAGCAAGGGCCCTGACCCTTTCTACAGGCGGGGGCCTGGAGTCAGTTCTGTCAGGAGGTCTTTCAGGGGGTGGTGGCCTCTGACAAGTCCCTGCCAGAGGTTTTTTGGATAGTGACGTCTGGTTGGCTTCAGCAGGTGGCTTCTCCAACATCTTGGGCCCTTGATCAGCTACTCCTGATGACTGTTGCTCTGCCAGTTGAGTGCTTGGGCCTGGAGTCAGTGGTACCGGGGGAGGCACATACTCACGGATCTCCCCAGGTTCCAAAGGGTTGGGCCCACAGGGGTCGTGCTCAGTACAAGACAGACGTCCATCCAGTTTGGAGATGAAGAGCATCCCTTCCCGATGCTGCTTGCAAAAGGAGCTAGGACACATCTCACAGAAGGAGGCTGCTTCCTTCCCACAGATGTCACACTGATGCCAAGGACACTCCCATTTTCCTGAAACACAGATGTGAAACAAGAGCTTAGGAAAACAAGAGATGGGCCACAGCTCTGGAACTAGGTCAAAGGAGTGATTTCAAACTGCCCTGTTCTGCAGATAGCTCATGCTTCCCCAGCCCCAGGAGCTCAGCTTCCTCTTCTGCACAACTGCATATAAAAATAACTGCCAGTATCAAGTAGCAACTAAGCATCAACTAAATATACAGGCAGGAGTAATTCCTTATTTCTATTTCTATTATTTCTATTCCTAGCAAGGAATAAGACCCCAAAGCTCCCCTTACATCAAGCATGTCAAACTTTTGGCCCGAGGGCCACATGTAGCCCACAATATTTTTGCAGCCCAACCAATATAACAGTATGTCAAGAAACATTTTAATAAAAATTTCATAACTTAATTTTTACAATATCCGGTTATACATAATTGTTAAAAACGAATGACAATGTTCACTAACAACTGATTACTACAATTGTGTTCCCTTATGCACCTTATGCTCAAGCGTACCAGTTCTCTCCACTAATACTAGCAGAGAATATTTTAACAGCCGATTGCTACATCAATAGTCTTGTACTGACTTGTTGGCTGTGTGAAATAGGATATATTTAGCTTCTGGAGAACAAGAAAAATAGGTTTTATTTGTGTTACACATATTAATTTGTGCAGTTATTCAGTGTCTGGTAAGTTAATGTTCAAGAAAAAATTTTAAAAAATATATATTTTATTGATTTTTATAGGGAGGAAGGGAGAGGGATTATTTCATGTTAATGATTACTCATTTATTGCAGCCCTTTGTATTCAGCATATCTCTATCGAAATAAACCTACATTTCTATGAAAATTGAAGCTTTATTTTTTTGCGGCGAACATAAACTTAAACCTTATTTGGCCCATGTTAGTCTTTGAGTTTGACATGCTTGTCTTAGATAAAAATGAGGATATTACTTTCATATTTTGCAAACTCCTTTTGTCCTTTAAATATTCAACTCTAGTACAACTTGCATGGCTCAGTAATTGAGTGTCAACCTATGAACCAGGAGGTCAAGATTCGATTCCCAGTCAGGTACGTGCTGGGGTTGCAGGCTCTCTCCCCAGTGAGTGGTGTGCAGGAGGCAGCAGATCAATGATTTTCTCTCATCATTAATATTTCTATTTCTCTCTCTCTTCCTTCCTCTCTGAAGTCAATAAAAATATATTTTATTTTATTTATTTAAAAATATATTTTATTGATTTTTTTTACAGAGAGGGAGAGGGATAGAGAGATAGAAACATCCATGAGAGAGAAACATCGACCAGCTGCCTCCTGAACACCTCCTTCTGGGGATGTGCCTGCAATCAATATACATGCCCTTGACCAGAATCGAACCCGGGACCTTTCAGTCCACAGACCGACGCTCTACCTACTGAGCCAAACCGGTTTTGGCAAAAATATATTTTTAAATAAATAAATATTCAACTCTAAGGGGAACATTTCAGCTATTTAAACTCCTGCTTATTTAGTTATTAGTAGAAAGTGGGAGCAGATATACAAATGTGGAAAAAAAAAAAAAAAAAAAAAGGAAGCAGATTTACCTTTGCTCAATTTTAAGTCTTGAAATTAGCACAAACTTTATCTGTGTTGTCTACACAGAATCAGTGGGAAAAACCCAAAGCTAACCTTAGGTGTGTTTGTCTCCACTTCATGATAGCTGAGAGTCTCTGTCATGGACAGTGTTTCTTCCCCAGTTCCTTCCAATAAACTATGCTGGCTAGACTTTGTTCCTGGCCAGATCAGTCTATCACAGCCTGGCCATGAGTAATTGATTCTGAAACAATTTCCCATTTCCACTTCCTGGAAGTGTTAGGTTAATGTTATGACCTGCCCCCACACTATCTCATTTTTTATTATTTCATTATCCTAGCAACCACATATTGAAGGACAAACTCCTCTCACTACCGCCCCATAGTTGTTCTCTTTCTGCAATTCCAGGAAACAGTCCTCTAGTGATGTATAATCATCTCACCTAGAATGGCTTCCCACTGGTTTCTTATCCTTGTAAATTTAAAATAGATGACAGGTCCAAACCCCTAAAATACGCTAATTCCAAATCACCACCAAGTTAGTGACTTCTCCACACACAAATTTCCAGGTACCACATCTGCCTAAGCAGTTTCCTCATCTAACTGACACCTCTGCATCTCCTTCAGAGGGAAGTGTGTTAACGAGGTCTAAAAGGGTATCAGTCCACACCTCACTGACTAGAACTGATCTAAAGCTCCACTCTGTCTCAACTGCTCTTTGTTTAGAAAGGGAACGTGTTTTAGTAAACGAGGTCAGATATGGAGTGGCTGCAGTGTTTGGACAGGTTCAAGCCTTGGACTGACAGAAGGGCAAGGTCCTCTTCTGGCAACGCCATCTATAAGTCCCAGCTTGGAGGACAAAGCCCTCCCAAGCACAATTACAGCCAAAGGCTATGGTTGTAAGCTTAACCTTATAATCTGACCCTGTAGTCCTATGTAGCTGAGGGCTGTGGGCTGAGGGCGGTGTAGCAAGTGCTGCCAAAATAAAGTTTGATAGAGCTCAGAGAATTGCAACAGGAAAGAAGTAGACTTGAAACTCACAAGAACATTATAAACATCTTGACCACTCTTTTGTTTTGCTTTGTGTGATCTAACTATAAAGATTCGGCTTACAGGTTGTGTCACTGATCCACCTGGCCCGAACTATATTCCCTTGTCTGTTTTCTTTAACACATTAAGCGCCCAGCCTGTTTTGTCTTCTGGACAGAAAGTATAGTGTCAGTCACCAGTGACTGGGACCTTACCATGTTAATCCTTACCGTCCCTCCTCTGGTTCACCACTGGCCGTGCTGGACACAGTTCAGTCAGAAAACCTGGCTTTCAATCCAGCTCCTACATCTATATGTTCTAATGAGACAAATCATCTCACCAAATTTGATTCTGAGTTTCCTTATCTACGTCATGGGAAAGTGAAAAGATCTCATCTTTATGGGTTGTTAGGAGGATAAAATAACATAACAGAAATAAAATACTTGATATATAGCAAGTGAATTTCTGTTCCCTTCTCTATAAAAATAGGGTTCTAAACTTTTGCTATTTAGTCCAAGATTAAGAACATGGACCCAAATCCCCTCAATACTATGCATGGGATGCATGGGAAGACCAGAGGGCTTTGAGAATTCTGGCTGAGAACAAGGAACACTCTTTACAGATTTTGGCACCAACCTGCTGGTCGCTTGGTTAGATTGAGACAGTCTGCATGGTAAACTTTTGGGCAGCCCGGCTTCTTACAGGAGACAAGCTGACCAGCATCCCCACAGCTGAAACACTCATCCTCTCGCTCCTTTGTGATTTCACCCTGGCTCCTGCGCTTCCCCTGTTGCTTCTTCTTGAATTTCTTTGACTTTTCTTCTGTGGCAATGGGTTGATTCTAGAGGTCAGATATTGAGTAGTCAGCATTCTGTCAACACATTAGTTGCATGATCTTGACCAGGTTAACTATTTTCTCTGTGTCTCAGTCTCTCCTCTGGGAAGAGACAGTCCTTATAGACTGTTGTAAAGGTATGAGAAAAGGCAGAAAAGGCACCTAACCCATCACAGTATTATAGTAAGGTACCCAATAAGTGGTTGTATTAATTAACTTTTGTACCAACTACCCTGCTACCTGAATGAAATTAGAGAGATATGTTCTTTTTGTTGACATACAGGCTGATGTTAAAGGTCACCCCTTTCATAAGTTTTATTTTTACATTAATTTCATAACTAAGGAAGACTTCTTTGTGTGCATACACATTTCTTAGTTTATTCAACAAACCTTCACTGAGCACTTAGTATGAGCCATGTGCTTGGAAGACACAAAAAATCTAGTTCATGGTCCTTGGCCTCAACAAGATATGCATTTTTATCTAAATCAAATTATGTCCGCCACTTAAGACAGATCCTAGAACAGCAGGTTTTCTCTGTGCTCCCATTCTTGGTCATCAAACCCAGTGGTTTTCATAAGCTTCTGCTCTTGAAATTCTCTTATTATTGATTCATGTGTGAAAAGTTGCCAAGACCTTAAGGATGCAGAAACTAACATTCCCAGTGTATATAACATCATTAAATTCGGGTTAAATTCGGTTATATTTTAATTTATAGGTAAAAAGTCAACTGGGCATCTGAAGGAATAAGACCATTTAACTCAACCAGCTAAACAAAATCCAACATAATATAAAAATAATTTTCCTTACTTAATAAAATAATTACTGGATACTCTTCATCTTGATGTGTAACTGCTCAAACAGATTATTATCTTTAGTTATAGGTTTCTATACTAATTTGAATTTTTCAGTTCTTAATATTGACTTCATAATCAAAAAACCATAATGGAAATACCCAACTAGAGTCACTGTATAATCTACTATGCATCAAAATTAAACATAAATTTTCAGTGTGCTGTTACTTATGAGAGAGATATCTAGAAGTATCCAGATGTTCAACTATTATGGTCCACCCATTATATAAAAAATTTAACAGTCACTAACAATAATGATTGAGAAGACTATGGAACAGCAAGGAGAGTTTATAATATTTAACAAAAGTAGGATGCAGACTTATAGACAATTCTTAACAGTTATAGAATTATAATTCAGTTAAACAGCATATATAAAATACTATAAACTCACAACAATGTTTATACTTTGTTACAATGATAAAATTAAGGATCCTATGTTTATTGACAGTATTATATAATACTAGAAGCCCGGTGCACGGATTTGTGCACTGGTAGAATCCCTTAGCCTGGCCAGCAATTGAAGCTTATGAGGAGGTAACAGCCGGCACCACCATGAGGGCCGATCAACGCTGGTTGTGGGGAGAGGCCACAGGAGGTTGACAGTAGGAGTGCACTGACCATCGGGGACAGGTCCTGCTTTGAGCGTCTGACCCCTGGGGTTTAGTGTGCATCATAGCGACTAGTTGACCACTCGTTCTGATCATTTTGTTGTAATGGTCACTTAGGCTTTTATATATATAGATAAGTAGCTTATTAGGAAATATGAGTAAGATTACCAACTGAGACCAATAAAAATATGGCAAATAACCCACTTTAAGATTTCTATTTACAGGCTTCTTAGCTAAAAAATATCCCCAGTTAGAAGTTAGATTGTTTAAAACACTCTAACAGTACTCAAAGATTCTCTGTGTCACCAAACTGATCATCAGAATTTTTACATAGCAAATTGCCAGTGACCATGATAACTATTCTCTGTCATTATTTCAAAGAGACACCCATGCAAATTGACCCGCACCTCCGCCACACCATCAAGCCATGCCCACCAGCCAATCAGAAGTGAGTATGCAAATTAACCCAACCAAGATGGCTGCTGCCACGGAGAGAACAGGAGGCTTGGGTTTCCCCGGCAATGGAGAAAGCCAAGCTTTAAACCTGCCCTGGCCTGCCTTGGCCTCCGCTTAAGGGTACAAAGTTTCAATTATAGAAGATAAATATATCCTAACAAAAATGGTAGCAGCCATGGAGCTGTAGGGAGAAGAAAGCTTGAGTTTCCCTTGGCACTGGAGGAAGCCAAGTTTCCACAGCCCTGGACTGCCTTGGCATCTGCTTAAGGCTACCAAGTTTCAATTATAAAAGATAAATAAATCCCAACAAAAATGGCTGCGGACAAAGAGCGAGCAGGAGGCTTGGCTCTGGTAAAGGCTAGAAAGTTTCAATTATAGAAGATAAATAAATTCAGATACCAGAGCCTCCGCTTGGGTCACCAGGGGTGTAGCCAGCCTGCAAACCGCCACAGACCCCTCACCCAGGCCGTCCCAGGCCCCAAGGGAACCACCTCCCTAATCTGGGACACTTTCAGGGCAAACCCGCTGGCCCCCACCTGTACAACAGGCCTCTTTCCTATCTAATCCTATCTAATAAAAGAATAATATGCAAATTGACCATCACTCCAACACACAAAGATGGCTGCCCCCATGTGGACACAAGATGGCCAGCAGGGGAGGGCAGTTGGGAGGAACCAGTCCTGGAAGGGAGGGCAGTGAGGGATAACCAGGCCAGCAAAGGAAGGAAGTTGGGGGTGGATCCAGGCCTGCAGGGGAGAGCAGTTGAGGGGGGACTAGGCCTACAGGGGAGAGCAGTTAGGGCGGACCAGGCATGCAGGGGAGGGCAGTTAGGGGGGACCAGGTCTGCAGGAGAGGGCATTTAGGGGCAAACAGGCTGGCAGTGGAGCAGTTAGGCATCAATCAGGCTGGCAGGGGAGTGGTTAGGGGGTGATCAGGTTGGCAGGTAGAAGTGGTTAGGAAGGCAGGCAAGCAAGCATTTGGGAGCCAACAGTCCTGGATTGTGAGAGGGATGTCTGACTGCCTGTTTAGGCTTGACCCTACCATGATCAGGCCTAAACAGGCAGTTGGACATCCCTCGAGGGGTCCCAGATTGGAGAGGGTGCAGGCTGGACTGAGGGACACACACCTCCATGCATTAATTTCGTGTTCCGGGACACTAGTCTCAAAATAAAGACCCAGTCCTGCAATGATAGGGCGGGAGGACCACACCACTATTCTCGATTCAAATGTTTAGAAAGTACCTTTGGCCTTACACCCAAAAAGCCACTGCAGTTTGGGGCTCCACATTTGCAAACAGTCTTTCCATTCCCAAGACATTCTAGGTTGTAGTTGAAAGTAAGTTCAGTGCCTGCATAAGAGACAATGAAAAGATTAATATCTGTGGTATTAATTATATTATTTCTGCATTAATAACAAAAAGTATGTTGACTTCTAAGGGAAATTATTAATTTTTGAAAGAATAAAAAATCAGCCCAGCTGCCATGGCTCAGTAGTTAAGTGTCAACTTATGAACCAAGACCCCATGGTTTGATTCCCAGTCAGGCACATGCCAGGTTGTGGGCTCAATCCCCAGTGGGGGTGTGTGCAGCTGATCAATGATTCTCATCACTGATGTTTCTCTCTCTCTCCCTCTCCTTTCCTCTCTGAAATCAATAAAAATACATTAAAAACTAACTACAAATCCCACTGTATTAATGAAATGTTAAGTTCCAATCCTATAACATTATTAATCACCTAATACAACTTAATAAGAGAAAAACTTAAATGGCTTAACAACTAATATTTAAACTAACTTTTACTAAAGAAGTGTTAATATCTCAAGTTGGTTTTTTGTTGTTGTTTTTTTTAAATATATTTTATTGATTTTGTACAGAGAGGAAGGGAGAGAGACAGAGAGCCAGAAACGTTGATGAGAGAGAAACATCGACCAGCCGCCTCCAGCACATCCCCCACCGGGGATGTGCCCACAACCAACGCACATGCCCCTGACCGGAATCGAACCCGGTACCCCCCAGTTCGCAGACTGACACTCTACCACTGAGCCAAACCGGCTTCAGCTCAAATTGGTTTTTAAAATTTGTTTTCTAACCATTCAGATCCAAAATACTGGTATATTAATTCATTACCAAAAACAGACAACAATTTACAGTGATGTGCCAGGTATTGGAAATGCAGGTATGAAGAAAACCTGTTTGTGCCAAGGTGAGCACCTGGCAGCACTAAAGGGGAGACATCTCAATATAGAATAATATGAGAGAACTCTATATCATAGACCTAAATAAAGTCCTGGCTTTACATCCCATATACATTATAATCTGAGTGATTTGAGCCCCAAGTATATCCATTAAATGGAGAAATAGCAACCTCATACAGAGGCTTGTTGAGAGAATATGATATAATAACATAGCAATAATTTGTAAACTTTTAAAAAGAGAAGTACAAATAGATTTTAAGGTAGGAAAAGTCTCCTTTCTGTTGTGCACGTCATCAAAACCAAGAAAGCAAATAAAACACATTCAAACTCAAAACACATTAGTAAAGGCCTAACAAATAAATACAAGAATTTTATATACGTATACCGAGAGGATGTCTCTGGGCAGAGGTAATGGCTTAGATGATAGTCATTCAGTCAAAATTGTCAAATCTTAAATTTCACTTTGCAGATGGATTCATCTACCTACCAGTGAGAATAATCAATATAGTTTTCCATCAAATATTAGAAATTGATTATTTATTTGGTCAAGCACATTTTTAAGCAACTAGCTTATATTTAGGGGTACAAAATGGTCTGAATACTAAAACCACTCATGGCCTGGTGAAAGGCTTAAAATGCAAGGAACCTGCAAGAACTGAGATTGACCAAGATAACAGCAGAATCATGTTTCCCCTCTCACATCCACTGTGAATTTACTGGACTAAATAACAGATAATTCTATCACACTATTATTATTAAGCAAATTAAAACTATATGATTCAATTTTCATAAATTTTATGTGCTTATAATGCAACTCAATGCTATACATAAGTATAAGATAGCAGGATACCTGAAATAATCTGCTGCTCATTCAGCATCCACTATGTAAACATAAGTACATAAGGGGATAAATTAAAATGTATCAGTGCACATAAAGGAAAGACTTCAGAGCATCCTAGAAGAGTCCAACATACAATAATCCTTGAGAGGTCTGAACTCATCGGGGATGGGGAAGGGAGTATATATGACACATGTGGGAGGCAGAAAATCACAGGTATGTGAAGAGCTAAGGAAGTTGGATGAGTAAGAAGAGTAGGCTGAAAAGTTCTGATTCCATTTGCCAAGGCCACAGTTCCTACAGGCACTCTGCATGGCATTCAGCAGATTCTGTCTCATTTTTCCATCACACCCATACAGACTGGAAGTCCAGTGAGGACAAGAAGATCTATGAATTGCCACACATGCTATCTGAGCTGATACAGGAGAGAAGAGAAAATTTGTAGCTAGATATGCCAGAGGAAACCATCCCCATGGAGACTACAGTTCTGAGAACAAATGTACTAGAGAAAGCAGTCAGGACAGATATAAGAACTAAAGTCATATAACCGAGTATCTTCTGAGTAATTAATACAGAGGAATCATACCCTCATCCTGGGGTCGATAGAGAGAAAAATGAAGAAAAGAATGAGAGAAGTGAAACCCAAAAATCCAAGTAACATAGGTATGATACCACATACTTTATAGCCCTTTTGCGAAGATTATATTAGGTAACATGTTTGGAACAGTGTCTGGCATCTGATAAATGGTAGCTGTTATTGTATTCACTTCATAATTCCTGTTACAATGTAGCAATTTATCGAATTTATTCTGAAGCCATCTATTAAAAAACTTGATACAAGTCATCATTTTTAAAAGCAGCATCACAGAGTAGACCACAGTGCACAGTGACAATCAAAATTTATTACCTTCCGCAATTAATACTTTAAGTAGTGCAACACGGGAGAGAACTAGTGGCTAAATTTTTGAAATATGAAAATTGTCAGAACCTTTAAAATTCTGAAAAGTCAAAACAACTCCTAGGCAGTATATTTAAATTATAGAGAAAAGGATTTTTTTTGTTTGGGGGGGGGGGGGTGGGGGCGGTGGTCCTGCGAAAGGGGTGGTAAGGAGCCATGGATTGCTGATGCTTTTCTAAGGCAAGATAAATCTATAATAACTAGAGGCCTGATGCACAAAGATTTGTGCAAGAATGGCCTTCTTGCCGAAACCGGTTTGGCTCACTAGATAGAGCATCGGTCTGCAGACTGAAAGGTCTCAAATTTGATTCCGGTCAAGGGCATGTACATTGGTTGCAGGCACCTCCCCGGTAGGAGGTGTGCAGGAGGCAGCTGGTCAATGTTTCTAGCTCTCTATCCCTCTCCCTTCCTCTCAGTAAAAAAAAAATCAATGAATTTAAAAAGAACAAAAAAAAGAACGGGCCTTCCTTTCCCTGTCTGCCAGCACTGCTTTTGCTCTGGAATGGGGCACTTTTCTGCCTTTCCACGCAGCGCAGAGGCCTTTAGGCGCCTGTGTATGCAAATTAACCCACAATATTTTTGGGTTAATTTGCATACTCACTCCAGATTGGCTGTTAGGTGTCTCGAAGGTACAGTCAATTTGCACCTTTTATTAGTGTAGATAAAATCAGAATATGCTAATTAGACCAGATGTCCTGGATGAAGCCAGGGCTATGAGAGAAGCTCAGGTCCTGGGTGCCTGCCAGTGGCCAGAGGGAAGCGAGGTTTTCATATAAAAGGTCTGGAAATGTATTCCTTTAAAATCATCCATAACAAAGCTTGAAGTCACCATGTAAAATGAAATGAATTAGTCACAAAAAAAGAACAAATCCTATATAATTCCCCTTAAATGAGATTCTTAGAGCAGTCAAATCCAGAGATGGAATTGGTGATTGCCAGGGGCTAGAAGAGGGGATAATGGGAAGTTAGTGTTTAATGGGTACAGAGTTTCACTAGGAGAAAATGACGAGTTATGAAGATGGATGGTGGTGATAGTTGTATATGTCGATGGATTTAATGCCACTTAAAAATGATAAATTTTATGTTATGTATATTTTATCACAACCCCACCATCACCAACAAAATCCATGCCAAGTACCATGCAAGTCTTTTATATATATCCTCAGGAGTTTGCAAACCTTGTTTTAGATCATAGGACATATGGGATTTTAAGATGATAAAATCTGAAATTCCATTTTTAGCTCCATATTTCTTAGGTGATTCTTACCTGCTTTAATGTCACTCAGGGCAAAAAGGCCAACACGGGTATCTCCATTCACAGACCACTTCTGTGTTTCACAGTTGGGCTGGCAGCAGTGATTCATGAACCGAGCGTAGTTTCCTTTGGGACCAGCATCAATGATCCGATCCTAGAATTCCAACAGATACTGCTCATCACTTTCTGAGAATTTTAACATACTAGAGGTTCTATGCATAGTTTGAGTCTCCCAGAAGAGTGATTATTATTATTTTTTAAAAACAACATATATTTTTATTGATTTCAGACAGGAAGGGAGGGAAATAGAAACATCAATGATGAGATAGAATTGATGATTGGCTGCCTCATGCATGCCCTCTACTGGGATCAAGCCCACAACCTAGGCATGTGCCCTTGACTGGAATCCAACCCGGGACCCTTCAGTTCGCAGGCTGATGCTCTATTCACTAAGCGAAACCGGCTAGGGCAGCACTGCATTCCTTTTTATGACTGAATAATATTCCATCGTTTGGATAGACTACATTCTTTTGTCTTCTTTTTCATTTTTAGTCTTTAGAGCACACTGTTTATCAGTTGATGCCCATCAGTTCACGGATATTTGGGTTGCTTCCATTTTGGGACTATCATGAACAATATTGCTATGAATGAACAAAACACTAATGTACAAATTTTTGTGAGAACATATGTTTCATTTCTCTTGGATATACATGTAGGAGTGGAACTGCTGGGTTATATGTGAACTTCTTGATAAACTTTTTGAGGAATGTTACCAAAGTGACTGCAGCATTTTATATTCCCACTAGCAATGTCTGAGAATTTTAATTTCTCCATATATCCACCAATATATTATTTGCCTTTATTCATTAACTTATTTATTCATATTTTATTAATTTTTAGGGAGAGAAAAAGGTAGCAGGATAGAGATAGAAACATAGATGAGAAACATCACCCAACTGCTGCCTTCTGCATGCTCCCTACTGGGGATTGAGCCAGAAACTCATGCATGCCACCTGACTGGGAATGGAACCATTGGTCTCTTAGTTCCTAGGTCAACACTCAACCTCTGAGGTCAGATGGAAAGGAGAGCTGCCAGGTACATCCTGTCCTCTCTGGTCAGGGTGGTGTGGAGGTGAGAGGGGGGTAACTCGCTGCTTTAGTCTAGCGAGACAGCTGAAAACCTGTGTGGAAGCTCAGAGCTTGAACCAGCAGGGCACGCTTCTAACATCTGCTCAGGTCCCTGCTCTTCCCATTGTGGTCAGCATCACTGCTGTCACGTGGAAGAAAAAGAAAAATTTAAAAACAAAACACTCAACCACTGAGCCACACCAGCCGGGGTTGCCTTTTTTATATGGTTATTTCAGTGGGTATGAAATGGTATCTCAATGTGGTTTTAATTTGCATCTCTCTAATGAATAATGATGCTGAGCACCTTTTCTTGGTTTTTTGGCCATTTGTAAATCTTTGGAGAAATGTCAATTCAGATTTTTTTTCTGTTGTTAATTCTCACCAGAGGGTATTTTCCCACTGATTCTTTTGTTTTTTAAAAATTTATTTTTATTGATTTTAGAGAGGAAGGGAGAGGCAGAGATAGAAACATCAATGATGAGAGAGAATCATTGATTGACTGCCTCCTGCATGCCCCCTAGTGGGGATGGAGCCTGCATTCCAGGCATGTGCTCTGACTGGGAATCAAACCCCGACCTCCTGGTTCACAGGTTGATGCTTACCCACTGAGCCATGCTGGTCGTCAGAAGAGTGATTCTTAAAGTATACTTGTTGGATCAGCACTAGCATTACCACCTGGGAATTTGCAGAAACTATGAGGTGGGGGCCCAGCAATCTGTGCTATAATAAGCCTGTTAGGTGATTCTGATAATATGCTGAAGTTTGAGGACCTAAAATAGGGGTGTCGAACTCAATCAGAGAAGGGGCCAAAATCTAAAATCCAGCCTAAATCGCGGGCCGAATGGTTTACTGAACAGTCATAAACTGTCATTGTGATGGAAACACAGCGGAGTGCAGTGATGACAGCGCGGTGCGGGCCACATTGCAAGGCCTGGCGGGACGGATTTGGCCCGCGGGCCTTGTGTTTGACACATGTGACCTAAAAGAAGAAGCTTGCCCCATCCACTAAATTAGGTAGTCCCTCAGAAATCACCTAAGGAGACTTTAATACCAATACTGAAGACCCATTTCAAACAAAGATGAGAACACCTGGAATTGAGTATCTCATAAACCATAAGGATACAACTTGATAAAAATGAAATGTTTACGAAGTTTCACACCAGGAAAAAATCCTGTGTGGAAGAAAAGGGTTGCGGGGAGATGGGCTAGTAGAACCTAACACTCAGGTACAAAGAGGAAGCTTAGATACACAAAAAATAAATACATTATAATGCTAGCATTAGGAACAGTTCCAAATATAATTCTAGGTACCAAAGAAGTGTAACTCATCAGAAAACTCCTATAATTGAAAAGCTGACTTGGGTTCAGAAAATACTAACAGATATAGTCCCCAACTTACACTGCATAGCTAAAAAAAAAATAGATAAAAGCAGTATTGCCTTTGGCCATGTATGTATAGCCAGAAATGAGCAAACTTACCTATTTTAGAACCCTGAACACTATTTTAGGTAGTGTATGACATGCCTACAAACACTATGGCTAGGACAACACTAATTTCACAATCCATTACTTACTTTGTCTAGGGTGAGCATATAGAAATTAGTGATATCGTGTTCTTGGGCATAACGAATTCGAGCTCTGCATTCTTCTTCATCTATTAGCTCACCCACATACTCATTCACAAATTCACCCTAGAACAAGAAAGAGCTATTGACTTAACGGCAAAACACACAACTATATTTACAAGTACAGTACATTTTACTTTTATTTTTTATTGATCTTCACCTGAGAATATTTTCCATTGTGATTTTTTTTTTTTTTTTTTTTTTTTTTTTTTACTTTGAGAGACTGGAAGGGACGGGGAAAGAGAGAGACCCTTTGGTGTATGGGCCGAAGCTCTAACCACTGAATGCATGGGCCAGGGTCAAGTACACCTTACTTTAAAAAATAACAGATTCAATATTTCCCACTAACTCTCCAAAGCAATTCATGTGTATGTAACTAGTCACTTAAAAAAGGTTTATTCAAAAAACTAACAAATACAATGCTTCAACTATCTGATATTAAAAATCATCTCCCCACTCCTACCTCTGCCATTTGGAGAAAGAGGAAAACACTGGACAACCAAAATGGAAATAAACTAAAGCTCCATATAACAGTGAAATAGTTAATTCCCCTTTACCTATCCAAATACTTTAGTAAAGTCAGTTTTCCTAATAGGCAGGTTCCTTTTTCTTGAAACATGCCCTGCTGCCCTTACCCATTTCAGACTACTGTTCCACTGACTTAATCACCACAGTCATACTGGCTCTCACTCATGCTGTCTCCTCTATATGCAATGCTTTGACACTCAGCTGACTAAGCCTATAAGTACTTATTTTCTAAGTCTCAACTTAAAATATTTTCAAAAACCTTTGCCACATGCCTCCAGAAACCTTTCTGCTTCTACCCTGGGTGATGATTTCTGCAATGTCTCTCCCCCTTTGGAATGTAAACTTTATGAAAGCTTCGAACATGTTTTCTTTGTTGATCACTGCATCCTTAGCACAATGTCTTGGCAAATGACTGAACAGGTCAACCTGGATTCGTTTCCTTTCTTAGAGACAAATTCAGTGAAATTCTTTAGAAAGTGTAACCAGAATAAGGTTTATTTTATTTAAATGTCAAATAAGATTTATTCTACACAAAAAACTTCACAATATTGTCTATTTTTTAGAAACTTGCTGGTCCTTCTAAATTTGAAGATATTACTTCATTTTCATTAGAAAAGGAGCAATCATCTTTTCCTTTGTGTTCTATGAACCCAAACCTACTTTTCCTCAGTATAAATACACTTAACTTTATTAGTAAGTGATCTACACATCTAAATGATGTGCTTACAGGTGATAAGATAGTCAGAAAGAAAAAAAGCAAATAAGGGCATAATATCTCTGAATTTCCCTTGTTTTCTCATCCTGACACACAATGAACATGATCAATACTAAGGATGTTACAGATAAGGAGAACACCTATTCTTAAGCCTCTAAACTCTAGAAGGATATGCTTTGCAAGAACAGTAACAAGGTTTATCCTTACACTATGTTATTTTTCCCTATGATCAATTTTCTCATAGTCATCAAGAAGAATTAATCATATTAAGCAATTAATGAGAAAAAAATTGGAAATTAAGAAGTTTTCTTCACCTTTTTAATATCTGTTTTTGTTCGAAGACCCCAGCCCCTCTGTAATGTGCGAAAAATCTCCACCTCTGGGTATTGGCGCTTAGTAAAGCACTGGTTTTGGCAACGTCCTCCGGCAGGACATACTGTGGGGTGGCACTCATAGAGCAGCATGCGGTTGATGCACTCAGAGTCTATCCCACAGGGGTTATCATCAGTAGCTTTACAGTTGCAACGGGGTATTTCAGACAAGTCTGCAGTGAAGATCTGTACCCGGCCAATAGGACGGTTCACCTGGAAAAGAAACACATACTATACATAGTACATCAGACAAGTCAACACAAGACAATTCAGGACCTATAAAAGGGAGATTTCTTTTCCTTAAAGTTGCATATCACATTTTTTTATGATTTTGAAGCATTAAGATTTAGCAGCATTATTCACAACAGCTAAAATGTGGAAGCAAATCAAGTGTCCATTTACAGATGAATGGCTAAGCAAATAATGGACTATTATTCAGCCTAAAAAGGAAGAAAACTTTGAAACATGCTACAACATGGATGAACCTGGAAGATATGTTACATGAAGCAAGCCAGTCACAAAAGACAAATACTGTATGGTCCCACTTAAATAATGCACTTTGAGAAGCAAAATTAGAGACAAAAAGAAGAGGTGGCCAATGAGTTATTGTTTAATGGGTACAGAGTTTCAGTTTTACAAGATAAAAAATGTTTTAGAGATGAATGCTAGCAATAAGTATAAATATTATGAATGCGTTTGTCGAACTCTTAAATAGGGTTAAGATAGTAAATTCTGTTACCTGTATTTTACCACAATAAAAAATTTGGAGGAAATATTTAGGCAGTTTGTCAAAAAATAAAGCCTTATGTAACGTACAAAATATGAACCCCACAAAATTTTTAAGTCATTAAAAGAATTGGTTTTTAGCCCTAACTGGTTTGGCTCAGTGGATAAGCATCCATCCATGGACTGAAGGGTCAAGGGCAAATGCTCTGATTGTGGGCTCAGTCCCCAGTGGGGATATGGAGGCAGCCAATTAATGATTCTCTCTCATCATTGATGTTTTGATTCTCCCTCTCCCTTCCTCTCTGAAATAAAAAAATATATATAATGAAAAAATTTAAATAAAAAAGTTTAAGAAATATTTTTATTGATTTTTTAGAGAGGAAGGGAGAGGGATAGAGATACAAACATTGATGAGAGAGAAAAATCATTGATTGGCTGCCTCCTGCACGCCCCCTATAGGAGATCACGCCCACAACCCAGGCACATGCCCTGATCAGGAATCTAACTGTTGGCCTCTTGATTCCTGGGTGGATCGATGCTCAACCACTGAGCTACACTGGCTAGGCTATCATTCTAATAAAATCATAATTTCAAAGCTGATAGGCCAAGTAAATTGCAACTGGTTTTTGCTATTGCCACATGGTGGTGCCATTTTAGCTGAGTATAATAGTAAGGGGGCAATCTCTAAGGGTCTCTCTTGTTGAGATGGAGTCTCATGAAGTCTTTTCTCACCTTTATATGTTTATAAGGTGGTGGTTTCTTATCGTTCTTTCGGTCTTCCTGCAGCTGTCTTAGTTCTTTCTGGGCCTTTAACTCCTCAAATCTTGCTGCAGCTTCCTGAAGAGCTAAGAAAACACAACAGCATAAGTCATTTAGCCTGTGAATGGAGTTATTTTACCTTTCCCCCCCTCCCCTTTTAAGTAGCAGAAAAATTCATATTTTAGACAAAAATCACCAACGCTATAAATAAAACTAAAATATATATGACTGCTACTTTCAGTAAGTTATAATCCCTAGGGTATTCAGATACAGCATAAAAACATGCTGTGTTCCTGTGGAAAAAAATCCAAAGTTGAAGTTCTCTTTTCTTCCTTGCCTATTCTCTAGAGCAGTGTTTCCCAACCTTCTCTCATGATGAGAATCACCTGGTGGAGTTGTTAAAACACAGATTCCCGAATCCCAACTAAGAAGTGCTAAACTAGAATTTTTGAGAACATATAGGTAAAATTGCATACCTAACTTAGTGCTCTGTATATAAAATCTGTCTTAGAGCACTAGTTAAGTATACAATTTTACCTATATGTTCCCAAAAATTCTAGTTTAGCACTTCTTAGTTGGGATCCGGGAATCTGTTGTTTTAACAACTCCACCAGGTGATTCTCATCATGAGAGAAGGTTGGGAAACACTGCTTTAAAGATTGTAATACATCTGAAAAGTTCAACAAAATCTTAGGATTCTCATTCTTCTATACTTAAATCAAAATTTTAATTCATGCTAAGTCAGGTGTAGCTCAGCATCAACCCAGGAACCAAGAGGTCACTGGTTTGATTCTCAGTCAGGGCATTTGCCCAGGTTGCGGGCTCGATCCCCAATGGGAGTTTTGGGGGTGGTGCAAGAGGCAGCCAATCAATGATTCTCTCTTATCACTGATGTTTCTATCTCTCTCTCCCTCCTCCCTTCGTCTCTGAAATTATTGGAAATATATTTAAATAAATAAAATTTAATTCATTATTGATTACGTAAGTTAAAAATTCTGAAAATAATTTAAATTCTTCCCTCTTTCCTCTCTGTGGCTTTCCCCAGGCTGTCAATTCTTTAAAATTTATCCCTTTTTCTCCATTTCTCTGTCGCCATCCAGCAGAGTTTTGTTTTGGCTGGTGTTCTCTAAATTTTACTAAAGTCCCTCTTAAAGTCCTTCCTTCCTTCAACCTATTATTGAGCATATTCTGCCTAGTCTATCTATTTAGTGTCTATCTAGTAATCATTATTCTCTCTACCCTATAGAGGCCTCCCTGTGACAAGTCTAGTCATCTTTCCCCAGAACGATTAAAACACTGACATTCCTGATGGCATTCTCTCACCTTTTATGGCCATACAATCTACTCAGACTGAGATTTCTAAAACTATGATCTGACCATATAAATTACTTACCTTTTCAGACAAATAGCTCAGTGCTCTCCTGACCCTGTGCTTAAAACTGTACCAAATACTTGAAAGTCCCTTACTTAGCATGTTAGATTCAATGTGTGTTTCCACATGTGCTTTATTAACTTGTTCAGAGTCAGTAGCCATCTCAGGCAAAAATGTTGGTCAGTTGGTCCCTGAGAACTTGAGTCTAAACTCAAGTTCCTACAGTATTAGTACTTATAGCTCATATCTATACAAGAAACGACATCACCAACATCTGAGGACTCATGGAAATAATATTAGGCAAATATCTTATCAATTATCTTGCTAACAGACACCTTTCTCATTTCTATCCAGGAAGTTTCATTGGCTTAATATCTTCTTACACCTAACCACGAAGTTTCACTTGCTTAGAACCCCTCTTTACTATGCAGACAAAATCTTATATTCTAATATTCACCTATATTCAAATTACAGGCCCAGTGCACAAAATTCATGCAGGGAAGGATCCATAGCAGCTGCCGGCTATCAGACGGGGACTTCCTTCATTTTGTGCTACCCCTGATGGTCAGCGCACGTCATAGCTAGCAATCGAACTCTCAGTGAGTAAAATTCCTTAGGGGACACTTTGCACATTAGGCTTTTATATATGTACTAGAGGCCCAGTGCATGAGATTCGTGCACTCGGGGGAGGGGCGGCCCTCAGCCTGTGACCTCTTGCAGCCTGAGAGCCCTTGGGGGATGTCCAACTGCTGGCTTAGGCCCACTCCCTGTAGGTGGGGGTTGGTGGGAGGTTGGCCAGCCAGCCCCACCCCAGATTGGTATGGGGGGCAATCAGGGGCAGAGTTGGCTGAGTGGAGGGGCCTCAGGCCAATCAGGGTGGTGGGGGCTGATAGGGGATGGGATAGGTTGTGGGGAGGGGCTGTGGACCAATAGGAGAGATAGAAACATTTCTCCCACTAGCCACTCACGGCCCAGGGGAGGGGCCAATAGGTGCTCCATGCACCTCCTGGTGACCAGTCGTTTGGTCGCTTCCACTTGCCTCAGCTGGCTGTCCTGCGCATCACCCAGGTAGCTCATGCATGCTCTCTGCCGTTCATAACTCTAGTAGCTTGCGCCCCGCCCTGCCTGCAGCTGCTCCTTTGGTCATTAAGGTGTTACGGCCATGGGTCTTTTATAATATAGATAGATAACAAGAGATACCTATATTGCCTTTCAAAGTACAACTAATAGAAGAAGATAATTATCATTGAGGGGATGCCAACTCTATGCCCTGCAGGGTGATTTTTTTTATTATCTCAATTATCAGATCAACCTTTACTCATTATACAGTAAGAGAAAATTCATAGTTAACTCGACCCCTCCTGGCCCCAAATCCTTCATTGCTAGACTTTCACTCTTATCTTGCATCATAATTTTTTGGTGAATTTTATCTCTTCCCAGTAAACTAAAAACAGAACTGATGAGACAAAAAACCTCCTGAAGGAAATTTCAGTTAAGTAAAGGTTGGATTGAAAAATAATGAGTTATGGCCCTAGTCGTTTTGGCTCGAGGATAGAATGTTGGGCTGTAGAACAAAGGTTCTTAGGTTCAATTCAAGTCAAGGGCATAAATCTTGGTGGCAAGTTCCTCCCCGGCCCAGCAGGAGGCAACCAATTGATGTGTTTTTATCTTTATCTTTTTTAAAAAATCAATCTTTATTGTTCATATTATTACAAAGGTTCCTCATTTCTTCCCCCCTCCACCAGGTTCCCACCCCACCCTCTGCCCTTTCCCCACCCCCCATTGTCCTCATCCATAGGTGCACAGTTTATGTTCAGTCTCTTCCCGCAACAACCATATCTTTTTTTTTTACTCTATGGAAAAATATCCTCAGGTGAAGATAAATAACAAAAAGAATTATGATAGTCAACTTCCCCACAAAATCCTGTAACTACAGCCACATATATCCTGAGGGCAGAACACAGTTGCTAATGGAATGTATATGAATTATAACACATAATTATAACACAGAAGAAATTCTTTGCCAACGAAGGTCTGTGTTGATCTGAGAAATAAAAAATATATGGTTACCTTTTTTATATGTCCCATCCACTCCTTTGCCCATCTTATCCTTGCTGCTTACATCCCCCTCCATGTAGGGAAAGACTCTGGCCTGGTGAGTCCAGAGATAGTCATTAGACCCAAAGAAGAGCACAGGGAACTCGCCCACATCATGTCTCATCTTATCAATGTTGGAAGGTACAGCTCGAGGATGGCAGATCTCAGCTGGCCACCATCTGGGAAAGGTAAAAACAAAGAAAGAAAACTAAAACACTGCAAGGCACTAGGAAGATAACTGACTTTTTAGAACAGGAATAAGGAATAGCAATATTTACCTATCCACATTAAAATCTGATTTGTGCATTCTAATAATCAAACTAAAGAAAAACCAAGTATTATGTGCCAAAAGCCTGAGAACACTTACCTGCACAAATGTGCTTCCATACACAGACATACTCCCTTATATTCAGTTATTCTATTTCACGGATTATATAACAGGAAATAATTAGAAATATGAAAGCTTTACAAAATTATTTATAATAAATTATTCTAGAATTTATTATCTAGAAGAATGAAAACCTGGAAACAACCTAAATACTCAACATTAAGGGAATGACAGAACTACAGTACACTGTCATGAAATATAATTTGGCCTTCAAAAAGGATAGAAAAATGACATCAAGAAATCTGCCCCCATGCCGAAACCGGTTTGGCTCAGTGGATAGAGCGTCGGCCTGGGGACTGAAAGGTCCCGGGTTCGATTCCGGTCAAGGGCATGTACCTCAGTTGCAGGCACATCCCCAGTAGGAGGTGTGCAAGAGGCAGCTGATCGATGAATCTCTCTAATCGATGTTTCTAACTCTCTACCCCTATCTCTTCCTCTCTGTAAAAAAATCAATAAAATATATTAAAAAAAAAGAAAGAAAGAAAGAAAGAAAGAAATCTGTCCCCAAACCCCACAACTCTTAGGAAGACAATTTGATATTAGCTATTAAAGCTAGAAACCCCTACCATGCTATTCTATCCTGAGAATGCCACCAGAGAAGCTTCTGTGCATGTACACTAACATATTAACAAAATGTTCATAGTGCAAACGAGAATGATTAAATGAACTACACAGACAACAATGTATGACTATGTTGTACGAAGGAACTAGAGTACTGTGAGATTTATTAACAATAAATCTCAAGAGAACAGAGAATGAAAAAAGCAAGTTGCAGGAAAATATAAATATTCCTTTATATAAAGACCTAAAACATGCCAAACAAAATATTATACATATAGTTAATCTATATTGCAAAACAAAGGAATAAAAAACACAAAGTGCAGTATGTGGTTATCTCTGAGGGTAGGAAGAGAATGAATTCAGAAAGGAAGACTCAAAAGCACCAGTAATAAACTCTTTGTTTAACTAGAAGGTACATACACAGGTTTTTGTTATTCTAGTGGCCCTGCACAAAAATTCGTGCATGAGTAGCTCGCTAACGCTTGCCTCAGCTGGCAGCCCTGCCCACCACTGCTGTAGCTCATAGCTTGCTGCCCCACCCTCCTGTAGCTCTTCCCTGCTCATAGCTCAAGGCCCCGCCCTCCTGGTGATAGGATGTTAGGAGTGACAGCATAATGAACATTTGCATATTACCTCTTTATTATATAGTACTAGAGGCCAGGTGCACGAAAATCATGCACAGAGGAGGGGAGTGTCCCTCAGCCCAGCCTGCCCCTGGGCAAGGGGCCTGTGGTAGTTTGCAGGCCAGCCATGCCCCGTCAACCCAAGCGGAGGCCCTGATATCTGGGTTTATTTATCTTCTACAATTGAAACTTTTTAGCCTGAAGGGACGCCATTTCTCTTGGGATTTATTTATCTTCTATAATTGGAACTTTGCCAGTCTAGGCCTCTACTTAAGGTACAAAGTTTTGGTTTGGTTTATTTGCATATTTGCTCGTGATTGGCTTGTGTGTGGCAGAGTGATGGTTAATTTGCATATTACTCTTTTATTCGATAGGATGAGAGGCCCAGTGCACAGATTTGGTGGGGTCCCTCGGCCTGACCTGTGGGGATCTGGCTGAAACTCGCTCTCCAACATCCCCGACGGGTCCCGGATTGCGAGAGGGCACAGGCTGAGGGACTCCACTGATGCACAAATCTGTGCACCAAGCATCTGGTGTGCATGTGTGTGCGCATGTGTGTTTATGAATGAAACACCATATCTAAGAGTTCCCAAGAAACATGATGATATAAGAAATGATTGCCTGTCTTCATCCTTACTCACCTGTATCGTCCAACCTTTACCCAGACAATTTCTCTGTAATGTGGTTTTTTGCCTGCCTTACAATCATTGCAATACCAGTTTCCTTCAGGGATATCAATGTTCAGGCATTCCCGATGAAAAGCAGCAGGGCAAGAATCACAGCACAGAAGGCTGCCTCCTATAAGAATAAAAAAAATGTGACACTCAGAATCACAAGGCTACATATAAAGATCCAGCTAAAACATTGGTTCCTGACCAATTATTTCTCAGCCAAGAGCCTAGTAATTTAATTAGTTATTCAGAGAGACTTTTCTACAAGGGTGCTCCCTTTCCAATATTCCTAAACCACACCCCTAAAAGTTAGTTAGGTTAACAGCAAATAAACATGTGATCTTATTGGCAAAATTAGGTTAAGGCAAACATCTAAAAGTCATGTGTATATACATACATATATACATTTCTTTCCTTTCACTAAAAGGCAAAACACTAAAGAGAATATCAATGAGAAACAATGATCAGTATATAAAAAAGCACAACCTTCAACTGCTGTTAGATCTAAGCTCTAAGATCATATGGCCTTGGGGAATTCACTTCACTTTTCTCCCCCCCACCTTTATTAATTTATTGGGGTAACACTGGTTAACAAATTTATACAGATTTCAGGTGTACAATTCTACAACACATCATTTGCACATTTTATTGTATGTTCACTACCCAAGTCCTATCTTTGTTTGGGAATTCACTTTTTTTGTTGAGCTGTGATTCCTTCAATGGTAAGGTGTTTTCTACAATGAACAATAAATAAGTATATAAGTGATTAAATTGCATAGTAGTGTCTGACTTTTACAATTGCTTTTTTTTTTTTGGTTTGGCACTTATGGCACCTTTCAAAAATCACATTTATAAATGCACAAATGTAATACCTAAGATAAAAAGGATATAGATTATGGTACCATACAATGATCAAAAACAAAAGAACACAGAATAAAATATAATGATCAAAATATTGAGATTAGTTATTTCTAACAACTCTACTTCTTTGTAATGTATAAATAATAAGGACTAGCAGTAGCACTGGTGATAAAAAGCACACCTAGTAATGTACTTTATTGCATAAATTTCAGTTACATGTAAGTTCTCCTCCCCTCCATTCAAGTTTTCAGACGTTTATTATATGTATTGCAGTGATAATTTTTACTTCTTAAGAATTTTCACTCAAAGTGACTCAATTTACACACTTGAATCTGAAATCGTTAGGGCTACTAATAAAGAATTTCAGCCTGGCTAGTGTGGGTCACTGGTTGAGCATCAACCTATGAACCAGGAAATCACAATTTGATTCCTGGTTGGGACACATGCCAGAATTGTGGACTCAATCCCAAGTATGGGGCATGCAGAAGGGAAACAATCAATGATTATTTCTCATCATTGATGTTTCTCTCTCTCTCTCTCCCCCTCTACCTTCCTCCCTGAAATCAATAAAAATAAAGTAAAAAAACAAAACAAAAAAAAGACCTTATTTATCTTATGCCAGAAATGAGCATAACATGCCAGACTCAAACATGTACCTCTTAAATTTCACCCTAAGGAATTAGTGAGGAATAAAACCTTAACAAGGTATATATCCATATCTATTGTGGTCTCACTGTGCCTCCTTTACCTTGTAAGATCCTAAGAGAAACTTAATTTTGTGACACTATTCTTGTACATTTCCACCTGTGTTCCTTTCCTTTTCTCAATGACCTAAAGCAGGCTCTTAAAACAAGGTTTGGGGTATTTTTTTTTTGAGGGGGCCAGGTACATGTGCTTAAGACCCAACTATGCTTCAATTATAGAAGTTATCCTTTTATCTGTGTTGTTTACAAGAGTTCAAATTCAGAGTGAGATATCATTTGGAAAAGACTGTTACAAAATAAGTTTGAATAATTTGTTTACTCAATATATTATATATAGCCTGTACTCTATGCTCTGAAACTCATTTATTCTTGTGCATTTTGTGGGTAAGTGAAACAATTTTAGCAGGGGACATTAAGAAGGACATAGTAGCCAAAACCGGTTTGGCTCAATGGATAGAGCGTCGGTCTGTGGACTGAAGGGTCCCAGATTCAATTCCAGTCAAGGACATGTACGTTGGTTGCGGGCACATCCCCAGTGGGGGGTGTGCAGGAGGCAGCTGTTAATGTTTCTCTCTCATGGATGTTTTTAGCTCTCTATCCCTCTCCTTTCCGCTCTGTGAAAAATCAATAAAATATAATTAAAAAAAAAAGAATGACATAGTCACATAAGTTTAACAGCTCCAATAATGTAATACCTTCTATAACATTCCTATCTATGCTTTATCTGCTGAGTCACAATACTACCAACTACATGGACTGAACAGAAAAACTTTCCTTTTACCAATATGGCATTCATGATACACTAGGAATATTTCACATACAATAAAGGTATCTGAATTATATGTTCAAAGAAGGATATTACATAAGATATCTGGACAAAAAACAACAACAAAAAAAAAACAACCAATGAAAACAGCCAAAGGTCAGAGCTGAGAGAAATTAATTGACAAGCACATCAGCTTTGCAGGAAGGACATAATGGAATATGAGGAAAGAAATAAGCAAGATTAATCTGAGTAGATAGGTGGGAAGCAGGCAGGAGGGCTATGCTGGCAGTAAAGGACATGTACAGGATAAAGGTAGGAAGACAGAAGAGGAAAAACCCACGGACCATCAAAGGAACCAAAATATGAAAAAGTATCATTTGGTGAAAGAGGATAAAAAAAAAAAAAATTAAACATTGCTGAATTCTAGGAATGGATTCCTTCCAATTTGGCAATTCATCATATTATCCTAATACTCTGGATAACACCTTCAGTCTTTCCTATATGTGGGCAAAAAAATAAATAAATAAAATTCTAAGACTTTATTCTCTCCCAGTGCTCGACCACCAAGATAATCTTAGATAACAAGATCAGAAGTTCTCAGGCTTTTTTTTTTGCATCAGCACTTCATACTAAAAAAACAAGGGAGATTCCCAAAGGCTAAAACTATTGATATTTACCAAACAGAAACTGAAATTAATAAAAATTTAATACTAATTCATTTTTAATAACAAATATATTGTTAACATAAATAACATTTTAATATACTTTATATATATATTTCCAAAACAAAAAATTATTAGTGAGCTCAAGGTTTTACATTTTTACAAATATTTAAATTAAATTTTTCGCAATATGTTGTTTGAATGATGTCCATGAAGAAAACGATCTCTCGACCTGGCCAGGTGACTCAGTTGTTTGGAATGTCCCACAGACCTAAAAGGTTGTGAGCTCCAATCCGTCAAGGAACGTACCTATTTTTTGCAGGTTTGGTCCCTAGGCAGGTCATTTATAGGAGGCAACCAAGTGATGTTTCTCTTTCTCACCCCCTCTAAAAATCAATTTAAAACAAAAATTTATTTAAAGAAAAAAGAAAAAGATAAATTTATCCCTCACAGATAAATAGTTAGAAAAAGGAGTACTTTTATTTTTTTTATTATTATTATTTTTTATAAAATATATTTTATTGATTTTACACAGAGAGGAATTGAGAGGGACAGAGAGTTAGAAACATCGATGAGAGAGAAACACCGACCAGCTGCCTCTTGCACACCCCCTACTGGGGATGTGCCCGCAACCAAGGTACATGCCCTTGACCGGAATCGAACCCAGGACCTTTCAGTTTGCAGGCCGATGCTCTATCCACTGAGCCAAACCGGTTTCGGCACTTTTATGATTTTTACTGCAAGTATGTGTAACAAAGAATACAATGAACACTTGGAGTTGTAAAGTTTTGGAGCCACCACCATGACCTGTGTTAAGGTGCCAGTTTTACCTACCGTTGATTTGCACCATTAGTGAAAATGTCAACAAAGTTAAAAAGGCAAATAACATCTTTACATTAATACAAAAGAGTTACAATCTCATGGAAGCCACTGAAAGGGTATCTAGGCACTCCCTGCTTCTCAGCAATATTAGTACATGGATCACACTTTGAGAGCTGCTGCTGCAACTACTAAGTTTTCTTGGGCACTCATGGAACTCGATATCTTTTCAGAGTCCAACCATTCCATCAGCTAGGACTGGCATCACATGGGCACTTCTATTCTGAAACCAATTCCCATTCATTTCATCATACTCTGAAATAAATAAAAAACCTAGACCTGGCCAGGTGGTTCAGCAGGAGTATTGTTCATACATCAAAGGTTGCAAGTTCGATCCCTGGTTAGGGCTTATTCGGGAGGCAACCAAACTAATCAATGTTTTTCTCTCAAATCTATGGTTCTCTTACCCCAGCCCCTTCATCTGTCTCTAAAAAAATCAGTCAAGACATATCCTCAAGTATTTCAAAAAAATTATTTTAAGTCTAATGCATAAACAATTTCATCTTCCCAAGTTCAAGAAACATGAAGAAGTTGGAGCCTGCACTTTGGCATCCCAGATACATGTTTACATTCTAAGGGGAGAATTACAGAATGTTATATTTAAATGCTATTAAATACCAAAATTCTGTTTTTAACTTTATTCTACACAAAAGAAAGGTGATTAATAATAGGCAGCAGTTTTCACAAGACAGTTTTATATTACAAGAACAAAAAAGAATATATGATTCATAAAGTTTAACACAGGACAATAACAAAGCTAACACAGTCCTCTTTTGTGCATTAAAACATTGCTAACTACAACAAAGCTTCATTTTCTACACATATTAACTTAATATTCTACTTTACTTATTACATACTAATACCACAGTCTGAGGATACCAACTATGTCTTGTTGCAAACCCTAATCAATAGGTGGAATTTGAACTTTGTCATGTCAAATAAATCTTAAGAGCAAATGAAAAATTTTCCACTTCTTTGTTGGCTTTAGCACTACTTTTGCTATTTAATCCTCACCTGAGGACATTCTTTCCATTGCTTTTCATAGAGAGTGGGAGGGAAGGAGAGGAGAGAGAAACATTGATACAAGAGAGACACATCGATTGGTTGCCTCCCACATGCGCCGGGGATTGAATCTGCAACCCAGGTATGTGCCCTTGGCTGGGAATTGAACCAGAGAGAGACTCTTGGGTGTGCCAGCTGACACTCTAACCACTGAACCACAATGGCCAGAGCAGCACTATTTCGTATACCCAAATTCCTCAAAAGTGATGCTCGTTAAATTACACGTTCCTTGTTTTCTTTAAATTAGTCCATCAACATGTTTATAACCAGCCAAGTTTTCATAAAATTGCACCACCAATCCTCATATATAATAAAAGCCTAATATGCAAATTGTTCCCTTGCATGGTCATTCAACAGAGCTCGACAGCTTGCTACGATGTGCACTGACCACAAGGGGGAGGCGTGGAACATGGCAGGTGCAATTGCTGCCTGGCTCCCAGATGCTGAGTGTGTCAGGCATGGGAGGCCTCCCCGGGCCCTGATCCATCTCCCCACAGGTGGGATGGTGGAGCAGGTGTGTGTGTGTGTGTGTGTGTGTGTGTGTGTGTGTGTGTGTGTGTGTGTGTGTTTAGCATGCGCGTGCCATGTGGGGCTGCAGGGCAGGGGGCATGAACTGGGGCCAGATCTCTGCAGGCCACCCCAAGGGACCCCAGTCACACACCAATTCATGCACTGGGCCTCTAGTAAGTAGATATTAAAAAAATGAAGTTGGAGAAATTGTTGCCAAAAAGTTACTAATCAACAAAATTTAGTCAATTTAAAAAGGAATGATAGCCGAAACCGGTTTGGCTCAATGGATAGAGCGTCGGCTGGGGGACTGAAAGGTACCAGGTTCGATTCCGGTCAAGGGCATGTACCTTGGTTGCGAGCATATCCCCAGTGGGGGGTGTGCAAAAGGCAGCTGATCAATGATTCTCTCTCATCGATGTTTCTAACTCTCTATCCCTCTCTCTTCCTCTCTGTAAGAAATCAATAAAATATATTTTTTTAAAAATTAAAAATAAACAAATAAATAAATAAATAAAAAGGAATGATAAAATTGGTTAAGAAAACTGGTGCCATCTTCAACAGTAGAAGACAGTGGAGCAATGTCCACAGTAGTCTTAAAAAACACACACATGTAGCCTAAACATTTATAATGAGGCAGCATGTGCTTCTAGTACAAAGGTAAAGTAACCCAAAATATGCTTCTAGTATACAGGTAAATGCCAAACAACCTCAAATAGAGAATTATAGCACCTGTGGGTCCTTCTTAGACATTCAGAAAATCAAGAGAAAAATTCAGAATAACCACCACAGTAAGTGGACCAGCAATGAATATTAAATCCTCCACTTAGCTAGCAAAAATCATAAAAAGAAACCGTATAAGGATAATACTGACTCTATTTTAAAAGATAAATATTTTTAAATTGTATATAAAGGATATAAAATTACTTCTTCCTCCACTTTATAAGACCTTTTAGTTACATATTAATATCCATGATAGTAGGGAATTCATAAATCTCTCCACTTTCTCCTTGTTTCTTCCATTTAAATTCATGTAAAATTAAAAACCAAACACACACAATTATACTAGGATATCATCTTCTAGAATTGCTTCTATCCAGTTATATGGACATATCTGAAGTAATATCACTTAATATTAAACAATGGGTTTTTTTTTCTGATGGTGAGACTCAGGTGATTTGGGGTTTGTTTTTTCATTCTTTTTTATTTTCCTCTTCTTCATTTTCCAACTTTATTGAGATATAGTTTACATATAACATTTTATAAGTTTAAAGTGTATAGCATAATGACCTGATATATGTATATATTATAATTTTTAAATATATTTTATTGATTTTTTACAGAGAGGAAGAGAGAGGGATAGAGAGTTAGAAACATCGATGAGAGAGAATTATGGATCAGCTGCCTCTTGCACAACCCTTACTGGGGATGTGCCCGCAACCAAGATACATGCCCTTGACCGGAATCGAACCTGGGACCTTTCAGTCTGCAGGCTTACGCTCTATCCCCTGAGCCAAACCGGTCCTGGCATACGTATATTATTATTTAAAGATTACCACAATAAATTAGATAACACATCCATCATATCATAGTTACATTTGTTTGTTTGTTTTGGTGGTGGAGAACTTTTAAGATCTATTATCTTAACTTTCAACTATATAATACAATATTGTTAACTATAGTCACCATGCTTTTCATTCTATCCTCCCAAATTATTAGTACTATAATTAGAAGTTTGTACCATTTGACATCTCCTCATTTTCCAAGAGTGATTCTGTCGCCTTTTTCCTGTCTTTTTCTTTAGTGCTTTAATTTTTTAACATTTTAATAAAAATCAAGTCATTATTCAAAATAAAAACTAACCCTCTCCTTATAGGGGAACAAACCCAAGTTTGAAATTTCTGCTATGTTATCACTAATTCAGGATATCAATTCCCGGTATTTCTTGCAGTGGCGACGTGAAGAAAACTTTTTGTTGCAATTTAAGTATTGTATTAACCTGCCCTGGCTGAGTGGCTCAGTTGGTTGGAGCATAGTCCCATAAACCAAAAGGCTGTGGGTCCGATTTCTGGTCAGGACACATACCTAACGGTTTGGGTTTGATTGCTGGTTGGGGAGTGACAGGAGGCAACTGATGTTTCTCACTTTGGAGTTGCTCTCTTTTTCCCACCCCCCACCTTCCTCTCTTTCTCAAATCAATGCAAACATATCCTCAGTTGAGAATTTAAAAGTGTGTGTACACACACACACACACACTACTGTCTTTTTACACTATTCATACATCAAGAAATGAAGTCTTACCTTCTGAGCATACAAAACACCAGCTAACGTTGACATGCTCATGATTTCGGCAGCCCCGCCTGGGTGTAAAGTGATTTGGACAGATGATACTATTAGATGCAAGTATTTTTGACCCAGCAGCTAGACAGAAGTCATTGGCATGGTATGCCACAGGGCAGCGGACACATCGCATGAGACGACCTAAAACCATGAGAATCAGGAAAACCAGGGAAGAACAAAAAAACACACGGAGAGATTAAATACTTAAAATGTGAGTTATTCAAACTTATACATTACCAGTTGACAGCATCACCTCATTTTCTAAGAGTGATTCTGACTCCTTTTTCCTGTCTTTTTCTTTAGTGCTTTAATTTTTTAACATTTTAATAAAAATCAAGTCATTATTCAAAATAAAAACTAACCCTCTCCTTATTGGAGAACAAACCCAAGTTTGAAAGTTCTGCTATGTTATCACTAATTCAGGACATCAATTCCCAGTATTTCTCACCAAGGAAAGCCCTTTTCAAACCACTGCCCTCCTCCTAGGAAACCTGGAATCACTTGAGAACTAAATGGGATGTAGAGATGTGAACTACCAGAACAAAGACAGCTGGCAGGTAGACTCTCGCCTGCTTTTGTTACCTGGTGCTGTGATTCTTGAATGAACTCCTTTACCCCTTTTAGATGAACTATATCCTCTAAATACTTCACCAAGTCACCTAACCTATAATAATAACTGAAAACAGGAAGGTACCTAATGTTTAAACTGCAATTTTGATCAAGCATGTTAAATTACTATGCTTAAGACTAATGAGATCTACAGGGCCTGGAAATGAACTTACCAAAGGTATTGCCAATCTGCTTAAAAGATAGAAGGCAAGACTGCCCTGGCCAGTGTGCAACCCAGGTACCTGAAATTGAACCTGGTTCCCCTGCAGGAGGCACCATTCAGTAAGTCTTTTGGTCTCTCCCTCTTCCTTCCACTACTCTTTCTAAAATTCAATGGAAAAACTATTCTCAAGTGAGGATTTACAACAACAAAAAAAGACGACCAGTAAGAGATTCACTACTACTGAACAGAAACAATGACTGTTTTCTCATTAGGAACAGATTTAAAAACTTGAGTTATCTCCCTGGCTGGTTTGTTCAGTGCTTAGAGCACAAGCTCTCAGACTGAAGGATCATAGGGTTCCATTCCAAGTAATGGGTATATACCTAGGTTGTGGGTTCAATCCCAGGCCCTGGTCAGGATGGGTGCAGGAGTCAACCAGTTGATGTGTCTTCTCACATTGACGTTTTTCTCTCTCTGTTCCCCTCCCTCTCACTTTAATAATAATAATAATAATAATAATAATAATGGGAACAATATCCCATTAATTTTAACAAAAATAAAACAAGCCCTGGTCAGTTTTTCTCAGTGGACAGAGCTTCAGTCTAGGAACTGATGGGTTCTGGGTTTGATTCTGGTCAAGGGCACATTCCTGGGTTGCGGGCTCGATCCCCAGTAGGGGGTGTGCAGGAGGCAGTTGATCAATGATTCTCTCTCATCATTGATGTTTCTACCTCTCTCCCCATCTCTCTCACCCTTCCTCTCTGAAATCAATAATAAAAAAAAAAGCTCTTGCCGAAACCGGTTTGGCTCAGTGAATAAGAGCATCGGCCTGCGGACTGAAAGGTCCCGGACTCGATTCCGGTCAAGGGCACATACCTTGGTTGCGAGCATATCCCCAGTAGGGGGTGTGCAAGAGGCAGCTGGTCGATGTATCTCTCTCATCGACATTTCTAACTCTCTATCACTCTCAATTCCTCTCTGTGTAAAATCAATAAAATATATTAAAAAAAAAAAAAAAAGCTCTTAAGTTATCTACATGCACATATAGTTCCACCTATGAAGCAGAAAAAGACTTTCAAGATAGGTGTTCCCATTAAAAAACAAATAAACAAACAAAAGCAAATCAACACAAAACAAAAACCTCAATTCTGATCTACATGCATGTCTAAATGATATCACATCTGACAACTGCAGATATAAAGGGTCCACAGGAGAATATACTATGGTGTAATGGAGTAGATAAGGGGATGAAGACACAAAATCCAGTATTTAAAACAACCACATAATGTTAGTGCTCCATAGAATACAATGTGATGGCTACCTAACTAATCCATTACTCTGTCTCTCTCATAAAATACTGGTACTCTGACAAAAGCTGGAGGACATGAAGCGACATGCCACGTGGCATCTGGAAACATACATTGCCACTGAAAGTTCACAATTACATTGGTTCACAAGCCATACCTTTAGATGCAGAAACACTGGCTGGATTAGCAGCATGACAGGTTATACAGATGTGGAGGGAGCACCGAAAGCCCTTGTTCTGCATGACAGTGGGTGGGTACTTCTGGACACACTCTTCATGGTAAAACTTTCCACACAAGGGCAGAAGGCACCTTTTAACATCTTCCCCACTCTGTTTACATACAAAACAGGTATGGATTCCTAGGAAAAGAGAAAAAAGTTAACAAATAATACCAATTCAAGAATCCATCCAATGCTAAACCATTAGCTACAAATTTAGTGAATACATAATCCTGTACCACATTCCATCTGGGATTGGGGGAGATGTTGGGTGTAGGATGTGTTCCCACCTCAAAAGGCAATTCTACAACATCTCGCTGCCCTATAATTCAAATCAATTCTGACAATATCTACCTGGAGATAACATCAGATCCCACAGGTTAAGAGCTCAGTCCTATTAAACTGTCATGTACATGCCCCCTTCAGACACCAATTATTGCTGAGTTCAGATTGTCACCTGTACTTTTGAACAACTAACTATAAATCTAAGGGTTCCCACGATCCCCTTCTTGAGTTAAATTAATTTGCTAGAGCAGCTCACAGGATTCAGGGAAACATGGTGCTTACTGGGGGTGTCCATTAAAGCCAAAAGACTGTTATATAATAAAGTAGGTTTTCCGAATGCATGTGTTAAAAATTAGACAAAAGTGAGTTTACCTGCTTTTACTTATGTAGACATATTTGTGCAATTAAGTATGTGTGAAAAGTTTAATTTCACAGAAAGTTTTCTATACGTATTACTGTAATTTTAAATTTATACTGAATAGATCTAGTAAATGAGTGCATTCACCAGTCACTGCTAGTAAACAACTGCACATACTCGGGCTTAATTCATACTGGAACATCAGACATTAAACCTGCTGCAGAGCCAGGCATGTGTGGAAGGCAACCAATTGATGTGTCCTTCTAACACAGATGTCTCTGACCCCCGTCCCCTCCCTTCCAATCTCTCTTAAAAAAAGTAAAAATTAAAAAAATCAGTGGAAAAATCCTTAGGTGAGGATTAACAACAACAAAACTGCTGCAGAAAGTCACATCACAGATAACAGATCCAAAAACAATTATCATTTAAGATGCAGTGTGATCATGTGCTAAACATTCCCCAAACATTGTTTACAAGTGGTGACTCTTGGATTTAAATATATAGACTATAGTTGTAGATAAATAATATTTATTTATGTCAGCAATATTACTACAGTGTTTTTTCCCCAACATATGGCCTATTTGTTAAAATACGTTAAAAAACAACAGTAAATTAATAACAACAACAAATAATCTATTAATTTAATTATAAGCAAATCTTGGTTAAACGCGTTTTAAAATTAACAGGCTGCTAATTTTCACATGTGACATATGGACCTGAAATTTAGTCCCTTAAATTCAATCTGTTAAATCAAGGTCCAAAAAAAATCGAGTGTTTACTGTAACTCAGGAACAGTTTCAGTGGTTCTCAACCTTTCTAAATCCACGGCCCTTTAATACAGTTCCTCATGTTGTGGTGACCCCCAACCATAAAAATATTTTTGCTGCTACTTCATTACTGTAATTTTGCTACTGTTAATGAATCCTAATGTAAATATATGTGTTTTCCGATGGCCTTAGGCTCTACAGCAGCGGTTCATGACCCACAGGTTGAAAAGCACTAGCAGGGCTGCCTAAGACCATCTGAAAACACAATATTTACATTATGATTCATAACAGTAGCAAAATTACAGTAATGAAGTAGCAACAAAAATATTTTTATGGTTGGGGGTCGCCACAACGTGAGGAACTGTATTAAAGGGTTGCGGCATTAGAAAGGCTGAGAACCACTGATGGAAGAGCTGCATAGGGCAAGGAATGGGGAAAGGGCTCAGAGAGTCCATGCTCTCTCCAAGCACACCATTCTCCCCGAATCTCCGTATGTTCACCCAGAAGCTCTCGGAGCTCCATTCTTTTGGGTTTTGATGGATGACTCATTACATAGGCATGATTGGAGACAGTTTCAACTTCCAACCCCTATCCCCTCCTTTGAAGCCAGAGAATATTAATATAATAATATAAACTAGGAAAATTGGATCATTGGCACAAAAAAGATCTTTCTAGCCCTGACCGGTTTGGCTCAGTGGATCGATGTTTCTAACTCTCTTTCCCTCTCCCTTTTTCTCTAAAAAAACAATAAAATACATTTTAAAAAAAGATTTTTCTAAAATCTGACAAAATAGGCCCTCTCTGGGAAGCATGCCCATCCCTTTCTTTCCTTCTCCCCCAGGTACAGTAGCTTTCTCACTCCCAAGCTCCAATGCCCTTCCTTTACCTCTATAACTTGTTTCCTAAGCCCATTTCTTCTGGGTATGTATTACTTTTTCTACCTCTGTAATTTACTCAATAAATGTCCTTACAAAATAAAAAAAAGATTTGACAAATAACCCAACAACTATCTTGTCCTCTAGCTTTCCCCACCAAAGGTGGCAGCATGAAGATGAAAGAACATGGCCATCTATTTACAGACACCAGTCAGTTCTGTCTCATTTCCCACAGGACCTACTCTAAACTTACTTTTCTCTTCCCGTTAAAAACATCTTCTCTTTCTCACCAAGCCAAGGAAAAACTGCGTTAGCTTCCTTCTCCTCTCTCACAGCTGCATGATACATTCCCATTTTACCTTTCATCTCTTATCCTCTCCTATCTGTGACTGTCCCTACCAGTTATTCACTCTCCTCGTAGGATATTTACTTCCCTACACAGTTCTTAACCCTCATCCTATGACACTCAAGCTGTTCTTCCTTTTGACCCTATAATATCCTCACATCACCTACTGCCCTCTTTTCCATTGAAATCAAGTGTCTGTAAGAAAATAGTATCTATTCTACCCATTCACCTTCATCCTATTTTAATGTGGCACTCTCTAGCAAAAAGTGAACCATTTATCACAGTAAATACAACAGCCTCTATTCACTCGACAATCTCCTGGATCTTGTCTTTTTGCCACATCTGCCCTGATTATTACACCCCACTCCTGTGGCTTCACACCCACCTCCCGTGCACAAATTTCATGCACTGGGCCTCTAGAGATAATAAAAGCCTAATATAAGTGTCTGTCCGACTAGTTAGCCACTCAGCCAATCAACGCATAATATGCTGATGACTAGAGGTCTGGTACATGAATTCATGCATGGGTGAGGTCCCTCAACCTGGCTGGCCATCGGGGCTGTGGGGGGGGGGGGGGGGGGAGACACGACACACAGACAGCTGACTGGGGGGAAGGATTGTGGGAGGTTGGCTGTGGGAGCACACTGACCACCAGGGGTCAGCTCCTGCATTGAGCATCTGACCCCTGGTGGTCAGTGCATATCATAGCAACCCACTGACCAATTGTTTGGCCACTTAGACTTTTATATAGAGAGATATGCTAAGGCCACAAAACTGCTTGCTATAGGGAACGGGGCTGGGCAACCAACCTCCTGCAGCCCCTCTCCCTACCCAGCCCCACCCCACATGGGCCCCCCAACCCCAATCAGAGGCAAGGCTATTGGCCAACTGCCCCTGACTCCTCCTCCCAGCCAGCTCCTCCCCCAATTGTGGGTGGGGCCAGCCAACTCACTGCCCATAGCCCACAGCCCCATCTCCACCAATTGGAGGCAGAGCACACCAGCCAATTGCGTGCAGACCCTCCCCCAGCTGGCTCAGCCCTAATTGGCCCCATTGGGGCAGTTCTGGCCAGCCAACCTTCTGCTGTCTCCTCCTCCCAATAGGTCCGGCCTCAATCTGCCCTGATTAGGGCCAAGCTGGCTGGACCCCACCCATGCACGATTTCATGCAATGGGCCTCTAGTTTATAAATAATCATGAAGTAAATATGCTTATGCAATCACCCCTCACATCTATATATACAAAAGCCTAAGTGACTGAATGACTAAATGACCAGTTGACTGGTCGCTTTGACATGCACTGACCACAGGGGACAGATGTTCAATGCAGGAGCTGCCTCCTGATGGTCAGTACGATCCTACAGCCAACCTCCCATGGCTGGCCAACCTTCCATGGTCCCTCCCCCCCAGCCTGCCAGCCCCGATTGGAACCTCTTGCAGCCCTTCCCCACCACCAAGCTCTCATGGCCCCAATTAGCCCCCACCCCCACCCCTGCTATCGCCTGTCAGGCTGAGGGACCCCAACCCATGCACAAATTTGTGTACTGGGCCTCTAATCAAGAAATATAAATAATAACCAGTAGCCCAGAAGCCTTCCTTTCACTAAGCAGTGCCTCTTTCCTAAAATATCTTAATTCTAAAAGCAATGATCTACAGTTCACACACAACAAATATTCTCTAATTTCATTAGTAGGCCCTCTGTCCTTCCCATCTCCACACCAATTTCTATTTCTCTTTTAAAGCCAAACTCAGGTATCTCCTATGGTACCATCTCATCTTTATTCACACAGCATTTTAAATGTACTAATATCTCCATTACAACACTTTTGCACTACATTATGCTACATTCATTACAAATTTGGAAGCTCTTCTGAGGGCAAAGACTGCATAGCAGCTATCTCTGTCACTAGCAAATAGCTCAGTATTGTTACAAAACAGTGTCTCCTATAAATGAAAAACATAAAACTCAAACCTTCTTTGGAAGAAGATCCCTCTATATCTAACTTTACCTGTGCGACATTCATTGCAGATAAATTTTCCTCTGGGCATCTCAGTTAATCCAAGGCACTCCAGGTGGAAAGCCCCACAGCACTGAGCCTCACATAACAGCAGCTCACCCAATTTCTCACAGTTCTGTTAAGAAAAAGAAAACAGATCTGTCTATAGAAAAAGTGTTGTTGTTTTTGTCTTTTTTTTTTTTTTTAATATTTTTAGTGATTTCAAAGAGGAAGGTGAGGGGAGGGAGAGAAACATCAATGATGAGAGAATCACTGATCAGCTGCCTCCTGCATACCCTTTTAATGGGGACTGAGCCCCCAACCCAGACATGTGCCCTTGACCAGAATTGAACCCTGGGGCGATGCTCCATCCACTGAGCCAAACTGGTTAGGGCTATAGAAAAAGGTTTTTAAAAATCCCAAGAAGGCCTTAAGAAGGCAAAGATTAATAAGTAGCTTTGCCAGAAACAGGAAATCCCACCAACCATTCATGCAATATTTAATGTTTACCAGGTAGCACAAAATACCTGGTTCTTACGGTTCTTATATTCTAAGGATAGAAAATACAAGTAAAAACTTAAACAGAAAATATATCAGACATGAGAAGCATTATTGTAGAGAATTAAAGGTAGAAAATTCAAATAGATACTTTGGACTGGGTGAGTAGCTGCTCAGATTATCTCTGAATGACAAGTCAGCCATTTGATGTGAAGGAAGGGCCAGGAAAGCAGCAAGAACAGAAAATCCACAAATAGAAAAAAACCATGGCATGTCTGAGAAGCACAAGGAAAGCCAGTGTCATGGAACCAAAGTCAACAAAAGTTGTAAGTGGTAGAAAATGAGGTACAAGAGAGGCAAAGGCCTGATTATGTGACCTTACTGATTATGGTACAGAGTTTCAGATTTTAGGTGTTGCATTAGATAGCTTTACTAAGGGAAGGCTAAAATCAGTTACTCATTTAAAAACAGATCCTTGTGATTGCTACATGGAAAATTAGTTTAAGAATAGAAAACTGATCTGGGAATATATCTTAAGAAACCCAAAACAACAATCAGAAAGAAAATATTTACACCCTAGCCCAGTAGTTGGCAAACTCATTAGTCAACAGAGCCAAATATCAACAATACAATGACTGAAATTCCTTTTGAGAGCCAAGTTTTTTAAACTTAAACTTCTTCTAACACCACTTCTTCAAAATAGACTCACCTAGGCTGTCGTATTTTGTGGAAGAGCCACACTCAAGGGGCCAAAGAGCTGCATTTGATCGCAAGCCAGTTTGCCGACCATGGCCCTAGCCGGTTTGGCTCAATGGATAGTGTTAGACTGTGGACTGAAGGGTCCCAGTTTCGATTACAGTCAAGGGCACATGCCCAGATTGCAGAGGCAGCCAATCAATGATTTTCTTTCTCACTGATGTTTCTATTTCTCTCTCCCTCTTTGAAATCAATAAAAATATTTTTTTTTAAAGAAAGAAAATATTTACAATAGCAGCACTATTTACAGTAGCTAAGATCTGGAAACAGTCCAAATGTCCATCAGTAGAGTGGATAAATATATTCTTTATATTTTTATATAAAAACATATTTTTAAAAGCTGTTATATTTACACAGTGGAATACCATGCAGTTGTAAAAAAGAAGGCTCTCTTACCCTTTGAGACAACAGAGTATTATGGTGAGCCAGTCAGAAAAAGACAAATATCACATGATCTCACTTAAATGTGACAAACAAACTAAATCCAGAGACATGAAAGCATTTAACAGATTGGCAATTCGTAGAGGGAAGCAGGAGAAGGGAAGCAGGGAGGAAGGAAGAGATTAATCAAATAACATATGCACAACCATGTGGTAAAGGCCTGGAAAGAGGGTAAGAGTAGGGAGGAAGGAGTCAAAGGGAGGGAAAGGGGGACATCTCTAATACTTTTAACAGTAAAGATAAATTTTTTCAAAAAATAGAAAGTAGAAAGATGAGAAACGAAGCAAAGAAACAATTGAGAAGACTACTGCAAAGGTTCAACAAGAGATACTAGCTAGCTAGACTTAGGTCACAACTGTTCTAAAAGAGCTCCAATTAAGGTTTGAACAACCCTTGAGATACAAACAACCCTTGAGATAAAAGAGATATCATCTTTTCTCTGGCTGGTTTGGCTTACTGGATAGGGCATTGGCCTGCAGACTGAAGGATCCTAGTTTCGATACCAGTCAAGGGCACATGCCTTGGTTGCAGGCTCGATCCCCAATAGGGGGCATGCAGGAGGCAGTCAATCGATGATCCTCTCACATCATCGATGTTTCTATCTCTCCCTCTCCCTTCCTCTCTAAAATCAATAAAAATATTTTTTGTTTTAAAAGGAGAGATGCCGAAATCGGTTTGGTTCAGTGGATAGAGAGTCGGCCTGTGGACTGAAAGGTCCCAGGTTTAATTCTGGTCAAGGGTATGTACCTTAGTTGCGGGAACATCCCCAGTAGGAGGTGTGCAAGAGGCAGCTAATTGATGATTCTCTCTCATCGATGTTGCTAACTCTCTATCCCTCTCTCTTCCTCTCTGTAAAAAAAATCAATAAAATATATATATATTTTTTTAAAGAGAGATATCATCTTTCTCAAATGATCTCATCTAAGACAGGGTGCCACTTAAGATAGGGCCTTAAGAAGTAAGATCAGTCTAGATCTGTTGCTCTGAAAACATTTGAAGATTTATGAAAATTCTGCAAATTCCGAATATTTGTTACTTTTTACCCTTCCCAAATCTTGACTAGTTTTCCCATAGTGATTAGCAAAAAAAAAAAAAAAAAAAAAAAAAAAAGCTTTATACTTATTCTGTAAGAGAAGAGAGGGAACATGTGGCTAGGTAAATCTACTATCTTTAGGAACCCAAAGAAATAGAAAAGGTCTTGGTCACTTAACATAAAATAAACGATTGAGTAGAACTTTAGCAGGGAGTAAGGCCAGAGGCAACTAGAGATTATGAGGGGATCTCAAGATCTTAATCAACTTGTAGTCTAAACTAGTCTCAAACGTTTGGCTCTCCCATTATCCACTATGCATACATAAAAATGGACAAATACTGTATTTTTCAAAGTGGGACACTTGAGAGTAAAATGAGGCACTATTAGTAAATTACACAAGGAAAACATTTTTAAACAAAGACTGATCTTAACAAGCCAAGACCACTGAGTCACCATAATTTCACTTATCATTTTCTGTTAATAATCTTTGTGGGTATAAGTCTCTGAGGACTAACCCTGTGTTTGGGAGCTGGTCTGAATATGGTCAACCCTCTTTGATCAAAATGTGTGTGTGTGTGTGTGTGTGTGTGTGTGTGTGTGTGTGTGTGTATGTATACCCAATAGTGAAAATGAACAAAGAAACTGAGTTGAAATTATATTGGCTTGGGTTAGTTTTATTTTTTTAGCTATTTCAGTTACGAATAAAACAAAAACAAACAAACAAATATCTTCAAAATTTTTATATGCTAATTTTTAAGAATTTATAAAGGTAAATCATGATCATAAAGAGAGAACATAAACAAAACAATCATTTAATTGACTCTACTTCCAAGTCAAATAAATAAAGGCTCTGAAAACAACAGAGTCATATCTCATAAATAGGCAATACAACACAGTGGTTTGGTTAAGACTCTAAACGCAGATTGCCTGGGTTTATATTGTGGCTTCACTATTTAACATATTTTTGTTCCTGTTTCCTCAAGTATAAAATGAGGTTAATAATGATAATAATCTACCTAATAAGATTATTGTAATCAATATGACATGATGTAATATCTATACTGTTTGGGACAATGCTTAAAACATAGTAAATACTGTATAAACATTTATTAATTAATTAGCAAAATATAGGCAGTGAGTTGGGTCTCTAAAATTATATAAATGGTAGGTCCTCTAAAGTTACTACTTTAAAGCAAAAAACATTTGCTATAACATTTGTTTTTTAAACAAATCTTATAGCAAAAATTACCCTTGGAATTCCTTAGAAACCCAAAGATTCTCACGCCTTGAGAGGTACAGGAAAATTATCTTTGAGTGAGCAACCACAGATTCACAGATTCTCTCCTCCCATTTGAGACCTATTTCAGGTCATCTACTTATGGGCAACAAGAGGCAAGTGGTTCACCAACATTATATACTTCTCTTACTTTCTCTTTTTGTGTGGAGGGAGAAGAGTTAAATCCTTAAAGGGAAGCGACTGAACTGGAATCATTCAATAAAATTATCCTAATAATGAACTGGCCATCAAAAAATGGAAAGGGCTTCTCTTAAAAGATAAGCATGCAATCAGAAGGCAAGTGGACATTTTCTACCTGACAAACGTTCTCCTTGAGTGCAGCTCCTCCACCTCGTTCACCCTGCAGTTTTTTAGATGCAGGCATCCCATGGTCGTTTTCTATGCCCTCTTCAACAGCCTCCTTGAGACTTGCAGCCATCCTGTGTGTCATCAGTTCTCCCTTGCAAAGAAAAAATTATGTCCCATATCTGCATTATTGATGTCTCTTCCATCTGACCCCCTCCCTCTGGACTGCTATTTGTCTAGCCATTAAGCACTTACAGATGTTCAGCCAATCACGCGGGCGGACTGCATGCAATGTTAGTTCTAACCCTGCTGTGATTGGGCGGGTAGTGGGCGCCTCATGCCCTGCCACTAACTGCTCTGAGGCTGTTCCACTGGAACTTTTTGAGCTGTTCCATTTTAAGGGTTCACTAAGGGAGAGAAAACATTCTTAAGTTTATTTGATTACTTATTTGTCCTTCCAAGATCAGTGTTTCCTAAATAATGCCCCTCTTGGGCATTCTATTCAAATCATCCTGGAAAGAAACAATCTTTATTATAATGTATGATGATGCTGGCCTGACTTGTTCTAAGGCTCTTTTAACCTGAGTTATAAAAGCCAGATCTAGCATCAATGACTACACTGATGCTCCTCAAAAGATTGTTTTAAATCTATCTCTATTTCCTAAAAACTGATATTTACAAATTTTATTCTAAAATTAAGCAATGGATGGTCTTAAAAAATAAGCAAATGAATGTTCCCCCTAACTGCAGCAGTCTCAACCTTTTTAAAGGGCAACATTTGGATTATATGGTTACTAGCTATTGTGTTCTTTGGTTTTTAGAAATTTCATGATGAAACGTGAAATTTCATCTGACACCTAGAGCATACAATATGATCTTGTAAAAAGGTCACACCCTACAGATGCCATATGTGCCTTGTCTGACTTTTACTAGGATCAGGCTATCCTTTTTCTCTAGGATTCCTTATATCCATTAGCCATTTCAGGAGAATACTATTAAACTCAAGGGAAAGAGGAATGTGGCCTCCACTGCGAAAAGTAGCTTCACTTTGGAACATCAAAAGATTAGGAACAGAGTAATACCTCTGAGCCTGGAGTTTCTCTTGACGAGTCTTCATTTTTCACTCTTTTACAATGCATCTTAGCAATAACATGCCTTTGTCGTTTTCGCCTTCGTGGTTTATCAAATATCTTGGTAGTGCCTATGACAGAAAAATAAGCGTTACCTGCTAGTGAATGATAACCATGTCCAAGAACTCCTATCGTCAACTAAAAGAAACCTCATACAATTACGGAATGTTAAGAGTAAAAACTAACCTTAAATTTAGTGTTTCATTCTCCAACTTTGTAGATGAAGAAACCAGGGGCAGAGAGGTAAAGAGACTTACCAATGACTGCATAAGTAGTTGGGAAATTAGCTACAAATGTACAAATTCTGTCTCATATAGATTAAATATTAAGTGTAAAGGTAAGTTACTAAAGCAATTTCATTCTACAACAGCAATTTCCAACCTTTTTCATCTCATGGCACACACAGACTAATTACTAAAATTCTGCAGCACACCAAAAAATGTATTATATATTTTTTGTGGATCTTACAAAACAAAAAAAAGGAATAATTTTGATTCATTCACCAGACAGCTATTATTGTGTTGGCTATTGGCTTTTATTTTATTTTTTTATTTTTTATTTTTTTAAAATATATTTTATTGATTTTTTACAGAGAGGAGGGGAGAGAGATAGAGAGTTAGAAACATCGATGATAGAGAATCATCGATCAGCTGCCTCTTGCACACCCCCTACTGGGGATGTGCCTGCAACCAAGGTACATGCCCTTGACCGGAATCGAACCCGGGACCCTTCAGTCCCCAAGCTGACGCTCTATCCATTGAGCCAAACCGGTTTCGGCTATTTTAGTTTTTAAACAATCTAAGGAAAAGAGGTCAATGCCCCAGACTAAAATAGGTATTACATATTTTAAAAATACTTGTGGCACACAGATTGAAAATCACTACGCGTGCGGCATGGCTGAAATAAAAGACTTCCTAGTTCCTCAAAGCACTTTAATATGCCATACATGAGGAAAAAATACATTTACGTATATAGTCAGACCAAAATATTAAAACTTGGCTTCCAAAAGTAAAGATAGTAAATTATACCAATGTATGGCTTAAGATGGAAAGTTGACATATATAAAATCTGGCTTAGCCCTAGTGGGTTTGGCACAGTGAATAGAGCATCAGATTAAAGGGTTCTGGGTTCAATTCCGGTCAAGGGCACATACCTAAGTTGTAGCCTTGATCCCTGGCCCTGGTTGAGGTGTGTGCAGGAGCCAACCAAGTGATATGTCTCTCACATTAATGTTTCTCTATTTCTCTCCCCCTCCCTTAAATTCTTTCCAATACTCAATGGAAAAATATTCTCAGGTAAGGATTAACAAAAAATAAATATAAAATTTGGCATAGCGGAAAGGGAAAAAGAATATTCATATATTCATACAGTGGTACTATAACCTTGAACATTCAACAAAAAGTGAAAGTGTGATCTAACTGACATATTTAGGAAATGATACTGCATGCTGAAACCGGTTTGGCTCAGTGATAGAGCGTCGGCCTGGGGACTGAAAGGTCCCGAGTTCGATTCCGGTCAAGGGCATGTACCTCTCTGTGAAAAATCAATAAAATATATTAAAAAAAAAGAAAAGAAAATGAAACTGCAGTCTCTCATTTTCTATTACACATACTTTAAATCTTTGTTATAGAAACATCAAGAGGAATCTAAAGAGTTGATTCACTCAAGATATTTAAGCTAGGTATCAGCGGAGTCTGGACTTTGGAAAACTGCCTTAGTTCTTTCTTGGACTGCATAATGGAAATGAAGATGTGCCATCAATGATTCTGATAGTCTAAGACTAAATAAAGAGGTAATGTAATGACAGAAGGTCCAAAATTCTCACAAGCAGAAAAATTAAAAATAACACACACAAATTTTTTAAATATAGATTTTTATTTATTTCAGAAAGGAAGGAAAGAGGAGAGATAGAAACATCAATGATGAGAGAGAATCATTGATCCGCTGCCTCCTGCATCCCTCCTACTGCGGGTCAAGCCCAAAACCCAGGCACGTGCCCTTGACCGGAATCGAACCTGAGACTGTTCAGTTCGAAAGCCAATGCTCTCTATCCACTTAGCCAAACTGGCCAGGGCACAAGAAGAAAAATTTAAGTGAAATATACAAAGAATAAAGTGCAAGTTGTATGTTTTACAAATAAATAAATAAATAAATAAATATGAAAATATAAGAGCTAATATTATTTTGTAAGCAATTTTTTTTAAAAAGCAAGCAAGTAGCCCTGACCAGTGTTGCCAAGCAATTGGAGCATCAGCAGGTGAGGGAGGCAGCCAATCAATGTGTCTCTTTCACATTGATGTCTCTCTCTCCTTCCCACCCATTAGTTCTCTCTAACCCTCCTTCCCACTTCTTCTAAAAATCAATTTTTAAAAATTCTCCAGTGAGAACAACAACAACAAAAAAAGCAAGCAAGCAAGTTGATAAACCTAAGAATTGCAATTGTACCCAAGGTTAAAATAATCTAACATATTGCTACATTTACTTACTAGAAAACTTAATAATCACACAACACATTTAAAGAATTGTGGCCCTAGAAGGTTTGGCTCAGTGGATAGAGAACCACCCTGGGGATTGAAGGGTCCTCGGTTTGATTCTGTCAAGGGTACATGCCCGGGTTGCAGGCTCAATCCCCAGTAGGGGGCGTCCAGGAGGCAACCTATCAATGTTTCTCTTTCATCGTTGATTTTCTCTCTCTTCCTCTCTGAAATCAATAAAAAATATATTTTAAAAAGAAAGTTGGGTTTTAAAAAAGTATGCATTTAATACTATGTGAAATATAATCCTCCCATGATACCCTTTTCTGGCAGACCACATCTGATGCAGTGGGCACAAATCTGGGCTAATATCTCAGGAATTATAATAATCAATAAATGTCATTGCCAGACAAATTATCAAAGTGATTAAAAAAACTAGCCTGGAGAAAATCTGGGGTGGATAACAACACAGTAGTGTAGCAATGAATTTAGTTGAGTCTGGATATAGTTCTCTAATACTGCCATCTCTTTCATGTTCATTTTTCTTCTATAAAATAGATAATATTAATAACTAGAGGCCCAGTGCACAGAATTCATGCTTGGGTAGGGTCCCTAGGCCTGGTTGGTGATCGGGGCCTTCCTTCTTTCTGTGATGCCCCCTGGTGGTCAGTGCACATCATAGCAAGCAATGGAAATCCTGGCCTCCCAGTCAAACTCCCTAGGGGACACTTTGCATATTAGACTTTTATATATAGACTATATAGACTAGAGACCTGGTGCACAAAATTTGTGCACTTGGGAGGGGGAGTGTCCCTCAGCCCAGCCTGCACCCTCTCCAATCTGGGACCTCTTGGGAGATGTCTGACTGCTGGTTTAGGCCTGATCCCATACCAGCAGTTGGACATCACTCACAATCCGGAACTGCTGATTCCCAATCACTCGCCTGCCGACCAGCCTGATCACCCCGTAACCACACCCCTGCCAAGCTGATCGGCACCTAAATGTTCCCCTATCACCCCGATCACCCTCCCCTGCCAGCCTGGTTGCCCCAAACTGCCCTCCCCTGCTGGCCATCTTAGGGCAGCTATCTTTAACCACATGGAGACAGCCATCTTTGACCACATGAGGGTGGCCATCTTGTGCAAGAATGTGAGGATCAATTTGCATATTACCTCTTTATTATATAGGATATTCTAACTCTTTATAATGCTTTAGATGGATTAGTAGTAATAGTCCTATGCAAGGGACCTGGTAGAGTAATTGCTTCAACTCTAACAATTATATCCATAATTGAATGAAGGACTGTCCATTCCACCTGTGTGCTGAAGGAAGGCCCCAATCAGCCCTGATCACCATCCAGGCCTAGGGACCCAACCCATGCATGAATTTTGTGTACTGGGCCTCTAAATCTCTTACTATTTAATTGAAAATATTCCAAAGCCCTTAAGAAGTAACCACAGCTGAAACCGGTTTGGCTCAGTGGATAGTGCATCGGCCTGTGGATTCCGGTCAAGGGCATGTACCTTGGTTGTGGGCACATCCCCAGTAGGGGGTGTGCAAGAGGCAACTGATCAATGATTCTCTCATCAATGTTTCTAGCTCTCTATCCCTCTCTCTTTTTTCTCTGTAAAAAATCAATAAAATATACCGCATTTTTCGGACCATAAGACGCTCTGGACCATAAGACGCACCAGTTTTTAGAGAAGGGAAATGAATAAAAAAAGATTCTGAAACAAATAGTGTCCTAAAATATTTTACGTGCATTAAAACCCAACATCACAGTCATAAACACATGTAATCAACCCTGTAAAGTAAACAGCAGCATTTAGAACCATTTTAGAGCTGGGCAAGCACATAGAGACCACACAGAGCCGGGCAAGTAAAAAAACTTTTTTTTTAAAGTATATGTGTAGGCTATATTTGGACCATAAGACGCAGGGACTTTTTCCCCCCACTTCTGGGGGGAAAAAAGTGCGTCTTATGGTCCGAAAAATACGGTATATTAAAAAAAAAAAGAAGAAGAAGAAGTAACCATGATGGACTAGGTGCAAATGTAAGCTCTCTTTTTCAAGCATATGCTCAGGTTATAATGTGATAAAAAAGAAACAAACTATTTGTCAAAGACTGGCTTAGATGATTTATAATTTCCCTCTCAATTCAGAGTCCATATTTTCTGTCCTATAGAAACAAAAATTGAACCAAAACAAAAAAAAATGATGCATTCGGGAGAATTATTTTTTTTAAAAATTAAGAAGCTAATTTTATTCTACTGTTCCTAACATTTCCTTAAGCTAATATAATTCATTTTGTTGTTGTTGTTAATGCCCACCCAAGGACATTTTCCCAATGATTTTTAGACAGAGCAAGAGAGGGAGAGAGAAATATTAATGTGAGAGACACATCAATTAGTTTTCTCTCGCACAAACCGTAATTGCATGGGCCAACATTCTATGCACTGAGCCAAAATGGCCATGGCTACAGTAATATAATTCTAATTCCATTTAACTAATTTCAGATCAAGCTGAAAGTGATATAATTTTCTAGTGTTGTGCATAGTTTTTTAGTATGCATATTTTGGGCAAACAAGTCTTTAAACTTTCCACCTCACTGACCTTCCCTACATACCTAACTTTTCTAGCTAACTGACAAGGTGCTTCACACTCTTTCTTTGCATTATGTTTTTTAAATGTCATAAATACTCACCTCCACCAAACTTTTTAGAATGAGATGCAGCACATGATTCAGTAATGTTATTCTCCAAGTGACCAGCTTCATAACACTACAAGTAAAATGTAACATGAAATAAACACTTTATAGTATATACCGAAAGCTGACCAGTCTACTGCTAGATACAGAATCCTGATTTAATGGAAACTTCAGATTTTTTTTTTTTAAAATGCTCCAAATGTAGATACAGAATATAGCTCTAAAGTGGGAGAAGAGAAAGGTTATGTACCCAAAGACTCACTCTCTCAGTTCTATTCTACCCTGTATTTAAAATCTCCATTCTTAAAGTTGTATGTATAATTATTAGATTTTATACAGTTGTTTACTTGATGGAATTATATTAAAAAACTATGAATCATGGAATATCTTTCTAATTAATATAAATTACAGCAACATTAAGACAAAACAGTTGTATATCAAGAATAATTCACAGTATGAATTAGTCTCATTTTAAGAAAACGTATTTTTCCCACAAAAATAATTTTCTTCATCATTAATATAAAACAAAATTTAGTCAACATAAAAAGACAACAAAATGGATACCATCCTTGATATGAAGTTCCCAAAGTGTGAGGACAAACATTAATAATAAGAATACTACTTTCCTCATATTCATGTGAGCCCTCCATGACTCACCTTGTATAATACTACTAAATTTATCATCTGACTGCAAATGTCACTCTATGTGCAAAGTATTCAACTGAATTCCAGTTTCTCTCACCCTTCCCATTTACCTCTTCCAGAATCTTACAAAACAGCTATGATTTGAATAAGACACAGCCAGGAGAGAAAGCACTAGGCCAGCTAGAGCAGGCGGAAAGGTTGGCTTCTTCCATTGCCAGAGAAACCCAAGCCTCCCTCCTGCTCTCTGTGGCTGCAGCCATCTTGGTTGTGGTTAATTTGCATGCTCGCTCTGATTGACTGGTGGGTGTAGCAGAGTTATGGTCAATTTGCATATACTATTTTATTATATAAGATAACCCAAGGACACAGACAATAAGGTGGTGAGGAGGGGGGCAGGCCAGAAGGGGACAATGGTGGAAAAAGAGGACATATGTAATACTTTCAACAATAAAAATTTAATTTTTTAAAGGAAATTAAAAATAATACAAATAAATTAAAATTTACATTTGTATACTAATCTAGATGTGTGAAAACTTAAGAGGCCTTGCCCTAGCTGGATTGGCTAGGTGGATAGAGTGTCAACCTGTGGATTCAAGGATCCTGGGTTCAATTCTGGCCAAGGTCACATGCCTGAGTTGCAGGCTTGATCCCCAGTGGGATGCATGTAGGAGGCAGTGGGTCAATGATTCTCTCTCATAGCTGATGTTTCTATTTTTCTATCCCTTTTTCCCTTTCTCTTTAAAATCAATAAAAATGTATTAAATAATGAAAAAAAAACAACAACAAAAACTTAAGAGGCCTTAATGTAGGATTAAAAAAATAAGAATTTCCTATTGCTAAAGAAAGAAGTTCATAAACTCAAATTATTGAATTAAAATATGCACTTAAATTCTTTAAAAAAAATTTAATAGCAAATCTATGCATCCAACAACTGAAATTCTAACAATCATTCCTCACACTTAAGGGGCACAAGACATTTTTTTTTTTAAAGGTAGTATCTGTCAGATTATTTTTTAAAATATATTTTATTGATTTGTTACAGAGAGGAAGAGAGGATAGAGAGTTAGAAACATCGATGAGAGATAATCATCGATCAGCTGCGTCTTGCATATCCCCTACTGGGGATGTGCCCGCAACCAAGGTACATGCCCTTGACGGGAATCGAACCTGGGACCTTTTAGTCCGCAGGCCGACACACTATCCACTGAGCCAAACTGGTTTTGGCACATGTTTCTTAAAGAATCAGTATCCTTAAGATATTTTACCTCCATTATAGAATTAGAAAATAATTTTCTATTTCCATCTACTATTTAACGATGCCTGCTTGGCTAATGAAAAACCAAGATTGCAAACTCAAAACCTTAAGTATAATGTTTAATTACAACAAACAAACTTTAATCAATCTTTTTTTTGTTTGTTTTTATCCTATTGGTTTTTTTTTAAATATATTTTATTGATTTTTTTACAGAGAGGAAGAGAGAGGCAGAGGGATAGAGAGTTAGAAACATCAATGAGAGAGAAACATCGATCGGCTGCCTCCTGCACACCCCCCTACTGGGAATGTGCCTGCAACCAAGGCACATGCCCTTGACTGGAATAGAACCTGGGACCCTTCAGTCTGCAGGCTGATGCTCTATCCACTGAGCTAAACTGGTCAGGGCTATCCTAAATTTTTTTTTTATTGTCTAAGGTTTTACATATGTCTCCTTTTCATCCCAACTGACGTGTTTCCACCTGCCCCCAACCCAACTCTCAGCCATTCCCACCCTGGGCAAGACCCAACCACCTCAGTGTCTGTGTCTATTGGTTGTGCTAATATGCATGCATACAACCAATTTGGTTGCTCTCTAACTCCCCCATTTCCCTGCCATTTGTCTCTGGATCTATTTTTGTTTATCAAAGTATGTTGATCCTTATATCCCACATATGAGTGAGATCATGTGATATTTATCTTTCTCTGAATAGCTTATGCTTTACTCATTCTTAAAAGCTTTTTCATTTTCATGTGTAATGAAAACCTAAAACCAAATGTTATACATGTCCACATAAATGCAAAATAGTTTCTTAATATAGAACCTCTCAGATTGACCAAGTGTATGCTGGCATTCTATAAGTTCTATGTATATGTTCAGCATTTAAATTGACTAAAATAACATACCTTTTTAGAAAGGCCAAGATCCCCTTTCTTGGGCATAAATCCAGGGTCTAAATCATTTGATTCAAGAAGTTTCTTAGTTGGTTTTCTCTGACGCTTACTTTCATAATTTCCTGAAATACATGGATCTTTTTATTAGATGATGTAGAAACTGAGCACAAGCTAATTTTTAAAAATCTATATACTACACAAAAATGAGTCACCATATTTTTTAATGTTTTTCTCATCATATTGTGGGGAGGGTCAGGGTAGGAATTTATTTATTCTAGAATGTTACTTAATATAAAATGTAGTTCCCAATATAGACAAACTAATGTGTGTATGTGTGAATCACAAAAGAATACAAGAAGACATCAAAAGGCAGAACTGCCTTTAGAGCAATTCTATTATAGTAAGGACCAAAGGAGAAGTAAGGTGAAACACAGCCTGAATTCTGGGCATAAATGAACTAGGTTTAGAATTTTTGTCCTGCTCCTAATTAATAAAAAAACATTTATTTACTTTGCAGGATTGTTCTTAAAAATTATATTAAAAGCCTAATAACAGTTTGACACATAGTAGGTAATAAAATAGTAATTATTATTCTATTTAAAAGTCTTTTTTATTCTGCCTTACTCGATTAAACACAATCAGGATACTTTTCTTAAAGGAGTGTCATCACAAGGTATTCTTGGGAATGTAAAAAGCTACAACCAACTTTTACTGACCACAATATTCAAAAGTCAGAAGAGGAATTAGACAAAGTATGTTTAGTTAGAGCCAGTTGTCATCAGGTGACACATAAATAAAGAATAACAAAGTGAAAACCAACGGCAATTCACTTCAAGAGAATATTTACACAAAACTACTTCTTATGTGTCAAGTAAATCATATTATATTGTACATTATTACATTATAATCTCCATTTTATAGATGAGGAAATAAGTTTAGCAGTTAAACAACTTCCTAAGTAACACAAGGATTGGTGAGCCAATATCTGAAGCATAAGTTTCACAGTGTGCAGTGACTCTCCTCAAAAACCCTGCTATCTTGGTGTTGACTCACATGGTAATTGATCAACAGTCCTGAACAGCAACAATGGAGAAAGGAGAGTAGTTTTTCAAAATGTCTTTTTAACAGTGTGCCACCAATTTATGGTCATTTACTTTAGGGATTTCTCAGGACAAAGGGGATAGTTTTGTTGTAGAGATACACCACTGGCTTTCCATCAAAACACACCTAAAACAAAACATACTAAAATCTCCTACTTTCTCTAGTCATATCCACTTACATACTGAGACCCCATCCGCATCTTACCTGCTGTTTTAACTAGCAATTCCTCAGACTTAAGGGGAGGCCGTGGAGAGACTTCCAGAGCCACAGGCACAGACAAAGTCAGCTGTGGCAACTCAGCATGTCCACCTCCAAGTTCTGAGTGAGACAAGGGCCCTTCCAAAAACGGAGGCTCCCTTTCAAGAACTGGAGGCTCTTCTTTGGTTGAAATCAAAGAATTCTCATCCACCTGCTTGTTCTGAGCATTAGATCGACTTCGAGCTAAAAGGTTTTCCTCTTCACAGCGGGAACTTACCTAAGAGCAAAAAAGGAAAATAGAATCCATAGGCCAAAGTAATTTGACTGTAAAAGAATAATGCACTTAAAAAGAAAATTATAATACATGCTACAATGAGAATGAACCTTGAAAGCATTACACTAAGTGAAATAAACTAATCACAATCAAATAAATATTGTATAATTTGACTTACTTGAAGTACCTAGATAATAAAATTCACAGAGATAAAAAAACAGAATAGTGGTTGCCATGGGTTAGGAAAGGGGTAAATAGGAAGTTTTTAAATAGAAAGTTTCAGTTTGGGAACATGAAAAAGTTCTGGAGATAATGAATGGTAGTAATGGTTGCAAAACAATGTGAATGCACTTAATGGAATAGAATTATACACCTAAAAATAGTTAAAATTATAAATTTTATGTTATAAAGTAGTACCGTGGGGGAATGCTCTAAGACCCATTCACTGCGAATACTGAACCCTATATATACTATGTTTTTTCCTATACATAACACACTTATGATAAAGTTTAATTTATAAATTAAGTACTGAAAGAGATTAACAATAATCTATAATAATAAAATCATAATATGCTAATTAGACCCGCCATCCTTCTGGACAAAGCCAGCTTCCACAGTGGCGGGGACCAAGCCCCCTGCATGATTTTGTGCATGGGGCCTCGCGTTAATAATAAAAAAAAGTTAACAATTATAACTGTGTACTGTAATACAAGTTATGTGAATGCAGTCTTTCTCTCTCAAAATATCTTATTACATTGTACTCTTCTTCTTGTGATAATATGAGATGATAAAATGTCAAATCTACTACTGAATCTGAGTAACCATCCCTTACTTGCAGCCAATGCCCTGGTGTCATTCATTTCAGGGAATCCTTGCTGAAGATACCTTTGCCATCAATTGAAACACCTTTCTGTTCATGTGTTCCACCCACAAATTTAGTGCCTTTTCACATTAAATAAATACTTATCATGCACTGGGACTGTAGCTTTTGCATGAGGTGCAACGCCAAATTTAGTACATATTTCTTTTTCCTTCTTTACAATTTCACGGAGAGAAGACTCATTCTTATGGTATCTTAGCAATCTCAGCCTACAATTATTTCTTTCTTTATTAAGTTGAGAACTGCATTTAGCAGGGATGGAGAACCTTTCTTCTGCCAAGAGCTATTCATATATTTACAACATCATTCTCAGGCCATACAAAATTATCTACTTAAAATTAACCTGTTATATTTTGCAAGCTAATTAACTCACTCATAATACCTTGGCAGGGCTAGACCAAGTTATTTCTCGGGTCTCATACGGCCCTTGGGCCAGATGTTCCCCACCCTACTTAAAGGAAGCACATTATTGCTTCTCTTTGGTATATCTGAATTGCCAGCCTCACTATTCTTGCACTTCAGAGTCATTATTAAATAAGAGTGACTTAAATACAAGGACTGCAATATCACCATACTTGATGTGATAGCCAAGAGGACTAGTAAGTGACTAAGAGCTAAACAAAGGGATGATTGATGTCCTAGGAGGGGAAGAACATTACATCTCAAGATTTCACATCATGCTGTTCAGAATGGCAAACAGTTTAAAACATGAATTGTTCATTTCTGAAATGATCCATTTAATATTTTCTCATCATGGTAACTAATACCAAAGAATAGGAGACTACTGTATATATTTACTATAAATTTTTAAAGAGGGGGGAAATGCAGTTGATTGGAGCTATAAAAATTCATTTAGGTCACACACAAAAAAAAAGGAAGAAAAAAAGATTCCCTAATATGTCACCTATTAAAGAAGCTAATAATGAACTCCTAATGTTAAGTTGTTAAATAAATGGAAAAGAAGCATTTATTTTGCCTTTCATATATTTCACAACAATTAAAATGTTCAGTAAATAAGAAATCTTAAGATTTCCAGCTAATAAAAATAGAAGAAATAATAAAACGTAAGTTTTGCCCTGGCCAGTTGGCTCAATGTTAGACTGAAGAAGGGTCTCAGGTCAATTCCCATCAGGGACGCATCCATTGGTTGGTTGCAGCTTCAATCCCCGTCACCGGTCAGGGCAAGTACAGGAGGCAACCAGTTGATGTCTCTCTCTCACATTAATGTTTCTCTGTCTCCCCCGCACCACCACCCCTTCCACTCTCTGTCTACAGATCAATGGAAAAAACATCCTTGGGTGAGGATTTTTAAAAAAGATATAAGTCTTCATTTTGTTAACTCCTAATACAGGCAAGGATCTTCAGCTGGTATTTAAAAAGCTATCAAGAAAAAATGCCAAGACCGGTTTGGCTCAGTGGATAAGAGCATCAGCCTTCGAACTAGGGGGTCCCGGGTTCGATTCCGGTCAAAGGCATGTACATTGGTTGTGGGCACATCCCCAGTGGGGGTGTGCAGAAGGTGGCTGGTCGATGATTCTCCCTCATCGATGTTTCTGGCTCTCTGTCCCTCTCCCTTCCTCTCTGTAAAAAATCAATAAAATATATTTTTTAAAAATCAGTAAAATATAAATATATATTTAAAAAAGAAAAAAAAGAAAAAGAAAATGGCTGACCCATACTGCTTTTTGAGCAAAAGAAATAAAACCTAAAAGGGAAAAATCAGTTATTCATTACTGTGAATAATTAATTGGATATTAAATGTCTTCCAATGTCATGCACTATGTAACACAATATCACCTATGATATTATCCAGCTAAAAATGTTTTAAGTTAAATCTGTCAAATTGTTAGCTACAATTTCCACTTAACAAGGAACATAGATGATAGAGAACCAAGCTTAGTGATACCTATTAAGAAGCAATCACACACAATTGCATTAGAAGATGGGTAAACCAAATGTGGTACTTGTATTGCTTATAGATAGGGAAATGAAAAAAGGGACTTTTCTACATTTAAAGAAAGTTAAGAAATATAACAACCACGCCCAGCCGGTGTAGCTCAGTGGTTGAGAGTCAATCCATGCACCAGGAGGTTACTGGTTCGATTACAGGACGGAGCCTAGGTTGCAGGCTCCATCCCCAGTAGGGGGCATGCAGGAGGCAGCCAATAGATGTTTCTCTCTCATCAATGATGTTTCTATCTCCCTCTCCCTCTCCCTCCCTTTCTCTCTGAAATCAATAAAAATATACCTTAAAAAAAAAAAAATCAAATAAGGGATGACATTTGTTTAAAAAGTTAGGATCATACTATATATCTTTATGCCGTTTTTTACTAACATTTATCCTTAAATCACCAAAAATCAGTTTTGGCAGAAAAGGGGGAAATACACATGTGCACACACTACACAAAAACTAATTTATATATTTCTTTCTAACCACAATACACTAAGTATTGTACCAGAAACTAGAGGTAAAAAACTTAAAATTTGGCTCTCAAAAGAAATTTCAATTGTTGTACAGGTGATATTGGCTCTGTTGACTAATGAGTTTGCCAACCACTGCCCTAGCATGCTTAGCTCAGTGAACAGAGCATCGGCCCTTGTACTGAATGGTCGTGGATTCGATTCCAGTCAAGGGCACTTACCTTGATTGCAAGATGGATCCTAGGGCCTGGTTGGGCATGTGTGGGAGGCAACCAATCTATGTGTATCTCTCACATCAATGTTTCTCTCTTTCTCTCTCTCTCTCCCCACCTCCCCTCCACTCTCTCTAAAAAGCAATGGAAAAATATCCTCAGGTGAAGATTAGCAAAAACAAAAGTAAGATCCTAGTTAAAGAAAATATTATCCCACAAGGACAAAACATGATATAAGAAGGCAAAACTGCAGCATCTTAAAAGGACTACTAAAAGACTACAGAAATGTTGGAACATACCTTGTGTACCTGTTCCTGTACCTTCTTTTGTTTTTTCTTAGGAGCAAATATCTGATCATATTCTTCTGTGTATTCCAGAAGCCACTTGCTTGGCTTCCTAAGTCTTTTCTTCTCTGACCGCACAACTAAAAGAGGAGAAACAAGTTCAGTATTAACTAAAAAGTTAGAGGAAAACTCATTGCTTTCATGTAGCCATCTCTGTACTCTCAAAGATACAAAGATGCGAAACTCTCAAAAACACTCTGGCTTAAGCTCTAAGAGATTTAAAGTTGAAATTAGTATCATATAATGACAGATTCAATTAACATTCAAATATAGATTCTAAGTCAGATAAAAATCATAAAATTTCTCATGAATTATTTAAAATAACATCTCTGGATTATGCAACATATTGGATGGATATTCAGATAGAATATTTACTAATCAGTACTATCACATGAATTTTAAAAGTATTCTATATATACGTTATCATGGTTGCAGTGAATTTCACATTATAAAACAGAAATATTTCTAAAGAGACTCACCAAAAAAAAAAGAATTAAATATATATATATACCATTACCTCAATGACATAAAAAAATGTATGCCATGAATGTCAAAATCTGAAAATATAGATGGGTACTTGCTTTAAAAATCTCTTGTCATGTTTGTGATCAGAATATCAAAGTATCACACCACTTTTCTTTGAGTTAATGATAAAACAAGTAACTATTATAATTTCCCTATAAAACTAACACACTTAACATGCTCCAGTTATACTGTAAGCTCTTTGGGAGAAGATAAAGCTTACAGAATGCAGGATATAGTCTACTCAAGAGGCAAGAGGGATTTCATGATATGATGATCTCAGAGGAAGCTGTTCCTGTCTCAGTTGAATGTGGTAATGCCAATGATCTTTCAATAAAGGGATCACAAAAGTTCAGACCAAAAAGAAAAAGTCATAGGCAAGCTGGCAAAGGCTCTTACTCCTAGACATTACATATGGAAACAAGCCATAAAATCTCAATGTGGTAAAATAATATATAATAAATGGCTAATATGCAAATCAATTGAACAGCAGAATGACCTGTCACTATGATGCGCACTGACCGACCACCAGGGGGCAGACGTTCAATGCAGGAGCTGCCCCCTGGTGGTCAGTGCACTCCCACAGGGCAAGCGCTGTTCAGCCAGAAGCTGAGCTCAGAGCTGGTGAGGGGAAGAGGATATCGCTCCTGCCTCCACAGCAGTGCTAAGGACCAGGCCTATGGTCCTTAGCTGGCAGGCAGGCAGACATCCTCTGAGGAGCTCTGTGAGAGGGCAAAGCCCCCCCCCACACACACACACACACTCACACATACACCAGTGCATGAATGTCGTACACTAGGCCTCTAGTTTAAAGATAATTTAAAAAGAGTTGCAACTTAAATTGTTTTTACAGCAGCTTTATTCATAATTGTGAAAACTTGGCAACAACCAAGTTGCAAGTGAATGGATCTATAAAATGTAGTATATTCAGAAAATGGAATATTATTCAGCACTAAAACGAAATGAACTTTTGAGCCACAAAAAGACACAGAAGAAATTTTTTAAATGTATTTTACCAAGCAGAAAAAAAGCCAAACTAAAAAGGCTAAATACTATGTTTCCAACTAGGACATTCTGAAAAAGGCAAAACAATGGAGACTATAAAATGTGGTTGCCGAAGAGTAGAGGAAGGGGGTTGTTAAATAAGCAGAGCACAGAGAATTTTTCAGGGGACTGAAAATACTCTGTATAATATCACAGTGGTGGGTATGTGTCACTATACATTCATCTGAATGTCTGACACTAAGAATGGACCCTAAGGTAAACTGTTGACATTGGGTAATTATGTGTCAGGGTAGGTTCATCAATTGCAACAATGTACCACTCTGGTGGGATATCCCGACTCATAGATATTTAGAAAAACAGTGATAGAAGAAATGTGGGGGAACTAGGTGAAAAAGGAGAAGGGATTTAATATAAATTGGCAGTTACAAAGCAATCACCAGATGTAAAGTACAGTTTGGGGAATAAAATCTATCCTATATAATAAAGGCCTAATATGCTAAATTTACAGTAGTCTGTTCAACCAATCAAAGCATAATATGCTAATGATATGGTAAGGACACTCAACCACTTGCCATGACATGCACTGACCATCAGGGAGGCAGTCGGTCAGTCGACCAGTAGCTATTACATACACTGACCATCAGGGGGTAGAATCTCCAACACACAGACAAATTAAAAGGCTAAAAAAATATATACACAAATGAGAATAGAGGTGGCCTGACCTAGGCAAAATAGACCTGACTCAAAACTTTAACTTGATATAAATAGGATCATTATGTAATGATAAAAAGGTTAATTTACTAGGAAAATAAAGTTTTAAATATATATTAGAAAATAATTATAAATATATATGCACATAACATCAGAGCACCAAAATATATGAAGCAAACACTCATAGAACTGAAGAACTGATAGGAGAACTAGATAGGAAAACAATAGCATAGTCTACTACTGGGCTTTCAATAATTAATAGAAATATCAAACAGAACATTAATATGAAAACAGAGAACTTGAGCATCATTAGAGACCACCTGAACTTAATAGACATATATAGAACACACATTCTTAAGTACACTTAGGGAGCAGCTCTAGGGTCAAGCCTCAGGCTGACCGGTGGCAGGGCCACAAACAAGTCCCAGCCTGGAGGGGAAAGCTCTCCTAGCATTGTTAAGCCTGACCTTGTAGCCCTCCTAATTCCTTCCTAAGTAGCTAATGGGCTGTGGGAAGTGCAGTAAGTGTTGCCAAAACAAGAATATTTGTATACATGTTAATCTTGTTATATTCAGAGTCTGTATAGGTTCTGGATCAGTCTTGCCATTAGAGGACAGCCGTCCTACCCAGCCCCAGCTATCTCTGTCTGTCTTTCATTTTTCAATCCCCAGCCGCCCCTACTCAGGAACTGGATCACTCACTCTCTAGCCGCGTTGGACGCAGAAAAGAGAGAAATATTTATAAGTACACATAAAACATTGTCCAAGAGAGATCATGTAACAGACTACAAAACAATTTCAGAAGATTGAAATTATACCAAGCATCATTTCTAATCACAATGGACTGAAACTAGAAACCAATGGCAGTTGGAAAATTGGAAAAATCAGGCATGTGGAAAATAATGCACTCTTAAACAAACCAATGGGTCTAAGATGAGATTCCATTAAAATTATTAAAATATCTTGAGACAGCCGAAACCGGTTTGGCTCAGTGGTAGAGCGTTGGTCTGCAGACTGAAGGGTCCCGGGTTCGATTCCGGTCAACGGCATGTACATTGGTTGTGGGCACATCCCCGGTGGGGGGTGTGCAAGAGGCAGCTGGTCGATGCTTCTCTCTCATCGACATTTCTAGCTCTCTATCCCTCTCTCCTCCTCTCTGTAAAAAATCAATAAAATATATTTAAAATATATATATATATATATAGATATATATATAGATATATATATAGATATATATATAGATATATATAGATATATATAGATATAGATATATCTTGAGACAAATGAAAATAAAAACACAATATGCCAAAACTTATCGGATGCAGAAAAGTACTAAGCAGAAAGTGCCTACATTAAGAAAAAAGAAAGGTACTAAATCAACAACCTAACTATATACCCCTAAGAATGAGAAAAAGAACAAACTAAACTCAGTGTTAGCAAAAGGAAGTAAATAAATATTAGAGTAAAAATAAACAAAATAGAAAATTAAAAAGTATCAACAAAACTAAGGCATCTTTTTCTCAAGAAAGAACTGCCCTAACCAGTTCAGCTCAGTGGATAGAGCATCAGCCTGCATACTCAAGAGTCCCTGGTTCGATTCCAGTCTAGGGCGTGTACCTTGATTGCTGGCACCTACCCAGTTGGGAGTGTGGAGGAGGCAGCTGATCGATGTTTCTCACTCTCTATCCCTCTCCTTCCTCTCTGTAAAAAATCAATAAAATATATTTAAAGAAAAAACTGACAACCCTTTAGCTCAGTGATCAGAAACTGCGTAGCTCAAGAGCCACATGTGGCTCTTTGGCCCCTTGAGTGTTCTAACGCCACTTCTTCAAAATAGACTTGCTCAGGTCAAAAACAGACTTCTGCGCATGGATCACAAAGTTTCAATAGCACTGTTTCCACACATGGTATTTTGTAGAAGAGCCCGGGCTAGGGCTCCCAATGGCATTTTTTTATAGAAATAGAAAAAAAAATCCACTCTAAAATTAACACAAAATCTCAAAAGATCCCAAAGTAACTTTGACAATGAAAAATAAAAATGGAGCCCTAACCGGTTTGGCTCAGTGGATACAGTGTCGGCCTGTGGGCTGAAGGGTGCCAGGTTCGATTCCAGTCAAGGGCACCTACCCGGGTTGCAGTCTCGATCCCCAGTGGGGGGCGTGCAGGAGGCAGCCAATCAATGATTCTCTCTCATCATTGATGTCTCTATCTCTTTCCCTCTTCCTTCCTCTCTGAAATAAAAAAAAAAATTTTTTTTTAAAGTACAAAGAAGTGAAAAATTGGGTCTCTGAATGGTTTGCCTCAAAATAAAAAGTCCTATTAGGACGGTATCCACAAATTACCTGAAAGATGGGGGAAATGTGTAGCTAGCAATGGACATTACTTTAAATAAAGCACTTTTGCCGAAACCAGTTTGGCTCAGTGGATAGAGCGTCAGCCTGCAGACTGAAAGGTCCCAGGTTCGATTCCGGTCAAGGGCATGTACCTTGGTTGCGGGCACATCCCCAATGCGAGGTGTGCAAGAGGCAGCTGATCAATGATTCTCTCTCATCAGTTTCTTTTTTTTTTTTTTTTTTTTTTTTAAAAATATATTTTATTGATTTTTTACAGAAAGGAAGGGAGAGAGATAGAGAGCTAGAAACGTCAATGAGAGAGAAACATCGACCAGTTGCCTCTTGCACACCCCCTACAGGGGATGTGCCCACAACCAAGGTACATGCCCTTGACCGGAATCGAACCCGGGACCTTTCAGTCCGCAGACCCACGCTCTACCACTGAGCCAAACCGGTCTCGGCTCTCTCATCAGTTTCTAATTCTCTATCCCTCTCTCTTCCTCTCTGTAAAAAAAAAAAAAAAAAAAAAATCAATAAAATATATATTTTTTATAAATAAAGCATTTTGATGTTTCTCTTGAAATTATCATGTTTTCTTTTAATCCACATTATTAACTGGTACATTTGGTGCAATAATCAAAGCAATATGAGCTTATCATCAAGATCAGACTCAGGAAACAAATATTGGGTCGGCAACTAAGTAATTGCGGGTTTCACACATATATGGCTTCAGTTGAATTTTTAGGTTTGCAGACGTAGTACAAATGTAAAACACATTTTGTTATTTGATAGTTGGCTATTCAGCTGTTAATCAGTAAAAAAAAGTTTTTTGATCTGTTTTGTAGTTTTCGTTTGGCGTTCGTTGAAAAATGGAAAATCAAAAGGAACATTTTCGTCATATTTTGCTTTTTTATTTCCGCAAAGGGAAAAACGCATCGCAAGCTCATAAAAAGTTATGTGCTGTTTATGGTGACGAAGCCTTAAAAGAACGGCAGTGTCAAAATTGGTTTGCCAAATTTCGTTCTGGTGATTTTTCACTCAAAGATGAAAAACGCTCTGGTCGTCCAGTTGAAGTTGATGACGCCCTAATCAAAGCAATAATCAATTCGGACTGTCACAGTACAACACGTGAGATTGCAGAGAAGCTTCATGTATCACATACATGCATTGAAAATCACTTAAAACAACTTGGCTATGTTCAAAAACTCGATACATGGGTTCCTCACGAACTGAAAGAATCACAGTTAACGCAACGCATTAGCAGCTGCGATTTGCTAAAGAAACGTAATGAAAATGATCCATTTTTAAAACGACTGATAACTGGCGATGAAAAATGGGTTGTTTACAACAATATCAAGCGGAAAAGATCGTGGAGCAGGCCAGGTGAACCAACTCAAACAACATCAAAAGCTGATATTCATCAAAAGAAGGTTTTGTTATCAGTTTGGTGGGATTACAAAGGAATTGTCTACTTTGAACTCTTACCACCCAACCGAACGATCAATTCTGATGTCTACATTGAACAACTAACGAAATTAAACAATGCAGTTGAAGAAAAGCGGCCCGAATTGACAAATCGAAAAGGTGTTGTATTCCATCATGACAATGCAAGGCCACACACATCTTTGGTCACTTGGCAAAAATTAATGGAGCTTGGTTGGGTTGTTTTGCCACATCCACCATATAGTCCTGACCTTGCACCATCTGATTACTTTTTGTTTCGATCTTTACAAAACTCCTTGAATGGTAAAAATTTCAATAATGATGATGATGTCAAATCGTACCTGATTCAGTTTTTTGCTAATAAAAACCAGAAGTTTTTTGAACGTGGGATTATGATGCTGCCTGAAAGATGGCAAAAGGTCATTGATCAAAATGGGCAATATATTACAGAATAAAGTTATTTAGTTCCATGAAAAAATTGTCTTTGATTTTCTTTTAAATCCGCAATTACTTAGTTGCCGACCAGAAGTAAACCCTTAGATGTATAACCAAATTACTGATCCCCAGTAAGGGGCATGCAAGAAGCAGCCAAGTGATGTTTCTCTCTCATCATCTAAAAGCGTACAGTAATATGCTAATTAGACCATTAGACCAAAAGCTGGAGGGAAGGCCAGGCCCTGGAGGGAAGCCAGAGCTGGCAGCAAGGGGAAGGAAGGTCTACTATTGCATGAATTTTTTGCATCAGGCCTCTAGTTGATGTATAAAAATATATTTGAGCTGAAACCGGTTTGGCTCAGTGGATAGAGCGTAAGCCTGCGGACTGAAAGGTCCCAGGTTCGATTCTGGTCAAGGGCATGTACCTTGGTTGCGGGCACATCCCCAGTAGGGGGTGTGCAAGAGGCAGCTGATCGATGATTCTCTCTTATTGATGTTTCTAACTCTTTGTCCTTCTCTCTTCCTCTCTGTAAAAAATCAATAAAATATATTTAAAAAAAAAAAAAAATATATATATATATATATATATATATATATATGGGAAAAAGAAAAGAAACATCTACTTAAATTCTTTGCCCATTTTTATATTTATTTTTAGTATGTTTTTTATTTCAGAGAGGAAGGGAGGCGAGAGGGATAGAAATATCAATGATGAGAAACATCAGCAGGCTGCCTCCTGCATGCCCCCTACCTGGGATGGAGTTCGCAACCTGGGCATATGCCCTGACTGGGAATCAAGCTGTGATCTCATGACTCACAGGTCAATGCTCAACCACTGAACGACCCTGGATGGGTGAATAGATGTTTCTTCAAAGAAGATATACAAATGGCCCAAAAGCATTATGGAAAATGCTCAACATTACTAATTATCAGGAACTGTAAATCAAAACAAAAATGCATTATCACCTTACACCTGTTATGAAAATAAAAAAATTAAAATAACAATTGTCAAGGATGTGGAGAGATTGGAACCCTATAGCACTGTTGAAGCCACTGGAATAAAAGTATGAAGATTCCTGAAAACAACTTATAAAGAGCATTTTCATATGATTCAACAATACCACTTCGGGGTATATATCTAAAAGAATTAAAAATACACCCTGGCCAGTGTTGTTCAATGGTTAGAGCGTCAACTGGCCCACCAAAGGGTCTTGAGTTCGATTTCCAGTCAAGGGCACATGCCTGGGTTGCAGGTTCCATTGCTGCCCTGGTCGAGCGCTTGTGAGAGTCAATCAATGTGTCTCTTATATCAATGTCTCTAGAGAGTCTCTCTCTCTCTCAAAATTCAATGGAAAAAATATCCTCAGGTTAGGATTAACAACAAAAACGCACCAAAAAAGTAGATTTGTTTGGTTCATACACAAAATAAGAGATTAATAATAAAAAAATAAAGTGTTTTGCATACTCACAACTGTAAACCCTGCTTTAAAAAAAAGGGGAGGAGGGGGAATCCTATTATGTGAATGAACCTTGAGGACACGACACTAAATGAAATAACCCAATCAGAAAAGACAAATACTACAACTCCATTTACATCAGGTAGCCCTAGCTGGTTTGGCTCAGGGGTTCGAGTGTCAACCTGTGGACTGAAGGGTCTCAGGTTCAATTCTGGTCAAGGGCACATGCAAGTTGCAGCTTGATCCCTGGCCCTGGTTGGGGTGCATTCGGGGAGGCAACTAATCAATATGTCTCTCACATCGATGTTTCTCTCTGTCTCTCCACCTCCCTTTCACTCTAAAAACCAATGTTTATAAATAAATAAACAACAAATAAATAAATGCCAATGGAAAAATACCCTTGGGTGAGGATTAACAACAATGAAATACATGAGGTATCTATAGCAATCAAATGTATAGAAACAAAAACAGAATGGTGGTTGCTAGGGTTGGTCAAAGGAGGAAATGGAAAGTTATTGTTCAATACGTGTTTCCCCGAAAATAAGACATCCTCCGAAAATAAGTCCTAGCGCATGGAAAGATAAGACGTCTCCTGAAAATAAGACCTAGCGCAACTTTGGGAGAAAAAATTAATATAAGACACTGTCTTATTTTCGGGGAAACAGGGTAACAGATGAACCTACCTTAAGTTGTGGTCAAAGGAAGCTTAACATTCAATAAAATCTATTTAATTTTTGTAAAATAACAATTGAACTTAACTGGGCTCAGAGCTTCTCAACTACATACAATATCAGATTGAATACAGAAAAAGTTCACAGATTTAAAAGTAAGAAACACAACAAAATGTTCTGAAACTTACCAAAAACAAGAGGAAAAACACAGAGCACAATTGTTAAAGTATATGAAAGGCTGGTCCTCAGAACTCAGACTCTTCTGCAATAGGCTTTCTTCAAGTGACAATCAATTCTTCCCTCCCAATTTACACTTAGCCCTTCCATTAACAACTTCAAAGAGGATTATGTCATCACTTCCTTTAATCTCTTTCCATGAAGTCAGACATTCTTACCTGGTTCAGGAAGCTCAGGCTGGGGAGTCAAAGTGGGAATTGTTGGTTCCTTTTCCATCTCCTCAGTGTTGGCACTGGATTTATCACAAACATTCAGCAGCGGCTCAACTGAATCAAAGTGGCCAGTGTGGTTTGGAGCTGTCAGCACATCCTCCAACATGTCCGCTGAAGGAGGAGGTCTCTGCTCTGGGAACTCACCCCCCTTCTTTACCGGGTCAGCAGAAAGCGAGACCCCAAAGGAACCCTCAGAGTTTTCTTTCTCCCTAAATCTGTTAGTGCGCTTACGAGGTTTAGTGCGCCTTTGGTTTAAACGCTGCCACCGCTTTTTAGGTACTACTTGATTAACACCATTGGGTTCATCATTTTCACTGTTCATTTCAGAGTCCAGCTCTGGACCTTTTCTGTTTTCAAAGATGGGGCCTTTGTCAATTTTATCAGGCTCAGACTGGTTGACTTTGTTGTCAAAATGAGTATCGGAAAAATGGGCACTGTCTTCACTTGTTAAGTGGCCCATTAATTGAAGGGGTTCTTCTTTAGCAGGGTCTTCTCCACCTCTCAAGGAGCCCTTCTCTGAGGCTGCATTCTGTCTGTCTCCAGGCAGTGCAGACTCTGGAATCACAGCTGGAATCCGGTTCAATTTTCTTTTGCGCTCTGTCTTTAAGGCTTTATGGTCCGCTGTGTTCTTTCCCATCTGACCTGAAAAACCATCTTGAAATTTGGATGATGGCTTTGATCGCCCACAGCTGCGCCTAGTAACACAGTTTGAACGACTCTTGCCAGAAGCAGGGAGGTCTTTTCTGTCAGACGCTAAGCCAGGCAGGGAGGCAGACAACTCCCCAGACAGTGCAGAGTCACCCCCACTGGGGCTAGGATAGACTGGATCCTGAGTGCCATCCCCATTTTTCTCTGAATTATGATTGGAGGCTCCTGAAACTAAAACCTTAGAAGTCCCTAGAGGACTACTGGTAGAACAGTCTCCAAGACCCGGGCTCCGATAGGAGACCACATTTTGAGCAGTCATTAACCGTTGCTCCTTGGTCTTACTATCATGCATATCTTTCAACATCATTAGCAATGTACTGAATTTATAGTCTGGTTCAATAGGTATATGATTCTGACTAGAGGCAGAAGAAAAAAGTAATGGTTTTGCTGGCTTTGATGTTCCAGATTCACTGACATCTTCACTTAAGGATCTATAAGAGAGTTCTTTCAACTCAGACAGAACGTGTTTCACCACTGCTGTTTCTATATCATTCGAATCTCTGGTTTTCTCATGCATGTTGCTCAGTAGTTTTAGCCCATCCCCTTTCCCACTTTTGGAAATGCTGGCCAAAGGAGAGCCTTTGGTATCAGAAGAACAGCATTTCAAACTGCAGTCTTCATTTGTAACTGGAGGTTCTACAGCTGGATTTTCTTTATGTTTGCACTTTATACTTCGGATCTTGGGCTGTTTGCTTTTCGAGTGTAACAGAGCTTGATTTGTAGACCCACCCTTTATTAGTGAGTTCTCACTGCAAATGCTTGATGGGGTATTGAATTTTGTAGAGAAACCATCATTTCTAAAATCCATTTGGGGTTTGCGGACAAGAGTAGACACTTTAAAATCAGAGAGATTAGCCTGAGATGTCTCAGTTCCAGACTCTGCTGTCTTGGTACAATCTGTTAAGTGGTCTGTGAGTGAGTTAGTAATGACGGACTTCTGCTTTGCTTTTATCTTAGTGTTTGTGGCAGGATACCTGGAATACTTTACCTTTTCATTTTTCGGCAAGGACATGTTCTCTGTTCTATCAAAAGCATCTGTAATTTCAAGGACACTGTTATCAGAATCTGAACTGTGATCTATGGGATCCAGATCACTGCTTCCATCATCAGAAGTACTACAAATACTAATGGAATCACTTCGTTTTTCTTCATCACCTGCTTTAATATAGCAGAGCTGTACTTTTGAACTACACACCAGACCTTGTTGAAGTTTCTTCTTCTCCCCAGAACGTTTAGAAATCAAGGCACCCTCAGACAAGCCCAGTAAAGAGTCACAATTTGAAGTCTCAAATTCTTTCTTTGCAGGGTTTTTTGCACAAGAAGAAAACAGAAAACTTCCTGGGGCACTGCTGCCCCCTGTGAGGCTGTTTGCTATCCTGGAAAGTTCATTAGAGGCCTGCTTATCACATACATCCCCAGAAATAAAGTTTATGCCAAGGTTCTCTGGAATCTTTCCCCTCCGTTCTTCCTTATTTGCTTCAAACTGCATGTGGCCCTTTTTCACACAAATCCTTTTTGGATTATCAGTGCTCTTTCTGGCTCGAGACTTAGCACAAGGCTTTTCCTTCTCATCTGCAGAATGTTCAGAGTCAAAAGCCAGAGATTTCAAGCAGCCATTAAGCAACAAATCATGTTCTGATTCAGGATCATTTGTACAGTCCTCAAATGGCATATCCTCTTCACTGTCCAATTTGATTGAACTGCTAACACATTTCCGGTTCTTTGACCCTTTGGGAACATCATACTGTTCAGCAAGTCCAACACTGGCTTCCCATTTACTCAAAATTTTCTGAGGAACCTTAAATTTAAAGGAGAAAAAAGTTATTACTTATCAAAGAAATGAGAGAAGGAAACAGGGAGATGTTCAATGAACACTTCACAAATCAGTTTTTCAAAGTCTTATTGCACTTCTTCAAGGCCCTTTTATGGCACCAGTTAGGTGATTAGCACTTACAGCTCACCCAGAGCTTAATTAATGGAGATTCCTCAACACTACATTACCACTAGGATCTCTCTTTAGAGGAAAGATTGATCTAATAAACCTTTCTCCATTCTCCCTGCCTTTGTAAGCACAAGAGTGGACCATAAGTTGGACTACAACATTACATTACTAATTTAACATCATATTACCAAATCAGGAAATAACCAGACCCTTCCAACTATCCCTCTACACCTTAAATAACGATATATTTACTTCCCGACTTATGAAAGCCAAGCATTTGCTCAGCTGCATAAGAGAAAGAATAAAAGACTAAATAAAGAAGATAAATATGAAAAAATGAGAAAAATAAAAATAAGTGGGTCAGACCTGTCCTAGGACACCTGAAATTTTAACCTCTGGTTATCAGTAGGTCCTTAGTTAATCAAGATTCTTCTATACATGTTACCTGGATTATAACCAAGCAGTCTCCTAGATTTAATGATGTCATCCAGAGACACCAAAACACTCTGGGTATAACAAATTACACTTTTTATGGAATGCTTCACGAATTTGTGTGTCATCTTTGTGTGGAGGCCATGCTAATCTTCTCTGTATCGTCCCAGTTTTAGTATACATGCTGCTGAAGCGAGCACAACATATTCTTATCTTAATTTCTAACAGTATGAGGACATTAAGACTCTGTGAAATATACCCAACTTTCCAGGCCCCCTTTTCTCTCCTTGGCTTCATGAAATAGAAATTAGTCATGGTTCTAACCATCACTTAGTGTTCACAAATTACTTTAATACTTGTGAAAGGGATGTTCTGCTGAGCATGTAAAAATTCAGGACACTATATAGATAGCCTCCTCTTATAATATCATCTGGTTTATTTTACAAGCACACATATACCTGTCAATTCTCAGAAGTGTGATCAGAGTAAATAAATTTTCCAGAATCTGAAAGATCTAATGAACTTTTTAATCTACACAGTAGTTGTTTAATCTACACAGCTAAAGGCTTGGCACAAAAACTCTTGACACCAACTGACCGACTAGTACCCAAAGTGTTAGATAGTATATACTTATTAGCCTTCTTAATCCTAACAGCAGCAAACACTAGTTGTTTTAGAGCAGTGGTTGCCAATCGGAGGCCTGCAGACCACTGGTGGTCCGTGAGGTCCGAAAGGTTTTTGACCACTGTTTTAGAGCATCAACCTTATGCCATATTAAATATTTATAATTACTTCGAATCCACACAATAGTTGCACAAGAATGTATAATGATTATACTAGTTTTTGAGTTAAAGACACTAGTCCTCAAAGAACATAAATCAGCCGTGGCTGATTTTGCTACAGTTGGTAGGGCATCGACCCATGCACAGAAAGGTTGCTGGTTGGATTCCCAGTCATGGCACATGCCGAGGTTGTGGGCTCAATTCCCAGTAAAGGGCATGCGGAAGGCAACAGATCAATGTTTTGCTCTCTCTTTCCATTCCTCTATCTCACTCTAAAACTCAATAAAAATATTTTTAAAACGAACTCACCCTGGCTGATTTTGCTTAGGCTCAGTGGTTAGAGCGTTGGCCCTCAGACCAAGGGGTCACAGATTCAATTCCTGGTCAAGGTCAAGGGCACATACCTCGGTTGTGAGCTCAATCCCAGTCAAGGGGCATGCAGGAAGCAACCCATGAATGTCTCCATATTAACGTTTCTCACTCTCCCCTCCCTCCCTACTTCCACTCTCTAAAAATTAATGGAAAAATATCCTCGGGTGAGGATTTAAAAAAAAAAAATTTAATAAACAAAAAGAACTCAAATTAAAAATTAGTAGGGACTGCATATCGATTCTAAATTATCCTGATTATCATGATTTCAAAGAGTCTCAAGTTCGATTCCCAGTAAAAGGCACATACCTAGGTTGTGGGTTCGATCCCTGGCCCTGGTCAGGGAATGTTTGGGAGGCAATCAATCAATTTCTCTTTTTTTTTCTCTCTTTCTTCCTCTCTCCCTCCCTCCCTCCTTCCTTCCCCCTTCCACTCTCTCTAAAAATCAATAAAAAAATAATATCCTCAAGTGAGGATTAACAAACAAGCAAAAAAAACAACCAGGTATGGCCCTGACCGTTGTTACTCAATGGTTAGAGTTTTGGCCTGCATACCAAAGTGATGTGGGTTTGATTCCAGATCAAGGGCATATACCAGTGTTGCAGGTTCGACCTTCAGCCCTGATTGGGGCACATGGGGGAAATGTTCATCAACTGCCCCCCTTACATGCCCTGACCAGAAATTGGGGACAAATCAATCAATGTGTCTCTCTCACATTGATGTTTCTGTCTCTCTATTCCTTCCAATATCTCTAATAATCAATGGGAAAAAAAATATCCTTGAGTGGAGATTAAAAAAAAAACAAACATAACCAAAAAAAAACAACAAAAAAACCATAACCAGGTATGAAACTACAATCTGAAGCACTAATAACTAAACACAAAAATCAAAACAAATAAAACAAAAATGTTTAAAGCTTTATCTTTCCCATTTTTTCTCTTTCCCATTTTTTTAAAAATATATTTTATTGATTTTGTATAGCGAGGAAGGGAGAGAGATAGTTAGAAACATTGATGAGAGTCATCGATCAGCTCTCTCTTGCACAGCCCCCACTGGAGATATGCCCGCAACCAAGGTACATGCCCCTGACCGGAATCGAACCCGGAACCTTTCAGTCCCCAAGCCAACGCTCTATCCATTGAGCCAAACCGGTTTCGGCTATCTTTCTCATTTTAAAAAGAAATAATTAATCCAGAGAGTAAGGAATTTCATTTTGATGATCAGTTTCTTTTTACATAAGATATAACCAAAGAAGATTGGTTTTGTCATGTTGTACTGTCATATGTAAGTGACACGGCAAAATTAACTGGTATCATTTCTCAAAAAATTGAACATAAATATTTGAAAGGCTAGCCCCATTTCATCTCTGAAAAAAAAACCCTTGCTTTCTACCTATTTTCTCACAAATATCCATCTACCAAAGGGAATAAACTTGTATTTCAAAAATAGAATGCTTCTTCCTTGCCTTCTCTATGCCTACCCTCCAGAAGATAATTTGAGAGGCTTTTGTTCTTTTGTGTATGTATTTTGTTTTGTTTTGTACCTTATGCCTATATCCTTTTTCTTTTTGCTTCCCTCTTCTCCTAAGGACAGGAAGCTCTTCAAACTGATGTCTGCCTTCAAACATGACAATTGCTTTTCCAGCCACCCAAGCTCTCTCAGAAGGGTCTCCAAAAGCTTCCACATAGTATTGTCGATAAGGTCTCCGGTTGGAAACTAGATAAAGATAAAAAACAGTGTCATTACTTTAAAAAGATGATTGTTTATCATTAAGATAACACACACACACACACACACACACACACACACCGCTGTCGCCAAAGAAGCCCCTGTCACCAAAGAAGCCCCCCAAAATCAATAAGCTAAAAAACCTGCACGACAAGAAACTCTGCCATAGGTCAGATAGAAGGGGGAAAAATGTTTAATATGTTTTTATTGATTTCAGAGAGAGGAACAGAAAGAGAGAGATAGAAAAATCAATGACAGAGAATCATCAATCAGCTGCCTCCTACACACCTCCACTGGGATAGAGCCCAAAATCTGGGCAGATACCCCAACTAGAATCGAACCATGACCTCATGGTTCATAGGTCAACAATCAACCACTGAGTGACACAGGCCCGCCAAGATACCTTTTTTTTAATCCTCACCCAACGATATGTTTTTATTTACTTGAGAGAGGAAGAAACTCATATTAAAAATATATTTATAATAAAAGAAATATTATTGAGAAACCAAGATGGCGGCATAGGGTAGACATCCGAATGCAGCCTACCACAACAAATTTGAATTTAAAACTGAAAAACAGGGGAGGCATTGCCCTGAAGCACCAGACGGCTGGCTGAGAGGAGGCTCTGCCATCTGGGAAGGAGAGAGAAGGCACGCTGAACCTCAGGAACTGTGAAGGTACGGAGAACTGTGTGCGCGAAAAGGCGCTGGCTTAATCCCGGCGCGGAGAGGAAGGGCCGGAGCGAGATTGCTGCTGCCTTACTCCCTGCACGCAGAGAGGGCGGGCCGGGCTGAGTTCGCTACTGGCTTACTCCTGGCGCAGAGAGGGCGAACAGCTAACGCGGCTGGCTTTCTTGTCCGAGAGGAAAACAGAATCAGCCTATTGCTCTGATAAACGGCCCCAGACAGGGAGAGGCCAGACTGTCAGGCAGTGGGCAGAGATCTCTTGGAGGTGTGTGAAGCCAGAGGCCATTACTGCGGGACTTGGGGAGGAGCCGAAGGGAAAACAAAGTTTGTCTGCACCAACCCGAGACTCCGCCCTACCTGTGGCTGAGCACAGAAGCTCTCCCAGAGGCTCGCTTTCTCTAAGGAGGGACTTGCAGGAATCCAAAGCTTGTCTGCGCCTTTACCAAAGAGGTGCGTGCGCGCCTGCAACCAATCTTCCAAAACTCTCCACGAACAGGACTTTTCTAAGGCGAGACTGACAGGGAACCAAAGATTGTCTGCGCCACCCTGAGACCCCGCCCTATTCAAGCAGAGTACGGAAACCCTCCTAGCTGAGACACTGCTGATCCTCACAGCCAATTGGCTTGGAGATCAACGCTTCCCAGTGATACCAACAATAAGCAAGGCTTAACAACAAGACTGCACACACAGCCCACAAAGGGCTACACCAAGACTGTCCACCGCAGGTAACTGGGAAGGCTGTGCTACTGGGCTCTACCAGAACACCTAGCACACAAAGCTATTCCATCAAATCAGGGAAACAACCAAAATGCAGACAAGAAGAAGGACACAAAGGAAGGAGATGGAGGAAAAGAAAAGATTGGACATTGAGTTCAAAACTACAGTTATAAGGTTATTCAACAATATCCTAAAAAAGGCCGATAAAATAAATGAGACCTATGAGGATATGAAAAGGGAGCAACTAAAAATAATAAGGGATCAACAAGAAATGAAGAAAACATTGTCTGAAATAAAAAATATTATACAAAGTCCTAAAAACAGACTGGAAGATCGCAAGAATCAAGACAAAGATTTAGAACACAAAGAGCCAGAGGACACTCCTCTGCAGAAGGGAGAAGATAAGAGAATCCAGAAAGTTGAAGATGGTGTAAGAAACCTCTGGGACAATTTCAAGCGAACCAATATCAGAATTATGGGGATTCCAGAAGAGAGAGAGCAAGATACCGAAAGAGTACTAGAAAAAATAGTGACAGAAAGCTTCCCCCACCTGGGGAAAGAAATAGACTTACAAGTCCAGGAAGCCCGCAGAACCCCAAACAAAAGGAATCCAAGGAGGACCACATCAAGACATATCATAATTAAAATTCCAAGAGCAAAAGACAAAGAGAGAATATTAAAAGCAGCAAGAGAAAAGCAGGTAGTGACCTATAAAGGAGCACCCATAAGATTGTCAGCTGATTTCTCAACAGAAACCATGCAGGCCAGACGGGAATGGCAAGAAATATTCAAGGTGATGAATAACAAGAACCTACAGCCAAAAATAATCTACCCAGCAAAGCTATCACTCAGAATCAAAGGACAGATAAAGAGCTTCACAAATAAAAAAAAGCTAAAAGAGTTCATCACCACCAAACCAGAATTATATGAATTGCTGAAGGAGGTTATTTAGGAAGAGGAAGAAGATAAAGATAAAAATTATGATCAACAAATACGTAGCTATCAACAAGTGAATCTAAAAACCAAGGGAATTTAAAAATCTGATGAACAATATTAACGGGTGAATATAATAGAATCAGAGGTATGGAAGGGGAGTGGACTGACGATTCTCAGGGAAAAGGGGAGTGGGGGTGCGGGAAGAGACTGAACAAAAACTGTGCACCTATGGATGAGGACAATGGGGGATGGGGAAAGGACAGAGGGTGGGGTGGGAACCTGGTGAAGGGGGGCAATTGAGGGGGGGAAGAGGATCACATTTGTAATAATCTGAACAATAAAGATTTATTTAAAAAAATATATATATATTATTATCCCCCTACACGCCATGACCAGAAACTGGGGATAAAGCCTGCAATCTTTTTGGATTATGGGAAAACACTCCAACAAATGAACTACATGGCCAGGGCAAGATACCACTTTATAAAAACAGTGAATTATAAAGGTCTTTGGGCAACTCAATATTCAATATGCAATATATAAAATTAAATCTACCAATCCCACTTTTGGTAAATCATTGTACAGATAAATGGACATGTATATATGAAATACACAGTATTTCTTTACAGCATTACTTGCGTGTACACACAAACACATATATGTATACACAAGTGTGTTTTTTATATATATCTTTTCTTTACAACACAAAATTAGAAACAAGTTAGCATCCATCACCAGGGGAATTGGTTATATAAAGTATAGAGTATTTAAAAAGTGGAAAAACTATGCAACTATTAAAAAAAAAAGGAAGTTTTAATGCACTAATGGGGAAAAACTCGAGGAAGTTAAAAAAAGCTACTGTGGAACAAACGTACAATGTGCGACTTATGTTAACATTAAAAGGGTAGGTATGATAAGAGATCAACCAAAGGACTTGTATACATTCATATAAGCATAACCGATGGACACAAGGGTGGGGTGGGGGGTGGGGGCATGTGCGCAGGGAGGGGGGGCATTGGGGAGGCCGGGAGAAGGTCAATGGGGAAGAAAAAGGAGACATATGTACTATTATTTGTAATACTTTAAACAATAAAATTAAATTAAAAGGGTAGGGATATGAGAATATATGTATATTTATAGAAACAGTCATAACAATTGGTTTGAAAGAAAGGGTAAAGAATGGAACAGGACAACCCCAGCTGGTTTGGCTCAGTGAATAGAGCATTGGCCTGTGAACTGAAGGGTCCCAGGTTCAATTCCAGTCAAGGGCACATGCTTATTTAGGTTGCAGGTTCCATCCCCAGTGGGGAGCATGCAGGAGGCAACCAATCAATGATTCTCTCTCATCAATGATATTTCTACCTCTCCTTTCTTCCTCTCTGAAATCAATAAAAACATATCAATAATAAAAGAAACATTTTAAAAAATATATATTTTATTGATTTTTTACAGAGTGGAAGAGAAAGGGATAGAGAGTTAGAAACATCGATGAGAGAGAGTCATCGATCAGCTGCCTCTTGCACACCCCCTACTGGGGATATGCCCGCAACCAAGGTATATGCCCTTGACCAGAATCGAACCTGGGACCCTTCAGTCCACAGGCCGACGCTCTATCCACTGAGCCAAACCAGTTTTGGCTAAAAGAAACATTTTTTTAAAAAGAATGGAACAGCCAAAACCGGTCTGGCTCAGTGGATAGAGCATCGGCCTTCGGACTGAAAGATCCCAGGTTCAATTCCGGTCAAGGGCAAGTACCTTGGTTGCGGGTACATCCCCAATGCTGGGTGTGCAGGAGGCAGCTGATGGATGTTTCTCTCTCATCGATGTTTCTAACTCTCTATCCCTCTTCCTTCGTCTCTGTAAAAAACAAAAAAATCAATAAAAATATATTTAAAAAAACAAAAAAGAAAAGAAAGAATGGAACAGATCAGAGAAAAGGAAGGAATAAGATGAGTTTTTGAATCTTGCGCATATATAACCTATTCAAAAACTAAAAATATTAAAACTATAGTAAAATCATAAACCATCTTAATAGAAAAAAGGGAGCAAAGAAATTTTCAGATCTTTTCTTATATCATTTTAATGATTAATCATTTGAAATTCAAAGAGAATAAGCAATGTAAGTTATTAATGGTAATATTCTAAATCAAGACTTTAAAATATGAAATAATTTATAACATACTCATTTTTATAACTGTTTTAGCTTTAACAAAAAAAAATATAAAAACTAAAGATTAAAGTAGAAAAACAAATATACTGAAAAGGATTCTAGACGATGTAAACTTTAGGTAAAGCCTGACATTTTCCTGGCATCTACAGATAGAATAATTGAAAAAGTTTAAATTATAGAGTAAAATAAAACAAACATATAAAAAAAATCCAAAAAAATAAAATAAATTAGTAATAACCCATTCATGAAATGCTCAAAGGTAAAAATGGATTACTGCTAAAAGCAACAAAAATTGGGAACTGCGAGTTTATCATTCCAAACTGTTTCTTATCATGTGAAATCAACTGAAATATTACCTTTCATTTTTGAGTGTGTGTTAATCAACGGATCAGAACAAATCCTGCAGGGCCACCATGGGCGTCTCTTGAATTTTGCCCAGATGAGATCTCCAACTTCATACTTCAGTGGCGTTGACTTTTTCTTGGGCTGACACTTTAGACAGACAAAAACATCGACATCAATAAGAATCAAACTTTTTCCCATTAGCTTTCTAAGAAAACAATGCCTAAAATATTCTAGATGAAAACACTCCAGCTTAACAACAATTACAACTAAAATGCTTGTCTTAATTGTTCATAACATAGCCCTTTATACAGTAGTAAATCTTAACTTGTATTTGTTTTATAGAAGTAATCTATCCATATTCTGGAAAAATAAATCAGCTGTTTTAATTTATAAAGAACTAAAAACTGAAATAAACAGAAACACACCGAGGAAAAGATTAACTTTGTTCTAGTCCTCAGATCACAACACAACATGGGGGTAGGGTGGAGAGAAAATCATAAAAAGAAACTGTAACAATGTCAAGAGAGTGTGATTCTAGTACATTATTTGTCAATTATATCTCATTAAAACCAGGGTGGGGAGTAGACTGTGGTCCCTTCTGAAGGTGATAGTCTACATTCTTCCCAACAGACATCCTATTTATTAGTGAACAATAATGGAACAAATGAAATAACCCTGAAAGGTACAGGCTAGATTCCAGCAATGTCAATACAGCCGACTTGGTTATTCACAGGACATGCAGGAGAGGCTGCATCCAGAACAGCGCACTGCACAGCTCCGAAGGACAACATTCATGTGGAATACAATGTGCATCAAGCTCCTTTGGACTTGTCCAATGCAGAGACCATAAGTTAATCTTTTCTCAAAAAATAGTATCTGATGACCTCCATTTCGGATCTAAATCCATATCCATGCTTCTAACACCTAATAAACAGTACAGATCTCCTGCCTTCCTTCCCTCAGACTTAATCTTCCCTCCTTAATGCTGAAAATACTATCCACCTGGCACAGATTAAGTATTCAAAAAGAGTAAGCTGAGTGAACTAATATAATTCAAATAAAAATAACAATGTCTGAGGCTTAAAAATATCAAACAACTAGGTTCAATTTAATGACTTATAAGTTACCATTTGAGTTTTTAGACTATTCACACAGAACTAAGTTAAATTTCACAGAATGACTTTACTTAAAATACTGATTATTTCCTTCATGTATATAGTTACTAGGAAATGAGACAAACTACATCTTATTACATAAATTTTTTAAAGCCCAACAGGCCATTTTTGTTTGTTATCCATTTGCAAGTTATCAGGAAAAAAAAAATGACTTCAACGCTACACGGCTTTGGAACTTTAAAACCAAGATACCAAGATAGGTGGAAAAAACAAATATTTACTTGCCTCTACTGAAAACTACAATTTGAGTGGGTTTCTCACAAATTTTTTACATAATTTTATTTGTGATCAATTAATTTGTCAATTATTGCTAAATATGAAATTTGCTTGTTTATTCAAGTCCTAAATTCTAATCAAACCTCGGTTTTCAAACATTTCAAAACAACTCAGACTTAGTTGTTCACAGAAAAAAAAATGTTGTGGAGCAAAACTTGAGTTTTTGACCTTTCAAGCTGATACTCCAGTGTGACAAAGTCTCTCAGGCAACAAAGGAGAGAATGCTTTTGTTGCTGGTGCATATCCTCAATTAGTATAATTTTAAATCATAAAGAGGCCATCAAGTGTGCTAATGTGCTAAGGGTGTGAAAGTGCTCACATAACAAGAATCACAGGCAACTGAATAGGTAGAAAAAACTGTTATTGATTGTATAAACAAAAAGCAGTTAGCTGGTGACAGCATTTCCAAGGCAGTGACATGTGAAAAATTCTTTTCAGGATAGTAGGGGGTGGTTTGATACATTTAACAGAAGAACTGTTTATTTGTAAACTGTGTATTAGACATGTACTGTATATAAAAACATTAAAATGGAATAACTTGGGGGTTTGGAATGGATTAGTTCAATTTACATTATTTCTAATGGGGAAAAATGATTCTGTTTTCGAACAAATTGCTTTTTGAACAGACTTCCAGACTGAATTAAGTTTGAGAAAAGAGGTTCCACTGTAACTTTAAATAAACTAACATTTACTTGGTTTTTGCTATGTGACAAGCACAGCTCCCCCTTTAATCCTCTTAAGATAGACACTGTGTTATTACTCCTATCCTATCTAATAAAAGAATAATATGCAGATTGACCATCACTCCAACACACAAGATGGCTGCCCCCATGTGGTCAAAGATTCCTGCCCCCATGTGGACACAAGATGGCCAGCAGGGGAGGGCAGTTGGGAGGCACCAGGCCTGCAAGGGAGGGCAGTTGAGAGGGACCAGGCCTGCAAGGGAGGGCAGTTGGAGGCGATCAACCCTGCAGGGGAGGGCAGTTAGGGGTTGCCAGACCAGCAGAGGAGGGAAGCTGGAGGCAAACAGGCTGGCAGGGGAGCGGTTAGGTGATGATCAGGCTAGCAAGCAGGAAGTACGGTAGGCAATCAGGAAGGCAGGCAGGTGAGCAGTTGGGAGCCAGCAGTCCTGGATTGTGAGATGGATGTCCAACTGCAGTTGACACCCCTCGAGGGGTCCCAGATTGGAGGGTGCAGGCTGGGCTGAGGGACACCCCACCACCACCCCATGCACGAATTTCGTGCACCGGGCCTCTAGTTTTACTATCGGGTCTAGTAATAATTAATGTCGTTTTTAAACATTCGTTTAAAATCTTGCTTGGCGTTGACTTGTATTGACATAACCTTCAAACATGTGGTATCTACAGAACGTGTGAAGTGCAATTAACAAGTTTTGCTTGAAAAAGTTTGTGTTTGGTTTGGTTTTTGTTGCAAAACTAGGGCTAAGAAGATGGCGGATGAAGAGCATATTTGGCACTGCATGCTTTACGAGTTCCAATTAGGAAGAAAAGCAAGTGAGGCTGCAAAAAACATCTCTAGTGCTCTTGGTCAAGATGCAGTTAGCGCCAGAAAATGCCAGCATTGGTTTGAGAAATTTCGCGAGGGAAATTTTTCGTTAGATGACAAGAGTGGTCGAGGCCATGTGTCCAATTTTGATCAAGAAGCTCTTCAAGCTCTTTTGGTGCAAAATCCTCAAATTACCCAACAAGAGCTTGCGACAACTTTAAATTGTTCACAAAAAACAATTTCCAATCAATTGCATGCACTTGGCAAAGTCCAAAAGTTTGGAAAATGGGTTCCTCATGAGTTGACCGACAACAACCGTAATCAAAGAGTCACAATTTGCAGTTCGCTCCTCTCTCGTCAAAACTGTTTGCCGTTTTGAGAGCAAATTGTTACCGGAGATGAAAAATGGGTGCTGTATGTTAATTTGAAAAGGCGGCCTCAATGGTTGGACAAAAATGAGGCTCCGCAGCCCACGCCAAAACCTGACTTGCATGCGAAAAAAGTGATGTTGTGTGTTTGGTGGAATTTTAAAGGAATTCTTCATTATGAACTTTTACCATCTACCCAAACCATTACAAGTGCAGTGTATAGTGCCCAATTGGAAAGGTTAGCCCAAGCTTTAAGAGAAAAAGAACCCACGCTGATTAATCGGAAGGGCGTAATTCTTCACCACGATAACGCACGACCGCATACTGCAAGAATCACTGCTGAAAAACTGCGCCAGTTGGAATGCGAAGTTCTCCCTCAACCTGCATATTCTCCTGATATTGCCCCTTCCGATTACCATTTGTTTCGTTCTTTGCAAAACTTTCTTCTTGGAAAAAAATTTAATAATGAAGAATGCCTCAAAAATGCATTGACCGAATTTTTTGCATCAAAATCACAAGAATTTTACAACAGAGGGATTAAAATGCTTCCTGAGCGTTGGGCACAAGTAGTAGAAAACAACGGCAACTATATTGTTGATTAAATTTTGTTGTATTGTTTAAATAAATTCGATTTAAAAAAGTATTAGAAAACGACATTAATTATTACTAGACCTAATATTGTTGATAATCTCTTACTGTGTCTAATTTATAAGTTAACTTTATCATAGGTATAGACAGGAAAAAGCATTATATATAAGATAAGATATATATATTTTATCTGATCCCAAGATGGGGATGAGATAAGGTGAGGATAAAAAAAAAAACAAAAAAAACAGCAGGTTACACTTCAATTCCCCAGCAGAACACATGTCCAGGTTGCAGCTGAACTGACCCCCAGAGCGAGGTGTGGAGGCAGCCACTGATGATTCTCTCTCATCAATAATGTTTCTATCCCTCTGTTCCTCTTTCTGAAATCAGTAAGAAAAATGTATTTTTTAATTACATTGGAAGCAGAAAAAAAAAAAATTAAAAATAAGAAACACACCCAGTCAGCATGATTCAGTGATTGACAGTTGGCCTATGAACCAGGAGGTCAAGGATCAAATTCCGGGTTTCAGGTTTGATCCCTGGTGGGAGGCAGCTGGTCCATAATTTTCTCTCATCATTGATGTTTCTATCTCTCTCTCTCCCTCTTCCTTCCTCTCTGAAATTAATAAAGATATATACATATATTCTTAAAAAGAATAAAAAAGGCAAAACCTTTAAAGATGCTATTACCACTATAAAAAAATTAAATGTACATAATAAAGGACTACACAAATTTTAAATGTTATGTATAATAAACTCTGGTAGGGTTTTTTATTCCTTTTTATACTTTTTAAAAATAATGTAATTGTTTTTTGCAATTTGGGTATAAAAGATATCAGTAAAACTTGCCAAACAAGGTTTTTAATTTCTCTCATTGCTCCTCTAGTTATTTGAGGCTATATTGTTTTAATAATACTAAAAAAAACCTTAGGTCACTTGATAATAGAGACTTATTTTATCTCTGTCTCACAGTAGGGGATGCTCAGATAATGTTTGCTGAGTTAACTTTAGTTTAACTGATTCATGGGCAGGCAGGCGAGTGTGATGTAAGCACTGTAGCTATTAGCTTATATAATCATTGTAAATGTTAGCTTATATTATTTTAAAACTTTGAAATTAGAAGCCTTGTTCTTCCTTCTCTATTCAGGCCTGATTCTACCCTAAGTAGCAACATACAAGGGTTCTATTTATTTTTACCTTAATTAGTATGAAACCATTTTGAAGGAGTATAGCA